CCCCCCCGACGGGCGCACAGCATGCTTAATAATGGGCCCAGGTATGTACCATACTGGCATGCGTTGTACATACCTTAAGGTACACACATACAGTAAGGTACATACCTTATGCAATGAATTATCCCAGAGGGGAGGCTAATATCAATTTCAAGCATCAGCCACCATGTACAACGTATGTGGTTGGACTGACATTGACTGATCGGCGGAGCGCTATTGCACAGTCATCAGTGTGTCACCATCACCATGGATCTACACTCGAAGCTTTACAACGTGCACATCGGGAAAGCAGATCGAGATGACACCGACGGACTCGCTTATTAGACCAGGCCGAGAAAGCGAATAGTATCCGTTTCTTTGGAAACATGCTTCTTTCATACAACGTATGCATCCCACTTTCTTTCTATGTGTACGAAGTACATAATGTAAGGAAGTGCTGAAGGCACGTGCAACGTACCTACTGTGATGAAAGGGAGGGGCGCATTAACATTCACATGTGCTTGGAACGTGGAACGGAGAAACAAAGACACCCCACCCCCTGGCCACGCGAAAACCACGGACCTCAATGCTCAAATTGTCCAGAGATTCCTCCAACATCAAATCGTCCCGAAGATTCCGCCGGCTGGTTCCTCGCTCCTCGTTCCCCGTTCCCTGGTCTGCCCCTGCGCCCGCTCGTACCGCCCCCAACCAAGAGATACCTTACGTGTCTACATACATATATCACGGCACATGCACACACCCAGACGCGTCGTCCCCATGTGTTCGTCCGGTGGTTCATCACTCCCTTAGCGCGCCTCGGCTACAAAGATTTAAAAGTGACGAGTGACAGAAATCGGACTCTATATCCGTATTGTCTCCCATGTGTAATTATCGTCCCCGTATATCTGTCGGATACGACGAGGGAGCTGTAGCCTACCCATTGACTGCCAACATTATGCATTCAATTTTGTACGCCCGCCAAAGATCTTACGTTGTACGCTTCCGCGCACTAAACACCAGCGACTCAATACACCGCCTATTTTGGACCACATCCTCATCGGTCAACCTACGGACCGTGGGAACACGAATGCCCAACATGGAAGGTGGACGAGCCGGGTAATACCAGCAGCCAGCCAAGCGTTCCCATCAACTCGGTAGCGATTCTGGCCACAATACGTTGTACATAATAAAAGGTACGGATACTGCAGGACAAGTACAGAGTTAAGAAGTATCCGTACAAAGAGCAGGAACACATGCGCCACATGATGTTTCTAGCCCAAGTGGCGTGGCGGCCTTGTCAATTCCTTTGCGGCACCAGTCACTGATTGGGGGGATAGCAACAGCCCTAGAGGGGAAAAAGAAGGGGGTGGGTGACACGAGGGCGTCCTCTTCCATCAACCACTCGCTCCCTAAGCGAAACTCCTACATACCCACAGCAACTTGATCGTGGCGGTTTGATGATTGCCCTAGCTTCCTAGCGAGCGACCGGAGTTCTCTGCGTTCTGCCTCTGCGTTCCCTTTTCGCGGATGTTGATCATGACTTGATTGTCTCGGCTCTCTCCGTACTGCCAATCTCGGCATACGGAGTAAATTGAAGTGCGACCGACCAGAGCTTCAACGGATGTCTCAAGGGAGACCCTTGTCTGCTAGGTTAAGCTCTGCGGCTGCTCATAGCCATAACGCTTAGACGAATCTGTCCTTTTGATCGTCTCACCTTGGAACCTGGCGGGTCGCTATTCCGAATTCTGACAAGGCGTCATGACCCCTTGAATATCTGATCACCAATGCCTACGAGGATGGAGAGCATGTAGAGGCACGCACCGCAACTGCAACAGACACATGACATATGAATATGGTTAGGTGGAATGAGACCTCGCGTGATTTTCATGAAGAGATTCCCTTTCCGTGATCCTCCTTAATCACACAACAATCTACCTGTGCGCAGATGTAAGCACATCTCGACGATCGTCATCGAAGTGGCCTCCCTAGATAGGCCGCGATCGTCACTGCGCTGTGTCTGAGGCCGAGCCTTAAACGACAAAAGATCCTAGAAGATGGACAAACATGCAGGTGAGATGTTCATAAGCGGACAAAGCTCCGATAAACAGCCTCACGATGAATGCCACGCAGTTGGTAACTATAATCCCTCGTTGTATTTCTCCGGTGCCAAATAGACTATGAAAACGACATCAGACCCGGCCTCAAAGGCATTCATTCTAAGAGAATGGAACATCCAGGGTTACTCCTGGCATACATACCAGATAGGTATGGCCCAGTCTCGTCACTTGCAAGCCGAGGTGGTGAGGGGAATGTGACATCCAACTTCATAACTGTTACCCGATCGCCGGTGTGTGCAACCTTTGTCTTCGTGGTGACAAGAAACCGGTTTAGCTCACCAAGCGTTTCTCGATGTCGATGACAATCCTCGATGGGCTCTGGAAAGTCCAAGCCCCTGGGTAATATGCTCAGTCTCTTTGCTGACCCTACTGAAACCATTTGAGCCCATTGAACCCCGCCTTTGTCCTCCTACACTGTATGTGTACTTCTTATGATTATTGTTGCGTATTTCGCGTGCCTTGCTCCCCACTGGGATCATCACGGCGAAGCCTGGGAAGAAACCCCCAACCCTCTCCTTTTCCCACACCCCTGTACTTCCCCAGTAATTCACACACACTCGCTCCCCTAACAGGGACACAGGCAATAAGCCATGATCCCGAACTTCTCAACTTCTCGACACCAACCCCTAGAATAGAGTCGCTTAGACTCGACGGATGGGGGTGACGGTCGCCTCATATTGACAGGGTTCCTACTCTCACCGCTTCATCGACGTTGGAGGATGCGTGCCGGAGAGATCCAGTGCTCTGCCGTGCGGCGGGTGTTATTATGCTACGGATACCTACTATATATTTTTACCACTTCCCGTCGGCAACACCGTCTAACACGATTGGCTTCGACATGGCTACTCCGTATCGGTTGATGAACCGTTATATTATTGGTTGTCTTTTTTGAAGGATATACTCCGTATCGGTATTCCCTAACTCCGTCTCCGCCTCCGTGGGCATTACGGGAAAAAATGTGGATAGTGGACGGGTGGGAGATATGTAAACGTATGACCCCCCCGTTCGAGAAGGGTGATCACGCGCCTTTGTATCCGACTTTGCAGGGCTCTCCACCGTCGTAATGAGATCGCCAACGCAGAGCCATCAGAATTTATAAGCCACTACTAAGCATCACGGAAGACCCAAGCGATGCAACCCCCTTGCCATGGGCCCCACCACCCCTTTCCCAGCCCGTAGAAACGTCAGTAGGGAAGAGCACTTCGTTCAGGGGTTCGAGAAGATAGGAAGAACACGGGGAGTGGGCAGGTTCCCCCACTCCTGTGCCCGTCGAGCCGAATCATAGATCAGCGGTTTGGTCGCCCCTAGGCCAACACGCATCAAGGTAGCGAAGAAGGTCTGAATTCGAAAGTAGGATCTGCACAAGTATGATGTTCCATCGTAAACCATGTATTGGTCCCGTACGACGTACAAGCACGTACATAATAAACACGTACATACGAGAAACGATGTGCGGTACACACGTATGGAGTGATAACTACCTTACCTTAGGTACCATACATAGGTACCGACTTCGTACGGTTCGGTATGTACATACCTCCTCAGAGGGAATTTATTCCTACCCCGATAAGCTTAGAACGTACATACGTATTTCGCGGTACTAACCGCATACTTATAGGGACTTGATAGGGAGACCTCACGTTTCAATATCAAGACCTCGTAATTATATGGTAATTTTAGTAGGGCCATGACACCACCGCTAAGCTGCATAGGTACCACGCCTATGATATACGTATATACAATGTAGAAAATCGCAGGCGACATTATAAATAACTTACCTAATCTGAACACTTAATATTAATACCTAAATCTTAATAACGTGCGCCTGTTTTTAGAAAGAAAAACGCCCTTACGGAGCTCGGAGCCGTAGGGTCGGTAATCGGTTATTTTATGTAGGACGTCGTGTAGGATATCGTGGCTTATTTTTATGGTGTATTGGGCGGTTGGATTCAGAGTTACGGTGTGGGAAGCAATACGTTGTCGCCTGCGATTTTCTACATAATGTGTACATACAAAATGGGTGCGGTATATATGTATCTTGGCGGCGGCGACATGGCCCCACTAAAATGCTATGTGTGAGGTCTTAATATTGAAAGGTGAGGTCTCCCTATTAAGTCCTAAACAAAAAATGGCGGCTGGATGGCTGATTACCTACATAGACGGGAAGCACTTCGTCCTTCGTACGTCGTACATACGTATGGGGTCACTGACAGGGAGATCTATAAGCCTTTGCCTTGCCTTCCCCTGGCAGATAATCCCTCGCCTTATGCAGTTCTGGCCGGTCCAGGCTCGAGCATTGTGCATACCGAGAGCGCGAGGCGAGCGGGTAACTCGAAGCCAAGAGAACAGGGCAGGCCAGCCAGGCCCTTACCCCTGCGCGGACTATCCTCTGCCGTCGGCATGTCCCGCGACTCCCGGCCGGTCAAAGAGACCATGCTGATTGCCGTGGTCTCCCGCCAATATTCCTCCTGATCAGACCGAGAATACGCTTTGTGGCGCCAGGTAGCCAGTCAATAAGACATGTCGGCTCCCCTGAATATCAATGGTATCTCGCTAGTATCAATGGGGTGGACGCATGGCTGTCGAGGTCCCGTCCCATGAAGGGACGACAAGGTTTGTACCACTGACGAGGACGAGACTTTGATTCGGAGCGTCATGACAAGAAGAGATACCGGCCGGTCTGTATGTATTGACCAAGGTCAATGACAAGAGATCGACACGAGGGTGCTCCGTGCTGCGTCAAGTGCCGAGCTGCTCCAATGGGCCCCGGCACGGACTACACCGCCAACCTTTCCGCGGAACAGACCCGGGAGAGTCCCCTACAAATGCGCAATAAGGGAGCGAGACAAGGCGTAACCAACGCCCAGAATGTTGGAAATGTTTGGAGACAATTTTGTTCAACATCACAGGCGTGAGGCATTGGAATGACGATGGGTGTTTAATAACAATAATAACAATGAGCATATCACACACACATACTTGATAGTACGAAAATAGAATGATCTTCACTGCTCAAGTCGCTTGAACGGGCCAAGGGTTGGATGAAAATGATGGCTGCGGCTGGTCCAATCCTCTCGAGGCTCGCGTAATTTGCCGGCTCGAAAACCCGTCAAAACCCTTTTTCGACGTGTGACGCCACATGCATTGTCACAAGGCGTCGACCAGCATTTCCCGGAGGTTTCATCTCTTCACGCGGCTCGATAATGGTCCATCGCCCGGTTCTGTCCGCCGGGTGTCACAGCCGCCCGCAGTTCGTGGCTCGGTGTCTTGAAGCCATTCATTTCAGTTCCCCGAGACAACCGACTCCAGGTTCGAGTGCGAAAGTGTGACTAGACGAAGACGAGAGACGAGAGACGAAAGGCTCGTTCATTTGTCTTGGTGTTGTGTTTCTCGGTGTGTCGCTCTATTGCATGCTCGACCGGTGGAGGTGGGCGCTTCTCACCCCCCGACTACTTGAAAGAGCTGCCACTTCAAGCTCGAGCCACGGAAAGGAGAGAGTCCGTGTCGAGAATTACATAGAGCAAAGACGGTATGCAATGCGTTGGCATGCAGTAGTCGCTGGCCAAAGCACGCTGCGGCTCCCTAACCGATATGAAAAGAGGGGGGGGGGGGGGGGGGGGGGTTGGAAAAAGCAATACTACTGGGAAGAGAGAGACCATAGGCCATGGGCCATGACGATCCCACGCCGTTCGAAGAACCCCAGGCCTTGAACATTCACCCCACACAGGATTATGAGATGATTAGTGTTTCGACAGGAAAAGCAAGGAGGCGGGAGAGCTCTGTGCGGTGCGGAAACTGTAAATCTAAGGAATAGAATAGCAATGAGACATTTGACCAAACTAACAGGCCAAACAAACCCAGGAAACCCCCCTCCCCCTGTGGTTCAGTGCCAGCAACAATAGCTCCTCAACTCGCTTATGCAGCAATGCGGGATCCCGAGGCTAATGCGCCGGGTTGGGGTTTGCAAAGCTCAAGCTAGGCGAGGGAGAAGACGATGCAATTAATAGAATGGGTATTCCGACTGCATGGCGTTGAGACAATCAGGCAGCTACACGCCTTGGGAAGAGGCTCACCAGTGCAGAGGGATATTATTTATTATTCTAACCCATATTAGAAAATGCAAACGAAGCTCGGTTTTATCATGATACTCATGCTCTCAAGCTCTGCTCCAATTACACCACATGGCAGCCCAGGGCTGACTCTTGCCGACCCTCCCACACGATGATGGTGAGATGGACGGGAATGCATCTGAATAAAGAAATCATAAAAAAGAAAACCCGCAAATTCCACAGATGAACGTGAAAAGAAGCGATGTCTTAGAGCCACCTCCGATGCGCATGCTCAGGGGCGACTAGCAACGTAAAGACAAAAAAACCAAGACACTGGTCGTCGATCCTCACCGAGGAAGGGAACAACACGCGAGAAAGTGATGGACCTTGCATAACATGTGGCTTCATGATCTCGCTTCTTTTTCTTGGAATCTATAAACCCCAAATGCCGCATGTACGCACGCACACCCTTCTCCTAGTCCAATGGGAAGAACCTCGGCGAGACCAACACGCCCTGTCCAACACGTGCTGCCCTGCCACCAAAGACCTCAAAGACCTCAGACCTCAGACCAGCAAAAAAAGAAAGAAAAAAAAAAAAGGCCAGATAGCTCAGAGAAAACAAAAAGAAGAGAGAGTAAAAAGGAGTGAGAAAGAAAGACACAGTCGTGCCTGCAGGTCCAACACCAACGCCGTGCGCCTGGTCATGCATGTCCTTCTGTTACAGTTCTCCTCCTCCATTCACCCCGTCCACTCCATTCCACCCACCCCTCGAAGAGCGTGTCTTGCATGATGTCGACAGCTCCGGACAAGATATCCCATGGTTGGGCACGAAAAAGTGAAAACAAAAAACTCCCAGTGTAAAACATGTCATCACACATCACCACCACAAACTCCTCCTTGTGGAATTCCCTCCTTCTGGTCATTCCCCACCATCTCCAGAAGACAAAGGAAAATATGCGACACAGGGGTGTAGAGACCCGAGGCAGTGTAGTTTAGAATGGTAGAGGACGTAACCCCTTCTGAGAAAAGCATGTTTGCAGTCTCGCCAAGGTCTGTCGTCTCGAAAGGAAGAAGCAGAGGAAAAGAAGAGAGTCTACGCCCGAATCAGGGGCTGCTTCTTCCGCTCGAGGAATGGGCTCGGCATCTCGTCTCTTTCGGGGTCCCACACCGCAGCTGGTGCCTCAGCACTGGACCGACGACCAGCGATGCGGTCCTTGAAGTTGCGCTTCGGGCTCGTGTTTTCCACCCCGGGGAGCGCCGAGAGCGGCCGGCCGCCTGCTCGCGCCTGCTGAAGCTCCACCAGGGTCCTGCCCCTGATGTTGTTCTTCGCTGCCATTTTGCCGAGAGACTCCGGGTCTTTCTTGGAGTTGGACGCCTTCCGAGTGAGGCCGCTGCCTGCCGCGTCACCGCTGCCGCTGCCGCCGTTGTGGGCTGCTGCTGCCGCCGCCGCCGCCGCCGACGCCGCCTGCAAATTCGTGGCCGAGGGGATCTTACTCACCCGGCGGATGGGCGAGGGGCATCGCTCCGGCTGTTGTTGTCCGAGGCCCCCACTACGTCCCCGATCAGTCGGAACTGTCGGGAGAGACTTGTTGGTGTTCAAGTTCAGCGCCGTGCCTGACAGCTTCGACCTGAGGCGGGGAACGGGCGCCGTCTTTTGCGACGACAGGATGGGCCGGTTCCTGGCGTTGAAGGGGTTCTGTCTCGACTTGATATTCCGAGTGGGAGACGGGATGATGTCGTCGTCATCCGAGTCGATGACAAGAGGCTCACGCGGCACGTTCCAAAGAGTGTCGGCAGGGCCGCCGGTGGCGGCTGCGTTGGCGGTGAAGATGTTAGCCGGGTGTGCAGTCGGAGGCTTGGTAGCCTCGTTGCGCCGGGGCGATAGTGAGAGCGACGCGATGGCCATGGGAGAAGGGGATGCCATTTCAACGTCCATCGGCGTTCCGACGGGGTTGCCCGCGAACATGGTTTGAGCACGGCCGAAAGGCGTGCGGGAGATTTTCTTCATGTTGGAAACCATGGTTGGGACCTCAGGGCTGTGGTCTGAGAGGTCGGTGAGGTCGGTGGCAGAAGAGATGTCGCCCTCTCCGCTGGTGTGACCGACAGAGGAGTAAGGGTAATCGGACCTGCCAGAAGAAGATGACAAGTCTGTTTCTTGCACCGGCTCTGGCTGGAGGGTGGTTGGGGCTGGCGCTGGAGCTGGCGTAGAGGTTGGGGCAGCGGCAGCGGCAGCGGCAGCGGCGACCATGGCCTTTTTCTGCAGCTCCTCTTGAACTCGGGCCTGCACCTCGTCCTCGTACCGTTTTCGCAGTCGTTCCATCTCCATCTGGACGTGGCGATCAATCTCCAAGCGGGCCTTAACTTCCCATTCCCTCCGTAGCGCGTTGTCGATCTCCTGCCTCGTGTAGTTCTTCTCCGCCTCGAAGCCCTCTATCTTGCGCTGCATTTCTTGCTCTCTGACTTTGAGGGATTCCTCTTTTGCCTTGAGAACCTTGTTGAGCTCAACGACCTCCTTCTCCTTCCGCATCAACCGGACAACGGGCAAGTTGAGGAGCTGGGCCGTGTCGGGTCGGCGGTCTGGGTTGACGCGAAGGCAGTCCTTGATGGTGCCCATGAGCTCGGGGGAGTAGATGTCCGGGAGAGGCGCTACTTTTCCTTCCTTGATCTTCTGGACGAGCTGGAAGTGCGATTTGGCATTGAACGGCGGCTCTCGTGCGCACAGTTCGTAAATAATGCAGCCTAGCGACCAGATGTCCGACTTGAGGGTGTATTTTTCGGCCGCACAAATCTCCGGGGACATGTAAAAGGGCGTTCCGACGTAGGTGGACGCGAAATCGTGGGATTGAATCATCTTCGACAGGCCAAAGTCGCCGAGCTTGACCGAGTTGTTCTCGTCAAGGAAGACTACAAATAGTCCAGAGTCAGTCTCAGTCTCATACCATCAAACTCCGAAAACCCCAAGTCGAAGGGACAGGGGGGGGTGGATCCTACCATTTTCGGGCTTTAGATCCCGGTGAAGGATAGTCATGGTGCCAGCAGGCACCTTTGGTCGGGAGGCAGTTGTGAAGAGGCCAAGGACGTTGCTGCCCACTTCTGGGGGGTCCACACCATAGTGGCATCGGTAAAGGGCCGTCACAAGCTGAGAGAAGACACTCCAGACAAAGGACTCCTGAGCTCGCTCCCCCTTGGCCGCGAGGTTCTTGATGACCCTGCCTAGATCGCCATTGCCACAGTATTCCATGTAGAGATGAAGATCTTGAGTCGACTTGAGATGTTCTCGGTGATAGTAACCGACAATGTTCGGATGTCGAAGATGGGAGAGAATCTGGAACTCTGCGTGGAGCTGTTCACGCTCCTTGGCGGACATTTTCAGATAGCTGATCTCCTTCCGGCACATCACGAGGCTATCGTTCTTGCGCCGGACCTTTCGGATGACACCGAAGGAGCCATGGCCTGAAAGAGTATTGATTATTAGCATGTACAAAGATGGTTGAGCCAAGTGGAATTGTAATGCACGGTGAACATACCGATCTTCTCGAGCACCTCGTACTTGTCGCTCTCGGTCGTCATGGTGAGACGATAGGGTTGACAGACAATGGTCAGAATACCCAAATGGCCACTTCCATAGATGGGAAAAGGGTCGTCAAATGTTCAAAGAAGCCTGTTTGGTTAGTACTGACTTACCTTAGTCGTTAGGATTATGGTATTGACTGTGGTGTGAAGTGTGAGGTGTGAAGTTAATGGAGAAGTGTAACGGTGCTGTGCAACTTTGTGCCCGCGCTTGATTCGCTCTAGGCCACCGATGGAAGCTCCGTTGGTACTAGTGTAAACAATTGGCGCGGTGCCACGGCAACCCCGAGAAGTGGGTCGTTATATTACCTCTTATCATGCCGCTTAGGTAAGGCACTCCGTACCCTTCAACCCGAAACCCGTCCTCCATTTTTAATTCACAGTTACGTTGTTCCGACTTCTGCCAAAAGACCTCAGTTTCAAAGCTTTAAAAACCAGACACTTGACTGAAATGGTGCTGCTTATAAGCGTGCGGAACCTAGACCCTTGTGTCACACTCTGGGGAAGCCGAATTGGTAGGGATGGTCTGCTCGATCGCATCAGCAAACAAGTGTTTAGCGGTTTAACCCGCTGCAAAACAATTCGAATTCAATTCTGCTTGTCTTAGCAAGTCGGGAATTATACTCCTTCAGGCGGGCGTTTTTACCATAATAAGAGCCATCCATTCTGCCAAGCACGACCGTGCGCTTTTTGAAGGACGCGAACCGTAGACTCAGTTTCGCATCCAACACCCTGCGAGCGTTTTAGGGCATCTTTCGCGACTACAAACGCATGGCCTCTCCGCTGCAACACATATGGGGCCTCGCCATGCTCTACGAGTCGTCGAGATAGTCGCGAATCCGACCTTATTAATGGAGCTCCTCGTGATTCCTCTCATATCCCAACATCGGACTTGTCCATCCGTAACTGCTGGTGCGAATGAGGCCGGCATCAAAAGACGTCTATCGGTGGCTGGCTAAAAGGTACCTTATTCTCTGAGGTCGCTGGTCTCGATAGAACAATCGGATCATTATAATCCCGAAGCAATCTGTCTGACAGACGCGGCGACATCGGACGAAGCTACGAACGTTAGGTAATCCGTACCTATACCCAGGTACCAAGGTATCAAGGGGGGCTTTGTGGGGCCGTCAACCCAAACTACCTCCCGTTCGGCGTTAGTTGGGGTGGCGGATTAAGTCCTCACGTTAGTAGAGTCCTCACTTCTAAATCATGACTATCCGTACCGACTGACATCCATAAAATACCATAACTTCATCCCCGGGCCTTCTCGTCCCTCCTCTTCTTTATCTTATTTTCTGATTTTATAGTACATCGATATCCTCTCCTTCTGCATACTTCTACTTTTGCCCGTCATGGTCCTTCACAAAGGCGAGCTGGAAGCACAGCTCCATAACGAACATCAGCTCATCAAGAGTGGTGTCCTTCGAGACGAGAATCCCTTGGATCAGTCAGAAGTCTTCAACGACTTTTTGCTCGCCTGCAGAAGGGGGGATCTCAGGCAATGTCAGGAAATGATTTCTGCCGGTGTGAACATAAACGGCAAAGATCAGTTCGATTACACCCCGCTCATCGTGGTATGCACCCGTTCGAGGACCCCCAAGCAGTTAGGAATGACTTGGGATTTGTGTATAGCTGACTCCCCTTGGAACAAAGGCTAGCCTGTGTGGACATTATGAGCTGGTTCAGCTATTACTTGAATCTGGTCAGTCAGAGGCCGTCAGCACCACGGGGGACATGGGTACTCGACCATTACTGACCACAGCAACCCGTAGGTGCCCTGGCTGAACGGAATACCTTCCAGGGAGAGCGCTGCATATATAATGCCCTTAATGACAGGATCAGGAACTTGCTTCTCTCATACGACTTTTCAAAGTCCGCGGACCCCTTACAGCCCTGGTCGTCACACATCACATCTTTACTCACTATGAAGACACCAAAGACCGCAGACATCACTTTGATTGCTGCCTCCGACTCTTTCGAACTGCACAAATTCATTCTCGCGGCGAGATCACCCTACTTCAGGAGAAAGCTATTGGACGCGTCAGACAACACGTTTTGGAAACTCCCACCCGCCATTCCGTCAGCAGCCTTCTGGCTCGTTATTCAGTACCTCTACCTGAGCGACCTCCCGCAAGATCTGACGGATTCTCGTAGCACGGCAACCGAGGAGGACATTCTCACAAGTGCCGACAAAATCAGCAAGCAGCTTGAGCTTGATAGGCTTTGGGACTCGCTTCTCACCACCGACCGGCGACTCGCTCGGCAACGGTACCAGGACGAGGTGAACCGCGCGCAGCAGCAGATGGATGCCTTTTTCCGGGAGAACGTCCTGGACCACAAGATGATTGTCGATTCCAACAAGGTTGGAGAGATCAGGTGGCGCCACGACAATGCCATCTTTGCCGACTGTCTCTTGGCCGCGGAGGAGCAAGGCGAGGAGGATTCTCAAGACGAGGATGAGGAAACTGCTGCGCCAGCGCCTCGCCACAACGGTATCCCCGTTGGTCCTGCCCCTGATCATAATATCTCCAAGAAGACCAGGAGATCTGTGGTCTACCCTGTCCACAAGGCCATGCTAGTGCGTAGCCCCTATTTCGAAACCATGTTCTCCTCCTCCTTCAAGGAGGGCCAAGTAGGGGAGCACCTCCACGTCATCACACTAGACTGCCCGCCTGGTGTGCTGGAGATCGTCCTGTCCTATCTCTACACCGGAAAGTCCGACTGCCCGCTCGAGCTGGCCCTGGACCTCCTCTATACAGCCGACATGCTGTTCCTCGACAAGCTCAAGACCAAGGCCGTGCAGGTCATCAGCACCCTTGGCAGCGGGAACAATAACCTCCTCGTCGATAGGACGCACGGCGCCGCCACAGCAGAGCCAGGGGAAGAGAATGAGAAGGTCGAGGTGGAGCCCATCAACATCTACGACGTCACCAACGCCGCCTGGGAACTCAACGTGCAGCGCCTGGAGGAGTTCGCCGCACGCTACCTCGCTTACAGGCTGGAAGACTACATCGACGAGCCCGAGTTCGCCGAGTTAATTAAGCAGAGCGCCGGGCGGCTCAAGTCGCGCCAGGAGACGGATACGATTGTGCTGCTTGATGATGTCCGCTATTACCTATCCGAACGGTTCCGCCTGCGTTTCGAGGATGCCGGATTGGAAGAGTTCATGGACGGGAAGGACACGGCGAACGCCGGAGATGTAGCTGATGTTTTATCACCCCAAGGAGAAGGGCCGGACGAGGAGGAAGTGGCCTTGTCAGGTTCGCTTGGTGTCACGAAGCCAGAGGATGCAGAATCTGGTGAAGGCGGTGTCGCGACACTCGATGGAGAAGTCGCAGAGGATGAGTTTGCTTCGGACGCCATCAACTATCAGGTATTGCTGGACAAGATCGATACTATGCTGGAGAATTTGAACCTAGATGCTTAGAGCTGGGGCACGGCGTTTCCTGATTTACCATACAGATGATTACGACTAACGAGAGAGGAATCACACGGCATGGAGAGAGCATTGAGGGGCGGTATCATGTTTTTGTTGTTGTTCTTGGGCCACCCTTTGGGTTGGCCTCTCAAACATTTTACTTTTTTTTTTTTTTTCGTCATCCAAGCAATAAATGTCATGAAATCCCGGTTGATCTGCCTAGCCACCTGGCAATCATCATACATGTGTGTGTGTCGTTCCAAACCATGCAACAGTCATAATTCTTTCATATCCTATCGAGGACCATCTCCAGGTGAAGACAGGCAGAAGCAAGAGAAGAAAAAAGGGGATCATCCGTTTGCTTGGTGAACGATGGCGAACCCCAAATGTACGCTGCACATCAAGCGCTTGGTCCAACGGCAAGAATGTCCGGTCATCATGATTCAATAAGAGTAGCCGCTTGGTCATGATACAAGACTCGATTCCCCTCACGAGCATTCCGCAACTTCCTCTCCAAAGCGGCTTCCCGAATCTCCCTCTCCCTGTTCAGCTGCTTCTGCGCCTCCGCCGCCAGGAGCTTCATCTGATACCGCACATCTCTACTGTGGATCGAAAACCAGCCCTGGTGCGGCTTGCACCTCTTCTTGTCGCATATGTTCTTGTCGTCGCCCGCAAGGACGATGCCGTGGGCGAGCGTCCCGGTCCGGAACACCTCCCTGCCCTCGTCAGAGCCGAGCCAGTGCGCAAAGGGAGCCTGGACGCCCACGGTGTCGAGGCGAAAATCGTAACCGCAGGCCGAGTCGTCAAATTTCTTGGCCTGGATGAGCTCCTTGCGATGTTCCGACGCCATGTCGAGGAGTTGAAGCATCTTTTGGCAGAGTACGATCTCTTCACCCATCTTGTACCGCTCTGCGGCCGATGTCTGGATGAGATGCTCTTCTTCGGCGGCCAGAAGACCGGGAGGGAGAGAGGTATTGGCCTCGAAGGACTCGTCTAGGGAAGATGGGGGGGGAGGTGTGAGTGTCAATGGAATTTCTCCGAGCGTCGAGTATGGAGACGAAAACACCTACCTTCAGATTGAGGCGGGTGAAACGGACGGCTAGTGACCTTCCAGGTTCCCTCCTTTTCGTCCACTTGGATGAGGTCGCTACTGAGAAGGGCCGTGAACTCCTCCTGCGTAAGCGCGTCCCGCATAAACGCCTTTTCGGAGCTCTTCTTCGGCAAGGCGGAAATCATCTTCTCCCACCAGAGCTGGCGGTGTTCATCCGAACAAAAGACGCTCCTGCTGTCGGGAGCTCCGTAGAGGCGGGCGGGCTTCACGCAGTTGCGGTAGGAGCACGTCTTCTTGAACAGGGTCTGGACGTTGCGGCTCGTGTCTGTACAGTTGGGACAGACAAAACGCTCTATGAGATTCTCGCCGATGTTCTTTGCAATGTTGACGCACTCCCCATGGAACCAGTCTTCGCAGACGTCGCATCCTATCATGAATCGGTGGTCGTCGGGTCCGCGACAGATGCAGTAAGGCCCGTTATCCGATCCCTCTTCGTCCTCAGAGCCGCTTGGTGACGGGGCCTCATCTGCCGCTTCCTTCAGAGTGGAAGAAGTGGCCGACGTGCCTTGCTTCTTCTTGGGTTTGGGTTTCCTTCCTCCCTTCGAGGCACCTTTTGGGCGTTTAGGCGTCTTCTTGACGGTTGCTTGACCCTTCTTCTTCCCCACCAAAGCCACAGTCGATGTCTCTGTTGATTCCGGGACGTTGATCTGTGGAGGCGCTGGTGTTGAGTTGGAAGACGGCTGTGTAGTTTGTGTTGTTGTTGGCGGTGGCGGTGGCGGTGGTGGTGGTGGTGGAGGAGGAGAAGGAGGCGGTTCCACTAGATCGGGAGGTGGTTGAAAGCGAGCAACGGTGTGGCCGTATTGGCCAAATGGTATTGTCCCATGTGAATTGTCTTGAAAAGGCACATCGGCCATTTCTTGATCTGCATCTTGCATGGCATTTCCTCCGGCTGCCGGCCCAGCACCGGAACCTGCCTCCTGCTGGTCGAGACCAGAGGAAGACATATCAACAAAATTTCAGTCTCAAGTCTGATTCCTGGTAGATGAAAAGAAAGGCTGAAATTAGAGCAGAATCTTTGTCGACTGTGGTTAAAATAGGAGAGAGAGGTGTTGTATATGAGTTGTGGGGATGAGATTAAGATGAAAAGAAGTGTTGAGTTGCGCGCGCTTGATACCGACACGCTTTGTGATGTTCACTCTCGGTGAACAAGACACTGGGGACGACACCGAGGAATGGGGACGACTGCTTTGGCTGAATAATATAACCGGAAGGTTGTTCTTCCGAGCTCCGATAATTCTCCCAACCAGATGTACTTCGTAAGCCAAGCACAAAAAAGCCAAAGCTTCCCAAGTCACTTGTAGTAGCGTTTGGAAGATCTTAGCTCTTACGATGTCACGGCCATTCGCGACTTTTGTTGGATAATCGAGTGTTATAATTATTTCCCCCGTTTAGCCCGGAACAGCGTTGCCATGATGTCGCCCGCATTAGCGCCTACGAGAACCCTCCTCAGGAGCTTGTTTGGCAGCCCTGCCCAGCAATGCCGAAGATGCCTTTCACATGTGGCAGCTCCCAAATCGAGTCGGCCGACCATCGCAACCAATCCGATGCTCCCCAGGCAAGATCAATTCCAGAAGAGGACAAAGACGCACAAGACAATTGAGCAGGCAAAGAGCCGGTATAAGTCGGGGGTAGGTGGTCTCCCTCGGGTTCCCCGTTCCAGGTCACGGTTCCCCCAGAGACAATTGAGCTGACAAAAAACAACCGGACAGCCGTTTTCCTGGAAAGCTGGGCTGCTCTTCGTCATGACGGCTGGTGGTCTGGTGTGGTACTTCGAGTACGAGAAGCAGCGTATGCAGCGGAAGCGAATTGCCGACGCGACCAAGGGCATCGGCAAGCCAAAGGTCGGCGGACCGTTTGAGCTCATCGACCAGAACGGCAACCCATTCTCGAGCGAGGATATGAAGGGCCGCTACGCTTTGGTATGTCGAGAGGAAGAGTAGCACCGTCGCATGCGAGGAGTGCGCGAATACGAATACCCACCAGATGACTGACGGTTTTGTTTCTTTTCAGGTCTACTTTGGGTTTTCGCACTGCCCCGACATCTGCCCCGACGAGCTTGACAAGATGGCGCGAATGTTTGATATTGTCGAGGAACAGAGACCGGGCGCGATCCTACCCGTCTTCGTGACGTGCGATCCTGAACGGGACACGCCCGGCATCTTGAAGGAGTACCTGGCCGAGTTCCACCCCAGGTTTATCGGATTGACGGGCTCGTACGACGACATCAAGGCCATGTGCAAGAAGTATAGGGTGTATTTCAGCACACCTCAGAACGTAAAGCCGGGACAGGACTATTTGGTGGACCACAGCATCTACTTCTACCTGATGGATCCGGAGGGCGATTTCGTCGAGGCGCTAGGGAGACAACATTCTCCGCAGGCGGGAGCGAAATTGATCCTTGACCATATGAAGGATTGGACCGGTAAATGGGCAAAGAACTAAAGGGAGATTACTTTTGTACAATGTATAAATTGTGTATATTGAAGAGAGGAGATCGCTGGGAGCCTGTATGCATACCAGTTCAGTGGTAGACGAGAGAGAGAAGAGGGAGAAGAGGGAGAAAAAGCCACGGCCAGGATTAGGTAGGATAGCTACCGTGTAATACCACCACTCCGCTGCATGTAAATCAAAGTCAGTATCAGGAGGAGCTTCATGTTGCAATATGTTGATGAGACGGGTTTGTGCTTCCGCACTTCGCTCTGCAAGGACCTCGGTCGGGACCGCTGGTCTCCTTCACCGAAGTGGGTCTTTTCACCGAGTGGACCTCGTCACTCAAAGGTGCCTGCCCGTCCCAACCTCGTGATAGAACCTCCTTCACAACACCATCATCAACGACCAATTGCTGTTACGATTGTTGATAACGTCTGTTGTGCCGTTTGTTCGAGTCCCCAGTCAGACGAAAATTCAGGAAAGAGCTCATTTTAGATGCTCTTGGGAAGATGAAGTCATCACCCCGGGCTCTAGCCTCTGTGCCTCGATGTACGGCACAAGCCGCTAGGCCTGGTGCGAGACGACTCACTGGTCTTTATGGCAGTATAAACAGCGGCAGCGGCAGTGCCCAATATCGTGGGCTCATTCATCAATGGCATCGGAAGCCCCAAGGCGGGGTCGCGTTTTCACGAGGGTTGAGTACCAAGCTGAGATCGCATGAACCGTCAGAGCCAGTATTCCATACCGGCGAAGCTCCATCTTTCGCTTTTGCCTTTGAGTATGTTCCTATATGCCTTTACGTGTCTTTAAATTCTGGGGACCATCTGATTTCGATGACCTCAGGATACACCAACAAATATCCCAGACAAGCGGACGATGAGCAGGAAGATGGCGCTGACACTTGCACAGCATTGACGGCGTCCTATTGCATGTAGCCAAACCCATACCGGGTGCGCAGGAATCTCTGAAGTACTTGCAGGACAACAACATCCCCTTTATCCTGTTGACGAATGGCGGAGGCAAACTCGAGAGGGATAGGGTGAACGACCTGAGCTCCAAATTGGGGGTTGAGCTCACGGTCGACAATTTCGTCCAATCGCACACGCCGTTCCAAGAACTGACCCGCGGCCCCCAAGGGCTGGGCGACAAGACTGTGTTCGTGACCGGTGCGGACGTGCAAAAATGTCGCGAGATTGCTTACAGGTAAGACGAAAACTTGGGCGAAAGAGCCCGTTTAATTTGACCACAAACGCATCCGGGTCCCTCATATCGGGGAATTGGGGGGGGGGGGGGGGGGGGGGGGGGAGTGGTTGGGTTTTTTTCGGCTGACACTGTGTCGCGAATAAATAACAAAACAGTTACGGATTCAAGAGCGTCGTGACGGCCGCAGATATCCTACGCGACCACCCCGACATCTGGCCCTTCGACGCGCTCATGGAGTCTGTCTACGGGGGGAGCGCCCATCCGCTCCCCCTCCCCCTACACACGGGAGAGCACATGCACGACAGCACTGCCCTCAAGATCGATGCCATCCTCGTGTTCAACGACCCGCGCGACTGGGCGCTCGACATACAGATCATAGTAGACCTTCTCGTCTCGCGGCAGGGCATTCTGGGGACGTACTCGGCCAAGAACGGGGACCGGAGCCTGCCCAACGACGGTTGGCAGCAGGACGGACAGCCGCCGGTGGTGTTCTCCAACTCAGACCTGTTCTGGTCGACGACGTACCATCAGCCGCGGTTCGGGCAGGGGGCGTTCCAGGCTGCGCTGGACGGGGTGTGGGCTCGGGTGACGGGTGGGAAGGAGCTCGTGCGTACGTCTTTCGGAAAGCCTTTCGTCGAGACATATCGGTTTGCGGAGAGGGTGCTGAACGAGCATCGGGCCAAGATCCTGAGTATGGGGAAGATGAGTGGGAAGGAGATGGCGCCGTTGAGGAGGGTTTACATGGTCGGTGATAACCCTGAGAGCGATATTCGAGGGGCCAACGAGTTTGCTAGCCCCCAGGGGACCGAGTGGACTTCAGTACTGGTCAGGACTGGTGTCTGGAGGCCGGAGAGGGGGGAGCCTGCGCACAAGCCCAAGATGTTGGTTGACGATGTCAAGGCGGCGGTTGAGTGGGCATTGAAGAGGGAGGGCCATTAATTAGCGAACAAGGGTCACTTGCGGGAGCCTTCCTTTTGTTATATGTTATATAGGTAGGGATTACACATTACTATCCATCAACAACTTGGCGAAATGGTCTGAATAGGTTTTACATGACATATTCGGAAATGAAAATTATCCTTTGAGATGGTCTGACGGTTCAACTGAATTCGGCCTATTTTTTGTTTGCTGAACCGAGCCTGGTTCTGTTCTTGCAGAACCCATTGTGCGGGCCCAGAAAGTGGCAAGTATCCGTGCCCCAGACTATATACTGTACACCTCTCCAGGGATTAGAAACGTTAGCTCGTATACAATCTGATATAACTGGCTAGGATACCAGGGGACCCCTACAGGTCATAGTACAACCAAACATATAACATATTTGCCTATTTTATAAGTACCTATATCTATACGAAAAAAATCAATTCCCTTAATAATATCCTTAACACTATCGTTAAAAATTAGTATTATCCCTATCCCTCTTAATACACTAATATAGCCGGTAGGGCATCGTACGAACTAAACGCTCTAAAAAGCTCCTATTAATAGCCTCCTATGCAGCCTCGATAGCTACCTTTAGCTTCTCCCCTCCTATCCACTACAGCTATAGATATTAATACTTAATCAGCTCTTTATAAAGAACTAGACGTGCTCTATAGGAGCTAGGTCTGGAGAGTAGGGGGGGAAGTCTAGTAGTATAATATCACGATCGTTAAGCCACTTTTTAACCTTCCTGGATCGGTATAAGGGGGCGCCGTCGTGCTAATATATCCTATACAGAAGACGATCTTCTATAAATCGTAGGATCTTCGGATAGATAAATTTAACGAATCTATCCCCGTTAACGCCTCTATATTCCTTAGGCCAGATATAGCAGGGCCCCTTTATACGCCCTGTAATAGAGCCCCAGAATATCTAACCCTCGGTGTTCCGATAAAGCAGTGGGAAGTCTTTAGGACGTTCTATATTATAGACAATTATCTATTACTTCTAGAGCGGATCGTTTATAGCCTAGGTCTTATTAGCTATCACGATAGGATTATTTACCTAATCGTTAGGCGTTAGGAAAAGCTTTAGTATATCTATAGCGAAGGTTAGGCGCTTACGTTTATATTCTTCCGCGAGATAGATCTTATATAGGCGGATACGACGTGAATACCTAAGATCTTTTATCGTAGACTATATAGCCGTATCGCTACACGAGGAGAGGCTAAGCATACTAAAGCGTAGGTCGCCCTATATATATATACGGTGGTATTAGTCTTCCTGAATCCACTCGTATATCCGACGTCGTAAAGGCGTGCTAATCTTCTTCCTCCGCGTATTAAACCTTTAAGGCGTGGCCGCTTTAGCCTGGCAGGCGTACTAGACTTAACGTATCGTGACCCTTTAGCCGATAGTCTAAGACGCCGTAGCAGCTATACGGCTATAGCTTTAGCCTACTATATATCAGAGCCCCCGAAGCTCTAGCTTTAAGTCTTTAAAGAGCTCCTTAAAGCGTTTCTACGGGGCTTCCGCCTATAAAATTAGCAGGAGGGCGTCTTAACGAGCGGCTTTAATAGAACGGTTATTAACCCGGTTTTATCGTTTAGTATAGGGAGAGGCAGGAGGCCGAGGGATACTTCCGTTCCTATATAGCGTAGCTCCGTTAGGGGAGTCGTCGATAATAGGAAGCCGCCGAAGCCATAAAAGAGGCGTTAAAGGGCGTTAAATCTCGATATCTTCGGCGTTAGCGTTAGATAAACGCAGGGAAGATAGGGCGGTATTAGCGGGCATATTAGAAAGAGCTTCTTTTAAAGATTCTAATAGTATCTTTAAAATACAGATTAGTATAAAACTAATAAAGTTATAATAAGTTAAAGTTAGAGTCTTTCGTAGAATATCGTGAGGAATCTAGTAATAGCTTTAATTAGCGTGACGTTAGCCTCGTTAGTCCTAGTAGCGATATTTAGGTTTATACCTCTCTATATAAAATAGGTGGAAAAGTACGGATCGGTAGCGTAATCCAATGATTAATCGAGACGTGGGGCTAAGTTTCGAGCTAACGTTTCTAATCCCTGGAGAGGTATACAGTAGGTAGGCAACAAAATTGGGCCAGGGTCTCTGTGCATTTCATTTAAAACGGATGCTCCCGAATGCGACCAGAATCCTGAGGCCTTCCAAGATTTCCGGGGTTGTTCTGTTGGCATGACGTCAAGGGAGGGAAGGGAGGGATTCAATACACCCGCCAGTCTCTGGAATCTCTCCAATGGACAGCCGTAGCTCCCTGACACATCGCCTATGCCACCCCGCAGCGTGGCGCTGGGCAGCTGAGAAAGGCCCCACCCCCCCTCCCCCCCCAAGACAGGCGCCACACAGGATGTATGGAAGTCTTGGAAACCCGTCACTCCATTAAAGCGAAAAGAAAAGAAAAGAAAAGTTCCGGTAACCGAGAATCTGGAGACGTCTTCATATATGTTTTCGAGTCGTCAGATATCGTGACTGTGCCCAGATTTGATTCTTTTCCATTTTTCGTCCTTTCTTCTTTCCCTTTCCGACTCGAAAGCAGAATCACTGACAGGTGACAGGGTCCAGATTGTGCTACCTGTTATCTTATCGCTGGACCCCACCCCGTCTGCGGCTTGAGTCCCCTGGAACTCCCGATAAGGGGCCTGGGCTTTCGTCTGTCTCCCCACAAGCGCGCGAGGCAACTGCCCTTGACCTCTTCAGGTCCCAGATCACGCGCCATCCTCTCGACAACCTCGGAGAGGGGAAACACCCGAAGACTAACGACGGGAGGTTTACGAGAGGTTTATTACGAGTACCGCCTTTATTCCTTTGCCACTTACCACATACACACACCCTCTCTCTCCATCTCTACCCTTATTTCCCCTGTCACTGTCGCACCAAATCAACAGGGACACAAATACCGAGCCGAAGACGAATCCGCGTTCTAGGACCACGTAGTGACCGTTCTCCCATCTACGGGACCGACATACGGATACCCTCACGTCATTTTACACCATTGTGCCGTTAATCTCGAGACTCGCTTCAACTTCACAGCTCTTCCCTTGGTTGCACCTTCATCGGGCGCCCTGTACGAGCTATTCAGCCTCCTCTTGTCCCTCCTCTTTGACGTTACACACGAATTCCCCGCCCCGCCATCCTCACCATGGCCGACTCATCTCGAATATCTCAAGTCAGCGGCTCGGGCAGCCAACCTCTACGGTCCGCCCTCAAGTCCGATGATGGCCCTGAACGGCCCCATGCTTCCGGCCCAGCTTCCTCCTCCAGCAAAGGTCAGTCAGTAATCAGCCAAAATGTCGCTTTACAGCCAGCCAGTGGCTTTTCTCCCTCTTCTCCGCCAAATATAATTCAATCTAGCATCTTCGCCCCGCGCCTATGAATCACTGCTGACGCCTCTCAAAGTGGTCCAGATCGTGGCATCTCCTGAGCCTCTTCCCAATTCGTCATCCGAGTCCCAGCTCAAGCGACAGTACTCGGCCAACGTGGCTAATAAGAGACTTGGTGGTCGACCTACTATGCCTCCGAGCGCCGCTTCTTCCCGCACTTCTCTGAACGGGCTGGCAGACCAGGCTTTCACGCAGGACACCCCCGACGACATATCAGAACAACCTCAAAACAACGCCCCGAATCGCAAGCAGCAGTATGTGAGCCAGAAGCTTCTCTCCCAGGTATACGACTGGCTCGAGCATGAACAGCGGAAGAAGGAAACACGTGGGAACCACCAGAAGCACCACCAGCAGCAACATGACCATCACCACCACCACCTTCACCTCGGATCGTCCTGGCGGAAGCAGCGTTCTCAAAAGAAGGAGAATGATGGTACCGAATCGGAACCGCCGCACTCTGCTCGCCCCCGATCCGATTCGGTCGATTCCCAGACTAGCGACGTGGATCTGGATAAGCTGCAGCGTATTCTAGAGGAGAACATGAGCGCCATGGGTCTCGATTCCATCCCCACGTTTGGTCCACGTCGTTCTTCCATCAGTCGTCACAAAAGACTCGGCTCCCGCACCCTGTTTGTCCGAAACACTGGCTCCGACACAGACTACGTCGATGGCGATGTTGTGGTGCCGGCCTGCGACGCCGTCCTCGATAACACCAAGACCCTGAGTTACAATTCCGGAAGAAGCTCGACCAACTTGTTTGCTGCAGGCAAGGCCGAGGCCAAGGAAAAGGAGGCCTGGGAGACTTTTAGGAACGAGATCATCCGCCTGGCCCGCACGCTGAGGATAAAGGGGTGGCGTAGGGTCCCGCTCAGCTGGGGTGATAGGATTTCGGTTCAGAGACTCAGCGGTGCCTTGACCAATTCCGTCTACGTGGTCACCCCCCCTCCCCCGCAAGACCTGGAGCCGGCCCCCGGGAAGAAGGCCCCGTCCAAGCTCCTCCTGCGTATCTACGGCCCGCAGGTGGGGCAGCTCATAGACCGGGAGCAGGAGCTGAGCGTGCTCAAGCGGCTCGCACGTAAGAAGATCGGCCCGAGGCTACTCGGGACTTTCACCAATGGCAGGTTCGAGCACTACTTCAACTCGACGACCCTGACGCCGGCCAACCTCCGAGAGCCCGAGACGTACAGACAGATCGCGAAGCGTATGAGGGAACTTCACGACGGCGTCGAGATCCTGGAGAGCGAGAGGGCTGCGGGGCCAGCTGTTTGGTGCAACTGGGATCGTTGGCTGGCGAATGTGGAGAAAATGGTGGTGCCGCTCGACGAAGAGGCGAAAGCGAAGACATCCGGTAACACACTTCCAGGCCCGAGCGTCTTCCGGGGCCGGGGATTTGTCTGCGGCACGGAGTGGCCCAAGTTCAAGGCCGCGGTGGAAAAGTACCGCCAGTTTCTGGTCGGGAGGTACAAGGACGCGGAAGATATCAACTGGCGACTTGTTTTTGCGCATAATGATGTAAGTTTTTCCCTCACTCGCCAGCAACGATGACAATTGGGGGGGGGGGGGGATGGGGGGCTCACAAAAGGCTGTCCAGACGCAATATGGCAACATTCTCCGAATCCGACCGGACGACGAAAAGTCGCCGCTGCTCCAACCCGCCAACGAGCATAAGCAGCTCATTGTCATCGACTTCGAATACGCGGCAGCGAACCTGCCGGGCCTCGAGTTCGCCAACCACTTCACAGAATGGTGTTACAACTACCACGGCACCGTGCCGCACGCGTGCAAGACGGAGCGGTACCCGATGCCCGAAGACCAACGGCGCTTCATCAAGGCGTACGTCGACCACCGCCCGCAGTTCCCCCACTCCGGCTCGACCCCTCGTCTGACGCCGCTGGATACGCCCACGTCCACGCCCACGGGCGGCAACAACCCGGCCCTACACGCGACGGGCTCTACCAGTTCCATCGTTGACTTCATGCTGGACGCACGCGTGCCGGCGGGTCAGTGGAGGGAGGAAGAACGACAGCAGGAGGAGGCGACGGAGAAGGCGGTGACGGAGCTGATGGAGGAGACGAGGCTCTGGCGGGCGGCGAACAGCGCGCAATGGGTTGCTTGGGGCATCGTGCAAGCCAAGATTCCCGGCGTCGACGTGGACGGTGGCGCCGCTGAGGCGGGGACTGAAAACGACAGTGCCGCGGCGATATACGGCGCAAATGGGGAAAAGGAGGAAGAAGAGGAGGAGTTTGATTACTTGCGATATGCGCAGGATCGGGCCTTGTTTTTCTGGGGAGACTGCATCCAGCTGGGTCTGGTCAAGGTTGAGGAGCTGCCTGACGATATTCGGGACAGGGTGAAGTATGTGGATCGGTAGTCGATGCAAGCAATCCTTAATTACAGCGGGATCGTCACGTTTTTTTGAACTAGCAGGTATTACAGTAATTGAGGCGCAGTGGAAATGCATATTGAGAATTGGTTTGCCATTTTCTTGCCTTCGTCCACGTGTGTCATGTCTGTGGGAGATTCTCCTTTACTATTCCATCACCGCTTTATGTCTCAAATCCACCACCCTCTTCCATCATTATGGTCATCGCCGTCGCCGTCGCCATTGCCATCATCATCATCATCATCATCATCATCATCATCATCATCATCATCATCATCATTATGGCCATCTGTCCAATCATCCCCCCTCCCCCTTTCCCACCCAACTACTAAGCACCCTCGACACCACCATCTTTGCCTTCACCATCATCAACACGCACCCCGACAGCCCCATCGCGGTTCGCCCTCCAAACGCCACCCCCATCCTCAAACTCCTCAAACTTCCACACCTCGACATTGGCCTTGACATCCTCCAACACCTCCTCCCCCGCGCGCCAGGCAGGACCCCTATGAGCGGCCGCGACGGCGATGAGCACGCTCTCCTCACCGACGGGGACGTCGCCCAGGCGATGGGCGACAGCGACGCCGAGCAGGTCGTGGGCGTCGCGGGCGCGCTCGGCGACGGAGAGCATGGTGCGCAGCGCGAGGGGCACGTAGGACTCGTAGCGCAGGGAGCGCACGCGGCGGCCGGCGAAGTGGGCGCGCGTCGTCCCTGCGAAGAGGACCAGCGCGCCAGCCTCGGGGCTGCGGACGGCGTCGAGGGCCCAGGTCGAGGAGAGAGGGGCGTGGGTTAGGAGGATGGTTGTTTGTGGGGCGGTGAGGGTCCAGGGGCCTTCCCCTCCTTCCACGTCGCTTCTGCTTTCGATTTCAGTTTGGGTTGGAGGTGTTTGGGTTTCTGGTTCATCTTGTGTTGTGGCCATGGCGAGAAGAGCTTTGAGGGGGGGGGGGGACGGCAGAGCGAAGATGTGGTCTTTTTTCTTTTTTTTTTCTTCCTTTTTCTTTCTTTTTAAAGTGGCTTTAGGGCTTTTAGTCTTTGAGATCCTTCCTCGGAGTTCAATCTCAGGCGCGATTAGCAACGACGATGAGGCCTTTCGAGTTGGTGATTTTGGATGAGATATAAAAGCCGCCTGTTCGATGCCGATGTCGATGACGGATGAAGGAAGCGTGAGCTAACGCGAAGACAAGTGGTACCAGGTGGAGATAGGTGGCAATAAGTGCCCGATCATTTTATCCATTCGTAGGTCCCCAAATCAATCAAATCGTCGACGGGATGGAAGATGATCAAACGGATAGAAAAACGATGCCACTACACCGATGATGTCGAGAATCCCTTCATTCGCAGAGAGTCTGGCATTTATCCAGGGAATGAATGCTGTAAAGTATCTTCTTCGTAAACCCCCCTTGACGACCCGGACCCCCTCGTCAAAATTCACCCCTATCTATCCCTGACGTGCCATCTCCTCGAGCCAGCCTAGAATAAAAGGACGAGCCTTGATCAGGATGCACTCGGCGTACAAGTTCTCGCCGGAACTAAAGGTGTCGGGGGCACTACCGGCGATAGGAGTCCCTAAGGGATCGTCCGACAAAACGTAACGCCGAGCACGCTGAGCATCCACAGTCAGCACCATGTTGCTTTAACCGCGGTTCCCCTTCATGGATGATGGATCCAGATAGGAGGATAGGGGGCAGGGGCCACATATGCGCGTACCTTTTCCAGAAAGCGCTTAAGCTCCTCACTACGGATTTCCTTTGGAAGCAAAACCACCTCCAGAAGAGAGAGTGTATTGATACGATGACCCCACTGTGTCCAGATTTCCTCCCGATCGAGAAGTTTCACCAGCATGTCAGAAGGATCCCCGATGGCAATCAAGTCAATACATGCCTCGCTCGAAGCGAGGGCAGGCAGCACCTGGCGCAGAATAGACTCCATATGGTTCTCGGGCGTCTCGCTGCCGGGGATGCGGTTGGCGACAGTGATGCGACGGCCGGTGTGGGCCATACTGGCGAGGGGCATGTCGGCGACGGCGGCGAGGGTCAGAGCCGTGCGACCCTCGGGCCACCAGAAGACACCGCCGACATTCGCGAGGACGACACCCGGAGCTCGCGGGTCGTCGGCGGACGACTGCTGCGCTTGCAGGTCGCGGACGACGGAGACCATGGTGCCTTTGTTGATGCCGCCGCGTCCATTGGCGACGCGGAGCGCGAGGTTGCCGAGGTTTTGGTGGGGCTCGCCGAAAATGACGACGACACGGCTCTTCTCCTTCAGATTCTGGCTCGCAAAGATGGGAACGTGGGGCTGTGACTCGTCCGTGGTGCCTAGTGGCAGGAGTACTTTCTCCAGGCCCTCCTTCTCCAGACGGTGGAATACAATGTTCTGGATGGCTTCTAGTGGGATGTTAGTCGTCCATGACAAGGAATCTAGAATCTATACGCACGGTTGAAATGGAAGCGCTGGCGGTAGTTGATCCGCTGGTTCTTGTCTATGAAAAAATGAAAGTACCTGTCCGGGTCGGCGATAGACCGAATTTCGTCATCCTCGTTGATGAAATACCTGTCATTCCGTGTCAGCCAGGACGCAGAGATGTTTGGAAGGGAGATGGATCCGACTTGCCCGAGATCCTTGAGGTTTGACGGGTAGACAGGGTCCTTGGGAAGACCCGACCAGAGACGACGGTACATCGTGCAGACAGACGACGGCAAGAGAAAGTTAATCAGAAGAATCCAAAGTTGATGGGAAAGAAGAGAGAAAGAAGCTTGTCTCTTCTGACAAATTCTGGGCTGGCCGAGGTAGCAGGATAGAGGTGCCCAGTAAAACGTATCTGATGGCACCTTGGTAGATGAAGTAGGCGCCTATCTTAGTTACCTTAGGCAGGAACAAGAGGCTGCCCGTGATGCATAATCACTCCCCAACCAAGATCGCAACTTCCCCCGGTTTGACGCTTGCCTCTCCTTCAACCTATGACAACAATATTGCGCCTTGCCTTTGCCGACAAAGACGCCCAAGTCCAGGGATCTCACAGATGTGTCCAGCACACGAGCAGCAGCAGCATCCCGAAAATGGAAGTTTGTTTCTTCGGCAAACGATATCATGCGCAGTGGCCCATGGGACAAAGATTTGTCGTCAAAAATTTCGTATATTTGTACAATCGTAAAGTGTTGCAGACAATCGAACCTTGCCATCGTCTCGGTCCGAGCCGCCAACGCCGCCTACCAACTGGCCTTCTTCACGCCCGGCAGGTTACCCTCTATCGCTTGCATTCGGAAGTTGTACTGTTGCCGCCACTGTCAGTTACTGTATCCTTCAACCCAACAACGTCCGGTCCAGAACAAAACGCCCTTGATCGATTGCCGCCCGAAGAAACGCGACGTACCCTTGTCATTTTGAAGTCTCGGAACACGCCGCGGCTCTTGCCACCAAGGATGCACCGGTTCCGGATTTGTGACGGCCTTGTGTAGCAATGCATTTGCGACAGCTGGAGCTGGGCTTCGGCCCGTACGCGCGGAGGGAGGGTTGTGTTGCGGATGATGTAGCGGAGCGCTTGCCTGCAACGTGGAGGGTTGACGTCTCTGTCAGCTCTTCCGTCCTGATTCCTCCACTGCATTGTCTCATGAAGACTTGAGAATAGAGGCAAAGGGGTCGGGCGGGAGGGAGATGGCCGGGGCCTTCCGGGTTCACGTACCTTTCTGTCTCGAAGGCCTCGAAAGCCTTGCGCTTGGTGTGGTCGCGGATCGTTCCAATCTTGACGAAGCAGCCCAGAGTGAGCTTCTTCGCCCGTTGAAACATCGACATCTTGCCCGTGTTGTTGGTGGTGAGATGCGGTGCTGAGGACGGGAGCGAAACGGTCCAATTCGTGAAGCTTTCTTTGTGTCCAAATCCAATTGCTCACCGAAACTCGGATTAACGATCACGGACCGTGTTTTCTCCGATGTGGAAGTGAGTGTACCTTTGGTGGTGGGGGTCATTACTAATCATTCTCGACGACAGAAGCAAGACCATGGTTCCAAAAGGTACCCTTTTTTTAAAAAAAGAAAAAAAAAAAAGAAAAAAAAACCACAACTCCAACGATATGCGCGTGATATTCGGGAATACGAGAGGTATCGCGAGGGCCTGTCGGCAGTCTCAAAGTTCACGAGGGAGTCCATCGCGCGGAAGCTTTACGAGGTCCTACTGCTTGGAAATCATACTGTCGACGAGATCTATGCGGCCGTCGAACTGGCAAGATAGAAAGGGACGGTTATACAGCTGCTGGGCCCTCCAAGAAATGCCGAATCATCAAGAGATCACAATGTCCAGATGGAGGTTGATGCCTGCACGGAATAACTCAAATGGTTAGGACTAATAAGGTACGGACGGATATGATTAGGCCCCGTTCGACAATTTCATCAACTTAGTAAATCCCACTAAGTTAGCGAAAAAATGCATAACTTATAACCCACCGATAGCATAAGAACCCCTTTTATATAATATTTTCAGTGTAACTGCATTTTTTATATATTCCTCCGTTATCCCCCTATTATCTAGGTACTACGCTAAGCAGGGGCCTATTAGCTCGAGGATTTTACTCCTAAAATCGAGAAGCCGCTGATGGGGCCACCGAATCGGGCGGACTCTGCCGCCATTCTCACAGGCCTCATCAGCGCGTGTCGGGTCTTGTCTCGGTGCAGGCCAGGTACTGAGTACTTCCAGTGGGACTGTGCGGGCCCTGTGACAGTTGCGTCTGTCAGGGGGCCCACAGCCAGGCATCCGCTCAGCGAAGGAAGGCATGGCTGGTCCAGGAGCCGGGCTTCTTGAGCCCTCTTTTCGCGTTTGTCCAAACGCCTCTTTTGGCTCTTTCCAACAATGAGCTGTCCCTTCATCGTCTTACCTGGGCGATAATGCGCCATAAAAGGCGGCAGCGCCTTCTACGGCGTTCGCCATGCTTCGATCGGTCGGTCGCTCCCATTCTTTCGCCGCAATCCTTCCTCACTTTCGCATCGCCGCCCTTCGACAGCTCGACCTCGAACCACTATGCCATATGACGCGGGCGCGAACGGCGCTCTCGACAATCATGTCGATTTTCTTGCCCAGATCGCTCAAGAATCCCAAGGGAAACGACAAAAACGGCCTGCCCCGCTTTCCGCCGAAGAGCACGCTGAGAATCGAAAGCGACTCGAACGAGCGACCTTCGTCAAGCCCGTCTACGCGGATGAAACCCAGATTAATGTGGCTGGTCTTCTGAAGAAATGGCAGCGGTACGTGAACCTGTCCCTTCTCTCCTCGGATGTCTCTCTAACGGGGAATGTAAGATACTGCCGCGAGAATAACGTGGGCGATTGGGAGGCCACACTGAAGACCTTGCGGCGAGCGACGATTATGGATTTCTTCCTCTTCGTCCGCAGCAACTACACCATCAAATCATGGGGCACCTCGCATGTGTACATTCGCCAGTTTCAACAGCTGTACACTTCGGTGACGGGTCGCTTCCTGGACCGGAACGATGCCAAGGAGGTTTACAAGGTGCGGCCATCTGAACTGGATTCCTGTATCAGGACAGGACGATACTAACGTGTTTCATACAGTACCACCGACAAGTCCTGATTCCTCGGTTCGATCTCCGCGCACCCAATATTGACGGCAAGCCAGTCGTAAGCGCGCCCGATTTGCAGGTCCTCCTGGCGTTCAATATCGCCTATGATACGAAGATCTTCCCAAGCGAGCGGCATCGCATCCAGCTCGCCTGCTGCTACAAGATGATGTCCTATACCGGAGCGAGGCCTGCCGAGCTCGTTCACAACGAGAGAGCGAAGCCCAAGAACAAGGTGTTCAAAACGCTCTTCGGCTCCAAGATCGTATCTCTGGATGCCACCGACCATGGGAAGATCGAGGACGAGGCTGGAGACGATACGGACGACGAAAGCAAGACGGACGACGCCGCAGCGGAGTGTCGGCGATTGGACGAGCTTCTGTCGTCCGAGACAAAAGGCCGCGGGCGCCCAAAGGCGCTCTGTTACGAGGATATACGTTTGATGATTGTCCGTCATCCGGTAACGGGAAAGGCCATTCCTGCCATGGCCATCAAGTTCGTTCATCACAAGGGATCGGACAACAAGCCTAAACCGTGAGTGCTGGCCACCCAGATCCGCGACGACGTATACACTACTCCATGCTGATCTTAACCAGAACGATCTTTTACTTCACACCGACCAAGAAGCTGGTTTTCTGTCTCGTCAGCGACATCATCGCGCTCGCGCTCCACGATCGCGCCTTTGACGCTCCAAGCTTGACAAGCGCCGGCCGGGTATTGGGGACCAAGATCTCGGCATCCATGTCATGCATACCTCTACGGTGGAAGAAGTCCATGCTCAAGATACCAATCTTACGGCGCTTTGGCTGCAATGGAGTTCTCTCCCACGACGAGCCCATGCCCTACGCCAAGCTGCGAGACGACATGGGACAGCAGAGTGAAGATGCCGGGTTTGAAATCCGGTGGACGCCAAGGTTTTGCCGCAGAGGCGCAGCTAACGCTGCCAACGGTACGTACGCTGTGGAACAAGCACCGAGGCGTATATTCATTTACCTGCTGAGACTAATATGATGAAAAGGAGCCGCACCAGATGCTGTTCGGGACCAGATGATGCGACACGACCCCAAGTTCGCCACATTTCACGATGCGACCTAAATCAGATGGTCGACTTCGATATGCAGAACACGTTTCTCCAAGAAGAGACGGAAACTCGGCTGTACAAGCTATTCGCGCATGTCAGCCTGACACGCGACCCTAGGGCAAAACGCGACATGGTGCCTGCCAAAGTCTGGGCGAATCTGCCGCCAGAGCCCGAGATCGAGAAGCTGCACGAACGGCGGGCCGCACTGAAACGAGGACAATACCGCATCCAAGGCCGGGCAGAGGAGCAAGAGATACGAATGCTGACCGAGCAGATACGGCTCAACAGAAAAAGCATGAGGACCACATTGCGAAGCGATACCGAGAGTACTACTTTTATAACCGGCCGACCTGGGACATTGAGAGACGAGCACGCGGTGAGCTGGAGGAAGAAGAGTACGAGGAGCCTCAGATCGAGCTCGACATCCCCGAACGCGCCCGACTTGCCGAAATCTGGTGTCACCAGCCGGAACATTGGACAGATAACGAGATCGCCCGTCATCGCATCGAGCAGATTGATCAGATGGTATTGTTGTGCGACAAGAGAGAGACGCGTCGTCGTGGTCGCCAACGACGTCAATTAAACTTGTCTACCAAACGAGACTCACCGAGTATATCCCCCGCACCCGAAGCCGATCCGTTTCCGCTCTTGATGGATGCGGGACAGTGTCCTGACTGCATCGGCGATGGTCGGCTTTCGAAAGAGGAGCGGACTTTCCGGTTTTGTCGCCCGGCGATCCGGAATGAGCACTTTGACGACCAGCACTTGAAAGCGCGCGAGCTTGCGCAGCGTCGCGGCGAAGCAATCCGCTGCGAGCACCCCAAGTGCGTAGACGTAAAGTTACATTCCCTGGATCACTTCCGGAACCATGTGAGGACGGTTCACAATGTCGCGCTTTGAACCGCAGACCAGGCAGGTACGCGTAGGCGCAAGAAAGCGAAGCACCGTTCAATGGCTCGGGATCTGGGATAGGAGAAGCGATCGGTTCTTCTCTAGTGTACTGTATGCTTGGTGTGTTAGACAATTGCAACATCTCTATCCCTACAAAGAAGGGCGCCAGTCTTACTTCAACATATCAACATGCCCCCCCCCCCCCCCCCCCCCCCCCCCAAAAAAGACGAGCACATTACTAGTTCTTCGGGGGCCTTGTGTCAAGACAGTCCGATGTGGTATTTAACGGTCTTCTTCTCGGATTGCATCAGTCGCCCAATTGCGTTTGCCGCCATTCAAAACGTTCTTCAGAAAAACTTCTATCATAGGCCTGTGAACGTTTCTTGAAGTTTTCTTCGGCCCATTCTTGTTTGTTGATGTTCCTATCTATTCAAATGATCAATATCAAACGAAGCGTGTGTGATGTGCTCGTACGTACCCGGGTGATAGAGCAACTTTTCTTCAGATGCCCCCGTTTTACATCGTCGAAGCTAGCGTCTGCGTTGACCTGAGCAATGATTAGCAATGCAGCCGGGACCAGGGGCTATTGCGCACGTACATCAAGCCATCCGTATCAATCCAAGTCTTCCGGCATGTTGCTCGTGGGATGGACGCGGTGTTCGTTGTGCCTCGCGAAAGTCGGAGTCTTTTAAGAACCAGTGGAGCGCAGTCCCCATGGGGACTGCGCTCACTCAGTGACCCCAAAGACGCTGCGGGTGGTGGACCCGACCAAGTCGCTCATGGCGCCGCGGTGGGCCACAGGCCTGTGACGGAGCTTAGGACTTTGTTGGCGGGCTGGCTCAGATGCAATGGAGCCAGCCAGCAAAATCTCGGGTCATTCAGGAAGCGCGAAGGAATGATTGACCGTACGATATTAGAGGCACCATCCGCGACCGAGAGCCTGGTCAAGCCACGCGCAAAACATCGTCTCATTCAGTAACGAGAAGCTCTACACTTCTGACGCGAGATATGTAGGTACCAAATCTGGTTTCAACTCCACCCCTTGGATGTTGTCGAGTACCCTATTCATTTCCCGAGATACGCGATCAAGCATTGTCCGTAATGGGCATTCAGACCCGGCGCTGCATTGGTGACGACAGGCGCTGGCTGCCGTCCCAAACTGTGCTGCCAGAGTTGCAGCTGCGGAGTCCCGAAATCGTGTGACAGACGGCCATAAGTTATTCTGCCGGAGTAGGATAAAATACTCTGCCACGCGCGATTGGCTTGTGCAGTACACTTTGTGAATTTCGGAAGTTCCACATGGGTGGCATTTCTTAGCGGTCTCCGGATGCTTTCTGCCGCATTGGTCACAGACCCGGCCCGCCATCTCGTAGCCCCTCAATGAGCCTTCGAGCATTTCCTCACCGGAATGCATTATGCCCTGTAGGCGATCGAGCAATAGGCGGACTGACTGGATTATCCTACCTAATTGGTAGTCAGCCTTCGGCGTGCGCCGCCGATGTTTTGGGGGTGCACATACTGTGGAGCTCAGTAGCCATCAGCGCTGTCACGTCTTGCTCTTGCCACAGCGAGGCAGTAACGATATCGACATGGCGGATCGCCAGGGCAGAAATGCGCCTGAAATGCTTTGCATCTTCGAAGAAAAACGCCGCGGAGAGCAGAAAGCCAATATCGTACGCTTTTGGAACCTTTTCCGAATCCAACCAAAGGTGGAGCCAGGGCCTCAGAGCGTTGGTGCATTGATATTTGTTACAATGAAGCGCAATTGCTGCAAGCTTCTCGGGTTTCATCGTAGTGTATTCTGTGCCGTTCCGAAAGTGCAGCAGCGATAAAATCGCTTCCATGGCTTCGGAGTCATCCTCTTCCAATTCGATCCTGGGGAAGGTACCCGCCTTGGTTTCGAGACCTTCCTTGAAATTTGATTCGAAAAGTACACGAAAGTAACTGGATGCGAGTGCGAGAACCGGGGAAGAAACAACAAATTGTATGCTTGTTGAGCCCTTCTTGTCGGGGAATGCGAGGGTGACGTTTCCGCTTGGATCTAAGCAGACGCATCGATGATTCTCTGTCGTCTGTTGTTCGTCCATTGTAGCAAGTATTGTGATAATGTGTGCGGTCCCAGAAAAGCTGCATGTGCGAACACCTGTGATTTAATAGTAGTACCCGGGCCACTATTATATTCGGAGTGTTGACGCTGCGGCTGAAACCCAGCTTACACTTATGGGTCTTTGACTAACGACGTAAAGCGAGTTGCAAGATTCGCGCCAGACCGGCCGAGGCGATGTAGGCTCAACCTTATCCATACTTGGAAGGCCCGATGTCTGTCGCAAACATCTATGCCACTGCCTGCTGACATTGACTTGAGCCCGGCCGTGTACACTGGTAGTCATATGGGCTTTTCAGCACTGGTGCATAGCGCTGAATGGGGCACTGTTTTACAATGAGACACATCACGTCGACCGTGGAGCTCTTAGAGCGACAGCATGTGCTACAGCCGTCTGGAAGGAGATACTGGCCAATTCAAGAACCGTAGGTCTGTTCTCCTATTTCAATTTGTCGTCCATCTGAATGGCTGACTCACGGCGATTAGCTACTTGATGCCCTGGCCCTCGGACGCTTTGCAGGCTTCGCGAGGAAAACAAAGCAGCCGAGTCGCCTCTTCCGTTAGATTTCAGCATTTGCGTTGTACGTAGCTCTCCGCAAAAACTCTCCGGCGGCACTTGTTCAATTCCGGCGCACTAACCATCCACGCAGCAGTACATTCCCATAGTAAACGAGAACTATAAGGCTTTCTTGCCAAGCTTCGGGATGCTCGGGACTGATCTGTTCAATGCCATCGAGTGAGGGGCCTTCAACCGGTTTATTTTAAACAACATATTGCATGATCAATCATTCGTGTCGTCATCTCTTAAAGTATTTGATTTCGAACGTATTATGCTTCTTCGCGCACGCCTGGTCCTGTGGCAAATGGATATGGAGCGGATTCCGGCAGCAATGCCACAAGGAGACACGCTCTGGCGAAACGTGCAGCCTGCTCAGGCACTTGCAAGATCCACAGTTGCTCGAGAAGCACCTATGCGTTGATGATCACTAGCAGGCATCGTCTCTCCTGCTATCTTTCTCACGTCCAAACAATCACTAGCCGGAGCTAGCCAGCTGATCAACTCGCGGTTGACGGTCCACAGCTCCTGAACATGGCTAAGAAGGTGCTGGCGATGGCGACGGCGATGGCACTCAACCCTTCCACCCGTGTCGAAACAAGTCGGCGATTTAGGACGTCGATGTATCGTTATCTTCGTTGGTAGATGGCCTTAGCTGTGATGGGCGTTGTGATGGCACTCATGCGGGGAAGTGCTTAGCTGAATATGGCACTCCGCCAAGGCCAGCTCTCAATTATGAGAGAACCCCTGTTACTCGCTGCGTCCCCACAAGGCAACAGTCAATCACCATTTTGTGACATCCCCTGGTGTCATAAGCCGAGTTGCAGGTCGACTGCAGGACACCATCACCTTCGTCGACGCAAAGCAGGGCAGTGACTCCTCACGACGTAAAGCATTCTTACCCTGTCATAATTCCTGTCACTTGGTCTGCCTTTGCTGCAACAACCACACCCAATTTTGAGAGCTGCATCCAGACAGCAATCCTCGACATGTTGGTCAAGATCATTGCAGTCTCTTTCCGAAGACGCAATGGCCGAGGCCATTAGGATACGTTGGAGTATAAAGAGGGAGTCGGAAGCAGATGATGTCGATTACGGGGTTGAACAACGTCTTCTGCGTGCTATCTAGCCACGCACTCATACGTACTATTGTATTCCTCGTCATTCACGTCAACCATGTCGCACTCATCCGGCCGTGAAGGGTGGTGCAAATCGTGCCCGCATGCCATGGACAAACACAAGAAAGAATATTGCTCTGCCTGTCGGGGCTATGTCCAAATATGCATGTGCCTTAACCACGAAGGCGGAGATCCGATATACAAGATATGCTTTGGCAAATGCAAATGCCGATTCCCAACAACCGCCTACGGCGCCAGTTTGACCTGGCTAGCAGCCTATCAGTACCGACCTGACCACGAGGCGTACATTCCGGCGCTCCATCCTGACTACACCATTGAAGAAGACACAACCGAAATTTCCAACGCAGACCCCAGCAACCTCGATTTTGACTACGAACAGCTGGGAACTGACCCTGGACTCGATATCGAAGAATCTTCAGCCGCAGTAGCTGGGCCCAATGCCTTAAGACAACAACCGGAGAGCCCAGATCCTCTGTCGTATACCGGGCAGTCACCAACCAGTCTCGAAAAGGCAATGGGAAGTATGAGCATTGGTGTGCACGGCGAACGATCAGAGAGTCCGGATCCTCTCGTGATGCCAGGGCCAAGTGCTTGGAACGGTCCGACCGAAGTGAAACCGGTGGCAGCATACGGCGGCATTGCTTTCCAAAGCGGGGATACGTGGTTTCACACCAGCCCAGAGCAATGGCTTTGGCTAGGTGGCTGCTGGATGTTTTTCGACTCTGATCGACAGTTCAATTGCCAGGCACTTCCAGTCACAGGACCGAAAGTCAAGGGAAAAGGCAAAGAGAAAAAGGCGGAGAAAGACAACATTGAGGTGAACCCTGTTGCAGCATACGGCCGTATTGCATTCCAATACCACATGTGGCAAATGGCAACATACTCAGAAAGAGCAATGGCACAAGAAGCATGGCCGATTTCTATTCACCGATGAATGGGACCAGACTTACTCATGCAAGACTTTACCAAAGGCAGAAGGAGGAGAGGGGTCAGAGAGAACGGACAAGGGAAAGGCGGCTGATCTGATTCAGGATCGGGGTGGAAGGAATGAGAGGAAAAGACGAGAACACGGGCGCTGACGATGTAGTGCTTAAGGAGTTTTCCTTTGTCACTTTCGTTTATTGGATGTCTTTTTGGCTATCGCAGCCCTTCTATTGCCATCCAAACCAGCGCTTTAGCCATGAGTGGCGCTGCGATCGCAAGGCATTTATCAGAGTCATGTCTCTATCTCCGTTGGCTTCCCTTTTCGAGTTGATCAGCATATTCAATGTGGCTGTTTTTGAAGGCTTCCGCCTGAAATCAACCTCCTCATCCCCAAGACAAGTTGCGCAGAGCAACAAGTCATCCGTGACATCGTCTACATACGTACCTACGTCATGTCTATACCCCTTTTGCACGTCGTTCCCGTCTTTGGTCCACCAAATCCAGTCAACGTACTCTAGCGAATACTCCAGTTCAAGTTGTGGCCAAAGCTCACTTTCGACGTTCTTCATTGGAACGGAGCCGAATGGCCGCCATGCTGAATATGTCCAACCAGGATCCTGGCGCAAGAAAAGATAGCGGTGCCGTAGCTGGTCCGCTCTAGAGATGATCCTGCTCTCCGACGATTGACTTTCTGTGTGGTGGACATCGGTTGGGACCGAGTCATCCAAATAGGATTGCGCAGATCCCGTCCAAGCTGCGACGGTTGTATCCGGTGTTGATAAGCATGGAAAATTGGCGCGTTCCTGCAATGTGCATAGATAGCTATGTATTCGGTCGAAAATGGCGACGTCGTCGCCTAGCAACATGAGCCCGAGCCACCACGGTGCAACGCGAGGTCGGCGGAGGGCGAAGAGCTTCACCAGGGTAAATTTGTGCTCGCTCTGTAGCAGAGGCATGATTGTCTTTAGTATAGAAGCGAGCCAAGGGCTGACATGATTGCAGTGGATGTCGGGCTGCCAGAAGATGCTCCAGACAATAGACGCTCCTCGTACTCCCAAACAGACTCGGGCATTGGAGGAGTGCCAACAAGCCGTATTTTCTCTTTGGCGTGGAAACGAGCCCCTTTGCTGTCATGGTCCTCGGTCTTTGGCCCCACTATGAGAGCCCAGTGGTATCTGCGACTGTCAGAAGAAGAAGAAGGAAGCGCTGATATGCAGTGACTCACGTATCCTCGAGCCCCGGCATAGTTGGTGTCCCTCCACGAGCATACAACGCCACGCACAGACGATCTTTGTGGGAAGGCATTGCTCGGGATGGTCAAGAGAGAATGAAGTTGAAGTGCCATCATTTCTCGCCCGAAGGGCAAGAATTTATTCACAACGGCGGCAAGCTTGCTAGGCATATTCGACGATGACTTATATTCCTAGCTCATGACATCTCATCAGGAACACATGCAAAAGCTGCCACGTCATCGCCTCAAGCAAAGAGCGGCCACGTCCGCGGGCCGCTCCCGGTTGGCCACCTGATCAACGCCGCACGATAAGAAGCCAACGGCTAGGTGTTGATGCATGTCGGCGAATAATTAATGTCACATTTCCGACCAACCACCAACGCGACGACCCTGGTTCACGACCAATTGGGTTGCTCAGATGTCTGAAACTTTGCCCGCCTGCATTTGCGCGACCCCTCAACTCTCGGTCACTACTACGGGGCCCTCCGGCAGATATTATGCCACAGAAGATCGAATCGATTAGCAGCACGTCGACCGTACAATAAAATCATATATAAATCCGCAATGCCTGCCTTTGAGGTTGCCTTTCTTTCGCGTTGTCCCGCATCGCCCTCAAGTCGCTCTCCACTTAAACCCTTACGATATCCACCAACCTCTAGCTTCCAACTTGCACCGGCAAACCAAACACTCCCCTACCCCTCTCTCTCAGCTAAACCGCAACATCCGCGCCGCCCACCATGGCCTACGCCACTTGCAACAAGGACCCGCCCGAGGTGACCCTCAAACACTGCGCCAGGTGCAAGAACGCCCAGTACTGTTCGCAGGAATGTTGAAAAGCAGACTGGAAGTCTCATAAGAAGGTCTGCGCTAGTTCCGGGGCCAGCAGCCCGCCCAAGGGCCTCGATCAGCCTATCACCAAGCCCTTCACCTGCCTCGAGAACGGCACCTGGCTCCACGACCGCTCCGAAATGGACGTATACCGCCTCCTCATTGACGTCTTTCGCATACGCATCGAGGACAACTATACGCACGGGACCCACACCGAAGGCACTATTATGGCCGGCGAGCCCCATTCCCTCCAGGGCTTCCGCGACTTTATCCCTTTAACTGGTAAATTACATCACAGTACAAGCAGTGATGTGAGTGGGGCGGCAGAATGTTGACGACGAATAGAATTCATCCAGAAGGTGGTCCCAGACCCGATTTTTAGTGGTGAAAAACATCCCAACAGTGCTGAGATCTGCATATCGGCACCTGGCAAGTGGAGCAATAGGACCTGGTGCGTCGGCTCGCTCTGGGGCTCGGCTGGCTGCTGCCCCTATTCCCTGAAATAGGGGCAAGTGGTGACCTCTTGAAGCTATTCGCAGTGAGCCCGGCGCAGCCGTAACAGGCTCTCGGGGAGCCCCCTAACTGCCTGACGTGCTGCTCGATAGGGACGTGCTTAGAGCCAGCCCTGGGTGGCGGAAAGTGGCGCCCTGCTCGTCGCTTGCTGGCGCCGGTGGGGTGATGCTAAGTGAACAGCTCCTTGTACAGCCTCGTCATCCAGTGGCTCCTATAGGGGCTTGATTCCCAGGAAATCAGGTGGTCGAAATCCCGTTGCAGAATGAAGGTATTCGCTAGAGTGACGTCCAGCAGAAACCCATACATTAGGGGTTGCCAGGGGCCACGTCGGCAGCGGTGGTCCTAGCCCAGGTTGGCTCTCAGCTGGTCAGCCACGTCGACCCCCCCCCCCTTTTCTATATTATATAAGGTTGCGAATGCTGGGTGATCCAGGTCACGCTCGGGGTAGTAGTGAGCCTGGGTTCGGGGCTGGGTTCGGGGCTGGCTCGGGCTAGGAGTCGGGGGCTTATAGGGGTCTTTAGTAGGTGGCTGGCTTGCTTCAGTGGGTGGCTCGTCGGGGTCTTTAGTGGGTGGCTGGCTCGGGGCTCTAGGTAGGGCCTGGCTCGGGCCCGGGGACCGGGCTCGGAAGGGCTCTCTGGCTGTCTTGGAGCATATTGCTAACTTCTTCGGAAGCCGGCGACGCACCCTAAATTAGGGCTTAGAGCCCGTATAATATATGCTGAGGAAGAGTATAGGGGATAGGTCCTTCTATAGGAACTCTCTTACCAGGCTATAGGGGGTGGTTAAGAGCTCCAGGGAGCCCTAGGGGGCTCTATCGCCCCTATTAGCAGCCCGCTACTAAACCAGGGCTTTGCTAACCCCGGCGTTAGAGCGGTATATACCTATCACGGCGATGTCTTTACTTCTCAGGGCAATATATAGGGGTAGGCTAGTAAAGAGATTATCAAGGATAACGTGGTAGTATAGCCGCTATAGGCTCCTTAGTAAGTGCCTTATAAGATATATCACTACCCTCTATATAGGGTTTATGGTGGCCTTAGGGGGGGGCTAGGGTCGGGAGTAAGGCTCGGGTCAGGAGCTAGGCTAAGCAGTCAGGCTAGGCTAAGTAGTAGAGCTAGGCTAGGCTTAGGGCTGGGCTCGGGCTCGGGTATACCTAGTAGTAGGTCTTATATCGATAACCGGGCCTAAGCCACGCTAGTAAAAATACTAGGCTAGTAGATAACTACTATTAGCTAAAGCCTATATCTTAAAGCCTATAGGGGTAGGCTTGGCTAGTATACTAGTAGTTAGTATTATATATATTACGTGGGAAGAGGGGGGGGCTCTTACTTAGTATAGTAGTGGTGTCCTTGGATCTTCCTATATACCGCTCTATACCTTTATCGACGGTAATAGTCTAAGATAGGTACTAGAAGCGCCTAGAAGTGCGTTAAAGATATTTAGAAAAGTCGTGAATACGGGAAAAAGTGGCTATAGAAGACTTCTTAGGCACTGCTTCGTTATTCTATATCCTAAAGCGGCGATACAGGGCCTAAAACCGGTCTAGGCTTATCCACTTCGTAAAGGGGTGGGTGGTAGGGTAGTTAGCTAACTAGGCCTAGTACGCCTCGAAGCCTGCTATTCTAACAACTCTTATATATACTAGGATACCTAGAAACAGGTAGATTTCGTCGCTGTTAGTAGGTACCCAAGCATCCTAGCATCGGGTAGGCTCGGGCTTAAAGCTGTTAGTGAAGGTAACCTAAGCGTCGACGTGCTAGGGCGTGTAGAATTCCTTAAATAGGAGGCTAGGCGAGTTAGGCAGCTAGTCGATAGCGTAGGCAGCTTAGAAGGGCTCGAATTTAAGTGGGTGGAAGCAGGGCTCTTGGGGCTCGGGATGGGGCTTAGTAACTGGGCGTCGTGTGCCCGGGTCGCCTTGCTCGGCGAAGCTCCCTTTAATTAAGCCGCTGGCTCGCTGTATCTTGGAAATGCTGAAAGTGCTGATTTTAGGCTATATAACGGTCTAAAAATCAGTTAGTTAAATATAGACGACGATAGTGAAATGGGGTGGTTTTTTCGTGGCTAGGAATAGCTTTATTTCGGAGCTTGCTGTTATTGTTGCTGTTAGGTGGGCTGGGCTGGGCTGATAACTGGCAACTAACGTTAGTAGGGCCGATCCCAACGCTTCTATTAGCTCTTATCGGCTCTTATCAGGCCCGATACGGTAGGCGGTAAGGTGGGTGGGGTATAAGGGCCTTGTACTATGATATAATTTACCAGTTAAAGGGATAAAGCACTTCAACAACCGCCGTAAGCTGCTGCCTCGGTGGTGATCGCCTGAGCACTAGGCAAAGTACGAGAACCTCGGTATAACTAATACGTAGGATAATTGGCATAACCTATACTGCTATATCGAGAAGAGCGATGTCGTTGAACACTACGGCGATCCCCAGTTTCCTATGCAGTTGCGCCAGTTTGCCGAGGCGCTGTACGGCAACTCGCCCGGTGGTATAGATGGCACGGCTGTGCGGACGTTGATGGTGCAGGTGGAGAGTGGACTTAAGCAGGGGCACATCTCCTTGTTGGATACAAGCGGCATGGTCAGGCGTTGACGTAGTTTTACATTGCGACTCATTGTGATGGAAGGTACATGTACTGTACGAACAAATAGGTATGGCGGGTAACATTGTCATCGTGACTGGCCTGCTTTACTACGTACTGTCATCAACAACCTCGATTAGTATTTGGAAAGGAAGCCAGCCACTTTTGATGAAAAACTGTATTCCGGCAACGCATTCAGTGCAGCACTACGTCCGACATCATGCCGCGCATTCAAATGACCCAGTAAGTTGTCCCCGGCGGCGAAATAGAAAATCATGGTCGTGTGTCGTAATGAAGGGGAAGAAAAGGACAAGTTTCCAGTTCTCCTTGCGACCAACGAGCGGCTACATCACCCACAAAGCGACTGAAGAAAAGCGCCCTTCTGCATCGTGTGCTGATTTCTCTGCCATTCCCTTTTCTACCCAGGTATCCCCGCAAGCTGCTTGCATAGGGCTTTGGACGCAGTGTAGCACTGTCCAAGTCGATCAGCATGACCCGGCCGCGTTCTTCGTTCCGTCAACGATTGCCGTCACGCGAGTCGTGGTAGTTGACGCCTCGGCCCACACAGCCTGCAACGAGCGCTGGACTCCCGCCGCCTGACACACCCGCTTTCGCCACCTTCTCCCCAGCCCGGATAGCTGTTGGCCGTAATACACCCTTGCGCTAGTGACAGCGGTTACCGTACCGTTTGTGGGCTGTGAGTGGATTCCAGTGTCGAATCGTGGTCGCGTTGGAGCTGGCGTTGGGTGCGTTTGTGGAAACGACGACTGGTCACACTTGACAGGATGAAATGACACAGGTTAGGCTGTCAGCGCCTCTGGAGGGCGGCAGCACAGTCCCCACGGGGACTCTGCTCTCGTGCCCTTTGCGCTCTTACGTCCTGGTCATTGCACGGCAATGATGACAGCCTGGCCCCTTGTCCTTTGTAGGACACTGACCCATGGGCGGGGTGCCAGTTGGCGGTTAGCGGGGCAGGACTCCGTTTGCCATCCTTTCGGGCAGAGTCGTCAGCAACGTATTGTACGAAGTTTCGAGTTCGGCGCCTACTGCATGCTGACCCCACTTGACGCCCCCTCCAATACGCAGTCAACCCGAAGCAACGCAAAACCACATCCTCCCAATACCAAGGCCTTGGCTTTTACCGGGAGTTCGTACTAGACCTGAGAAAGGCTAAGCTGCGCATATTTGTTGCTACGCGCCGTCAAAGGCATCAGGACGAGCTATATGCGTACCGGGGACTAGTCGCAGATGTGATAAGCACGTGGGACCAGCCAGCGTATATGCTGGTTTTGTAGGTTGCACTAGGGCCTTAAAAAAGTCCGATATTCTAAAAATAGAGTCGATTACGTCTATTGTGAGCGCTATAGTACTATTCTTATCTAGTTAATCTATTTTCCTTATACAAAACTATATAAGTATAATAGTCACTTTCTTGTAAGTTTTTCCTTCAGGACGACTATACTGTCTAATAGCTCTATACTAGGCAATATTCTCGGTGCAAATCTAATAACACCCGTCCACGAAGTCTACTATAGGCGGCTCTTCCGGATATCGATCTAGGTGCGCCTTCTAGAACTATATCAATTGTAATAATCTCTTCGGTGGTTGTCTCGGAGCTATACACTTCTAACAGAATTTCATTCGGGATTAGGTAATCTAAGGCGTAGGCAAACTTCTAAAAGCGAAGCATTTAGTCGCTTCTTAGCTTCCGCCTCTTATACTACCTTTAATTATAGCCTATTAAAGCGCGAACGTAGCCCCTAATCGAACCTCTATAAAAAGCAAGGCGTATAGAAATTCCACAAACCGTAAAGCATTCGGATTCTCTCCGGCGGGAAAGATCGCAAGCCGGGGAATCGATTGCTATGCATAATTTGCAGATGTGACTTCTTAGTCGGCATTTTGGGTCAAGGTTCCGAAATACTTTAGTCGCGGCGCGACCCGTTCCTAGCGCGGTAGTGTCTTCCCCTTATATTAACGCGACTATACAACGCTGATTGGAATAGCCAATGCCCCATCGTTCCGCTTAAGTCAAATCGATGAGAGATGCGTTAAGTAATAAACGTCGTTTTATTATAACACTCGCCGCAACAATCGAATCTAGAGATGCTGTGTACTGAAGTTCCTCGTCCAATAGCTCGTTTGGATCCTGACGCTGACGGCATTGTCATGGCTGGGTGAAAGCTGCTACGGGCGGGACCTTGGCGTCCAGGAGATTTTTGGTCTCTGCGTCGACAAGGTGAGTGCTGTAGTGACCTATCACGGGGTAGGCTGACGGAGCGGGGTTGTTTTGTCACGTGTGGGTCTCTCCATTCAAATGGTGATCGTCTCGTCTGCCCACAAGAGAACCATCACCAAGTTCCACAACGCATAGTCGCCCAGATTCGCCGCCAACATGGCCGAAGCTTTCGGTGTTTCTCTTGCCGTTGTGACGGCTTCGATTGGAGCTACAAAATCGCTTATAAGCGCTGTGGAACGATTTAAAGGCCGCCATAGGACTATGATGCGGTTATAGGATCAGCTCAACGACCTTATCTCCGTCCTGGAAACACTGAAGGAGGCTACCTAATCGCAGTCGTAAATCGTGCTTCTTCTGAAGGGCCCCGTGGAGCGCTGTGAGCAGTTGTGCTGCGAGTTTGAGGGCGTATTAAAGGACTTCTCTGGCAAACTAAGAACTAGTCTCCTTGATTTCGCCAAGATAGAATTTAGGAAGGGCGATATTAATAAGTTCATGGATACCCTTTCTAGGTACAAGTCGACGATATCGGTCGGTATAGGAACCATTACACTATACATTAGTCGCATACGCATATTAGGGGCTAGCTAACATATTATTCGCAGGCAAGAGGCGACGGCCACGAAAGCCATCCTCGAATAGTTCGGCGAGATTGCCGAGTTAACGAATAATAAGCTTAGCGTCCAGTTATAACACATAAACGAAAAATTAAGCGGCCTTCCACCGACCGAGTTAGACAGCGTCGGAGAAGACCTTAAAAACGACAGAGCGATAACGGAGCATTGCATTCGCGTCTACGAAGATGCCCTGAAATATATCGCGTCGCTTTCCGATAGAGAACGACACCGGTATACCCGAGTTTTAGTAGACCATATTACCGACAATGAATCTACCGGCGAATATAATCCCCTCCGCACTTACAACTATACGCGCGAAGTTCTCGACGACACTCGCGATCGCATCGCGAAAGAAATTAGACGCTTACAAAAGCGGCTCGCTAATTCGCCGGATCGAGCCGGCGAGCAGGGTTAATTGCAGCGGGATATCTAGGCATTACAGGAGTGCTTAGAAGTATATAAGGTAGCACTTAGAGAAGTTAACAAACGGAAGATACATACCTACCCGGGTTTGGGGGGGTATAGGACAGAGCCCGATAACTGGTCAATCTGTCAACAGTCTTAGAACATCATGTCGACAGAAATTTCTCTGTCCTGGCTCTGGTCAGAGCAAAAGTCTCTGTCCGAGCTCTGACCTAGAAACCCCCACTCCCGGGTAGGTAGTTTCGGAGAGGTTTTTGTAGACGGTGACAGCGACCAAGTCGTCGTTACAACGGTGGCGGACCTGTTCGATGTACGTAAGGCGATCTCCAGGGGCAAGTCGACATAGCTTATCGGCTCAATGCTGGATGCCACCCTTGTCTAGGTATCCAACGATCGATATCATAGTCGTTTTGGAATTTGGGAGCGGTCTCAAGAGGAAGAGGACATGGCAACCTCGCATGTAGAGAGAAAGGGGCCACAGGCCCTGGGACATATCCACGGACTCGGCTCACCGTCCTGAGCAGTTTCGAACGAGGCAAAGAAGAGAATAACTCAAAGTCGCCCGGAGAAATGACCCGGGGATGGATGCAAATAGACTTGCTTTGTATGTGGATCTTCCTGCTACCGACGTCCTTGTGCCGTTGGCGGTGGGTACGTTCCCGCTACTTAGTTGTCCGCCATCCCTAGCGCGCCGCATTTTTACTTTCATCTAAGAGGGTAGAGGAGGACGAGCAGTGCACGCCGCGAAATTATACCTATAGGCAGATCTAAAGTCCATTGACAATAACCGGTTGGAATCCAAGCCTCAGGGCTCTGACTAGTCACTAACCTGCGAAGACCTCGATAACGTCTGCGACCACTAGCAAAATCCGTCCCGAATCAACGCCGCTCTAGCCAGGGACATGTGCAAAAGCTACCACGTCACCGTCTAAGGTAGAAATCGGCCAATACCGCGGGCCCCGAAAGCGTCGGTTGGAGAAGCCGTACGTCTTATCTTATAGGTCCTCTGCAGCTGTAAGGCAACCATTGATGGAAGAGCATAAATCAGTCACGCCCAATAGATAGCAGAGGTCACTTACCTTCCCCCTCTTCGTCCAGGCAGCACCGACTTAGCACACGAAGCCAATAGTCAATAGCCTGATCGGTGCTGTTGTGCTATAAGAAAAGGGACTACCTTTCCTTATCACAGCGTGATTCTGCTTTGCATCGTGTTTAGATCCTTAATCTGCTTCTAGCTTCGTCCCTGCTTCGTGCATACTTAGAAAGGTAAATAGGACATTCATCTTTTTCCTCCTCCGAGGACTTTATTGACCAGACGCCAATAGAATGTGCACCAACATCATAACCAAACCATTATTCCGGGTGTCCAGAATCATACAACACGTCGAGCACCGTCTTGATGAAATGCCTCGCCGCACAGAGCTCTGGAACCGTCTGTGCCAACCCCGCGACCTCGTATCTCGGTCGCAAGACGACACGCAATCAGTGTCCGAATCACCGCGACGAAGGATACAGCCAGCAATGAATATCAGGGATGTGAGGCCACAGCTTGGGATAGGGAGGAAATGCAGTAGATTACAGGCGTCTTGACGATAATTTATCATTACGATTCTCAAGACCATTCCACTCGCTGCTCCCCGGTAACATCTCACGCGAATTAACTTACACTAGCGGGCCGGTGGGCAGCTGGCAACCGTTATCGCCGGATAGCCCCACTCGCCATTAAAGTAACGGCCAATTGCTCTCCAACGCTCTTATCTCTAATGAATTCCAACACTCCTACCAACCTATCCCCTATTCCAGACATGTCCGCCATGCCCAGCGTCCACTCCCCCGAAGATGAATGCGGTCCCGCTAATAGCCATAGCCAGGTTAATACGACTGAGGACCAAGTGACCATCGACTAGAAGGGCGTTCTTATCGATATCGGATTAACGTCACTCGTCGAGCTGCTGCCCTCTGGCGACATTATCAAAACTGCCTGGCTAGGGCGCGATCGTGACGTGGAGCGCCGCGAAGAGCTCGCTCTCGAGTCCCGGATATACGACCTACTCGGCGAACATGCCTGTCTCGTCAAGAAGAAAGCTTGGGACGCCAGCGAGTCTACGTTGGTCTTAGAGTATATGCCGAACGGGACTCTGAAAGATTATCTCAGGGCATACCCAGAGGTGTCCGTCGAAACGCGACGACGATGGATTGAGCAGGCTGCCCAAGGCGTTCATCTTCTTCAAACCTTATCCATTATCCATTGCGACATTGGCCCGCACAATTTCCTATTAGATGCAGACCTGAACCTCAAGATCTCCGATTTCAGTGGCTCTTCGCTGCATGCATCGGGGACAAATACCCGCCCGGGGACTCGGTATACGGGCCCTGATTCGTATTGGACCGCGAAAAGGCCTCCGACGCCCGACGACGACTTTTTCGGACTCGGCTCGACTATCTATTTTATTATAACTGGGACCGCCCCTTTCGAGGAGATTCCCAGCCATGAAGTCGACAGGCGGTACCAGGCGCGCGAGTTCCCGGAGCTTACCGGAATCCAGTGTGCCGATGTAATCGCGAAATGCTGGCACCGAGAGATACGATCCGCCCAGGAGGTAGTCGACATGATCAAGACGCCGGGGCGCGGTCCCAGCTCCGGCACCTGCGATTCTGGCGTGATCAGCAACGGAGTCTTCGCCAATATCGGTCGCCTGAAGGCTTCGATAAATTGCCCGCGAGCAGTGCTTCTGGCGACTGTTGGATTCACCACAGCGACCCTTATGTATTTGGCAGCTATCAACCGGATACCTTTGGGTCTCAACAGAAGTCCTGGCCTGGCCTGGGTACCGTTCGAGCCGTGGTGGAGGGGACGACGATAGACTTTGACTTCAAGTTATCTCTTTACGCCTGGTTTGGAACAAAAGGGAGGGCGTTCGGTGGTCTCAGGCATCAACCAATGTTTTACGCAGACAGAAACCCACAAACTCATGCACTCGATTGAAGGAGGAAGGCCCACCAGATCAACAACATGGCCGTATAGGGCTGAGAGTAAAGACAAGTCTAAGGAACAGCTCAGGTATGAGTCGTTTCTCAAGTGCCAGGCTACTACAGACTCACCTACTCAGCCGAATCGCCAAGTCAAGGAATCAGGCTCGGCCCGTTTAATAAGGCGCAGTCACAGTATCCTCTTCCCCTCCCTCTCCAACTGTGCCCCAGAGTTCGAGTGCAACACCTGCGGCCGCGACTTTGGCAGCCACCAAGCCTTGAATCTACATATGGATGCGCTTGACCACGGGGTTGACCACGAATGTGACGATTGTTCCGATATATTTTCCGACGAGGAAGATCTGCGCGACCACGAGCTTAGCGAGCATTACTACTGCGACCCTTGCGATAAGTATTTCGGTGGCTGGAACGCCATCAACAATGTATGTCACCGTGATGCACAATGTGGAGTCAAGGGGCTGACAAGAAAGAATAGCATCGCAACAGCAATCGACATGCCAGTGACAAGGTGGCGTGCCTCTTTTGCGGCAAGGACTACGCTGCTGCTTCTGGCGCGACCCATTATGTGGAGCGTGGCTGCTGTCCGAAAGCGCCTGTTGATCGAATGGAGTTTTACGAAGCAGTTCGAAAACGCGACCCGACCGGGATTCTTACCAAAACGTTGTTGACGAGGCCGACCGGTGCGAACCACGTGGGATTCTATCAATCTACTAAGAAATGCTGGAATTCGGAAGCTAGCGTGTTTGAGTGCTACTTCTGCCACCGTCGCTTTAAAGCATAGAGATCCCTTGATCGGCATCTTAATTCCCTAGTGCACCAGCAAAGTCTTTATCATTGTCTGAATCCCAAGTGCCGCAAGGACTTTGGGACACTCGCAGCAGTTATGAGTCACCTCGGGAGCGAAAGCTGTGGTTTTATTCGCTTCCGGGCCGTCCAATAGATGTTCAACAGCGTCTTACAACCCGGCCGTATGATCACGTTTTGATTATTTGCGCCTCCGAGTTCGCGAGGTCGCTGTTGATTTGGATCCTCGATAAAGGGCTTCAGGTTATCAGCACGGCGACTCGAGATATAACAGTGAAGTACGAGACAGCTTTTCAGCCCGTGCCTATGGGGAGCCAACCAATTATTGTCAGTGTTTTGCGTTCAGCTAATAGTCCAAGCTTCCCTTTTTCGCATAGCACAAATCGGCAAAGATCAGCCGATAATGATGCTGTCCTAGGCCATGAGGTACATGTTGGGAAGATGAGAAGGGAGAAGGGTCTATGGGGAGGGGCAGGGAGGCCAACATTGAACAACCCCGTGCCAGGCTCATACGGTTCTATCCAAGGGCGCAGCGTTCACAAGTCTAGCAAGGACCTCCACCTTCGATGTGACGTAACATGGTCCCTTTGATTCGTGAGGGTAGCGTCTGTCTTTCCTGGAACGGCAGCGGCAAGGTTGATGGGGAGGAATAAGGGAGGGAAAATAGGGAGCTCGCGGGCGAGAGAGAGCTTTGGGGGGGAAAGCGGAAGCCAGCTGGCAGACGCCAACCCCCCAGAGAGGAGAACGATCGGGTAAGGACATCATAGCATGCCCATAGAGGGCAGCAACAATGCATGATCCACGGCCGGTCTGGCGTGTCGAGCTGCCTCGATGGACCAGGATCAAGGCTGTGCCGGGGCGGAGTAAGAGGGTGAAAATGCCTGGTGGCCGGGGTCACTTTCTTGTCGGCTGGGGCACACGGATAAACAAATACACAAAAGGTCACTTTGCCACAGCTTTCTTTAGAAGTCGCTTCCAGCGTTGTTCTGTTGGTGTCCGACTTGCAAGTGTCGTTTCCTGCGCCCAATTAAATTGGAGTAAACGCGAAGAACTTGTAGGTATGGCAGCCTATAAGGCCTATCATCATGACCTTCTTGCTCGATGTCTTTAAGTCGCTAGCTAAATTTGCAAGAGAAAAACATGTCTCCCAAGGGAAGCAAATTCCTCTGAGGTTGGCTAGGAACATGTGCCTATCAAGCAGCAGAACATGGTGGGCGGCTACGGATTTGTCCGTCGCTTTGTGTCCCTCCTCCCCCCTCCCCCCGAGTGGAATCCACGCTCGGAGCATTGCTAGGTATTTGGACCCCGTGACAATGCCGCTGTTCGTGGTCGGGTAGGCGGCGGCTTAGGCGATGGCGAGCGGCAGGTGGGCAAGATCGATCAGCCTGGTTAGCAGCGGGTACGCAATCAGGTGGGAGTTGCGGGGTAATTGGCAACAGCACTGGGTGCTTATGGTTTGGTCATGGCCCTGAAGTTGGGGCATTCTGTATGAGTTGCTTACTGAGAGATTTCACATTATGCGGGCGTTACTGACAGAGAAACCTCCTTGGTAGCGGCAGTAACGTCGCTGATCTGTTGGACAATATGATGGCTCCACCAGGGTCGCCAACCGACACCGCAGCTCTAATCACTAACACGCAATACAACTTCGGTTCGCCCCGTCCGCCCTAAAATTGGCTCGTGCATTACCAGTTCATGCGAAAGGTAAAGCTATGTGGTGTAACGCGCAAACAACTAACGATTTGTTCGTTGATGTGATGTATATTAGAGCTCCGATGCACCTCTGCACCAACCGCATTATGCAAGTGTGCCGACTTGTTCCTCGCCATCTGCCTTCATGGCACTGTCGCCTGCACGCCGGTTACCGCACGCCCAATGACTTTCAACCGCCCCGTCGCCAGACCTGAGCTTTCAGGACGTGGTCGCCTCCACGTTGGAAACCGCACACCCAATGGCTTTCGATCGCCTCGTCGCCAATGGTGAGATCCCGCGACGTTATTGCTTGCACGATGAAGACTGCTCGATCGATGACTTTCAGCCGTCTTGGGGCATGGCATGGCGCAGGCTTGGTGCGATTGTGCGCCAGTCAGCATCGGCGAGAATGTGAAGCTGTCTTTTTGCGGTGCCCTGTGTGACACTTGCTCTCCACACGAACGCACCCTGAGCAAAGCTATATATTTGTACGTTCAAGACACAACAGATATCATCCTGCTGCCCGCATCTCTCCCACCAATCTACCAGCAGCACAGCCTGCCACACGCCACCATGTCGCCGGCGGACAACCATACGCCCCGGAAGGCGGATCCGTCTCCGAGCCCAGGACCAGAACATGTCATTGACGAATTCATCTCGGTAGTCAATAAACTATCCTCCGACAAGAGCTTCCAAGGTATGAAGGACATTGCTCTGCATAATAACAAACTCAGAAAGGAGCTCGACGAGACTACGACCGCCTACAACAGAAACCTCGGCGAGTTGACGCGACTGACTGTGGATCGACACGCTGAAAAGGCGAGGTTTGAAAAGACGATACAGGAGCAGGCCAAGCAACACATCAAAGCCACAGAGGAAAAAGCGGCAGCTTATCGAAAGCTCAAGGGAGAGCAAGACACCGCGACTGGATTGCGAGAGAAGATCAAGGCCCTTGAGAACGATGTAAAACGATCAATTGCAACCGTCAAGAGCCACGAAGACCACGCTGCGAAACTCGTCAAAACTGTCACCACTCAGGAGGAAAAACTGGATTTGGCGAGCAAAGAAATATCCAAACTGCAGAAAGATTTGCAATCCGCCAACAACAAGCTCAAATCCCAATCCGAAGCCTTGATGACAGCCCAGAACGAGCTCGCTTCATTTCGATCCTGCACAGCAACATTGACACACCTGAGGGTCGTGAGACCGAAAATGTAAGCGGTGAAATGAGTTTTGAAACAGCTTTGTGTATGTATTCTAACGTTTCTATCAGCTCCCAAATGTTGGCCATGACGTTCAACGAAGCCACCGACCTGTTCAGGGCATTCCTCGGCCACGACATGGGTGAAGATCAGCTGCAGAACCCCAGATGCTGGGACCGTATCAGGGATCACGCAGCCATACAGCGTGCGATCCCGCTTCCCGCCTCAAACTCGGCCCCGGCGAAGCGGATGCGGGTCATCGCCGGCCTGTCAATTTACGCCAGGGCACTCGCCAGCTTCGTCTTGCAGCCGACGTACCTCTCCTTGGGTACAGGTGCCGATAATATGTTGGATATGCTACCTGGGGCAAACCTGTACCAGGATGAGCTTGTTCGTTCTGTGCTGCTCGCGGTATTGCCCGATCAGCAGAAGACGCGCCGAGACGAATGCGCCGATCTTGCCGTCGAGGAGGTCGTGGCGGCGGTGGCTGGTATTGTACCGGCCGAGCAACACGCGCCGTTCAAGTTGAAGCTCAGTCATCTCACAGGCGAGCTGTGCAGCAACTGGCAGTTGGTGCAGAGGCTTAAAGAACGAGTTGGGCCGTGTTTTGCTCTAGAGAACCTCGACGATTGGCAACCACTACCGAGATGGCCAGGTCCGAGTCCGTCAGGGAATAGCACGAAGTCGACTCCACCACGACAGGGAGGCAAGGAAAGTCAGCCAAAGCGGCCAGAGTCGGAGCCTGCAACATTTTCCGTCGGAGATGTAGTCAAGGTTGTGTGGCCGGCTTTTGTTGACGTCACTGCCGACCAGGCCGAAGATGGCGAAGAAAACCCATCAGATCTCATTCATCATGGGTATATGCTCACACGGGGCGATGCCCAAGACGCCGCGAATGAGGAGATGCCGCGGCGGGCCATGCGGAGAACGGTGCGCGACGGCAATGCCGTGGCGCAAAGAAGGAGGCGAGACTCGGCGGTTTTTTTATCACAGGGAGCGTCCGATGGATCGGCCGGCAAGTAGCTCGTCGCCGCCGGCGGAAAAGTAGGGCGTGGTAGAAGGGATGATGAGATTTCGCTACCAAAGCAGACTACAGCTTGAAATACACTTAACTTTGCGGACCTGAAGCAGTCCTGTGTGTGTCAGGGACGGTCAATGTAGTGAGTGCCATCGCAGCGGATGATCGTGACTGTCAATGGGTTACGATGCGTCATCATGTTGAACCTTGCTGTCACTCTCTGACGCGAGATGTTAGTTGACATGTGCACCTACCATGTACAGTATAGAGAGCGACTCTCTACTCGTTATTCGGGCAGAGCTACGTCTGTCTGTGAAATCTCTCGGTCCCCAACACAGCCTGGTGGGTGTTGGGCACTGCGCTACACCACTTATCAATACATCACGAGTCATGGGGTCGAAGAAATGAGGGGGCGCCATGTCTCGTGCAACGTCCTGTGGCTCGGCCTGGAATTGTGTTGCACCAAACCGACAAATGTGTTCTATCTTGTCGGCACGACCGATGCTCAATTATGACGACGCTACAAGTTCACGGTCTCTTTTTGAGCTTCGTACAATAATGCACCTGAAGCGATGCGATGCTCCGTCCCGGGTACCGCGCCGCAAACTGTTCATAGATCCCACGCCAGGGCAGCTGTCCATCTTCCTTCAGTTGGATAAGGTAGCTGTCTTCTTCCTCTGAGAAGGGCATTCCCGAGCTCGACCCGCGCGTCTGCCTCCTCTTCGCCCGATCTTGACCTTCCAGACTTCTTGGGGATGTCGTTCCACGCCGTCTCCTGGCCGAGATGGCCTGAGCATGCGCGTGTGGCCGCTGGCCCCAATTGGGATCCCATTGAAATTGTAGCTGGAATTGGGGAACACCGCCCACCAGCACACGCTTAAGTGAGGCGTTTGCGAGTGGCCATTCCGTGAAGGTGGCGGATACATCCTCCTCCGCTGACTCCTGACTGGATGGGGTGCGCGAGCGTGGCGGGGTAATGGCAATAGGACTTGCAGGTTTCGTGGTACTGTGGCCTTTGGCAAGCGTAGCCGCCGGTCGCAAGTGCTGCAAGAAACCGTTCACCGCCTCAGATCGTAAACGACGGCGCGCGGACATGAGCTGACCACGACTACCTAAACTGCGACTTCTAGGCCTGGTCGGACTTGGTGACGGCTCTATAGTATAGTCTGTGTCGCTCGAGTCGGATGATTCGGACGAGGAGTCTTCGTCCGACGGTGTGGCTCGCCGTCGATGGGAATTGGCTTCCGTTTTGCGTCGAGCAGTCGCTATGGCTTGTAAGCGCATGCTCGATCGTCGGGGTCCTTCCGTGTCGAGGTTCGCATGCCGGTGTCTTCTGAGCGCAGGTGGAGGGAGAAGAGGGCTGTTGCCTTCCGGGAACGACAGATTCCGTTCAGAACTTTCACATCGCGATCGAGTTCCTTGGGCGCTATGATTCCCGGGGCTCACATCGCTCGCGGGCGACTACTGTGAAGAGCACGCAAGTCCTTGCGACCCGAATGATTGAGAGGAATTGAGCGGCTTCGCACCAGCGCATGGAAGACCCCTGCCCAATGCTGAGCCCTCGTGAGTCGGACCGTTGGTCCACCCGTCGAGCAACCGATCAAGATCCCTCATATCTACTGGACGGGGAGGCTGAGTGCGATCTGTGTCAATGGCTGGGAACAGAGCAGACACTGTATCACCGTGCCGACTTGAGCAGCCGAGAGGAGAACAGTGACATGCCAGGTGTACTGATGTGGTAGGAGTGCCCATTGCGGTATCGGATGATCCCAGACCCCTTCCCATGCTTTCGCGAGTGCACGAAAAAGGGAAATCCTCCATGGCTGCGGATCTTGTGGGAGCTGTGCCTGGTGGATACACCGAGAACTGTGTCGGGATGGAGTTCTCGTCGCAGGCCGGAGAGAAGGGACCCTGAGGGATGGCCGAACCCAAATCCGGCGGAAGGCCGGCATTGACAGAGCCAGCCATTGCCCGTGGTGGCATAGTCTCTGGGTCCTTGTCGGCGTCATCGCGGCTGCTTGCATCACACTGGGTTTCGTCTACCTCGATCACTTCGCGGGACGAGGTTGCGCGACAAATGCCCCAGGGCCCTGCACTGATGTCTGGAGCAGGGACGGCCGAGTTCTGGGGCAGAGTCGATAGAGCTGAGCTGCTCAGGGGTCGAATGTTGGCGGTAGGCTGGGGAGGTCTTGGAGCAGGAGGCTGATAGAATTGAACATGATCGAGACTGATGTGTGTTGAGCGAGGCATTTTGAAAGCCTGCAAGCGTGAAAGAACGTGGGAATATGATGAGGACGAGACTCAAGATGTGGGTGAACGAGTAGCATTTTATAGATCGTTCCATGGTCCATGCCTACAATGATCTTCTTGCTCTCTTGCCCCTCTCGAAGATCTGACTAGCCATGCTCCTCACAGAAAGGGAATGCCCATGCAAGCGCATGGCGCCGCCCTCAATTTGGCAATGCCGCTCATCGCCATCAACCAAGGAGATGAGGTAGGCGCCTCCTCCCAAAATGCAAAAGCATCCGCCTTTCCCGAGCTTTCTGGTCGTGATCCCGGGCCAAGTCCCATCAGCGGGCCATACCAATGCGACGCGCAGCAAGACAAAACCAGCCTTGACTAACGAGTCCGCCTTCCCTTGGTCCGGGCTGTGGAGCGTGAGGGGGAGTACGAGAAGGCAGCAGGATTGCGTCGTCAGCTGCATTTCGCGCTCGAGACCATCGGGGGGCTTCTTGCCGCAAAGATGACCGAAGAATCGGCCCATCTCGGCATGACCGAGGCGCCTGAATGTGGGACAGAAGCAACGTTGCACTGCGCGTCCGTGGCTGCGCCTCCTATTCTCTTTGAAGCTAACATGGGAACCAGCGTTCCTGACCCCATGTGCGTCCCCCTTTTCCCTGCATCAGCGTCTCATGTCGCGTTCGAGCTCCCCTGCTGTGCCCAAACGCGAGGAAACTGGTCGTCGAAAGCGGGTAGGATCAGCACACCGCAAAACGCTTGGACGGGTCTTGACAGGTCCAGACTGGTCGAAGAGGGAGGGCAGGAAAGCCGCGAGGTCGTCGGGCTGGAGACGTGGCCTGAAGTGCTCGAATGGAGATGGCACTGCTGATAACGCCTGCTTTCGACAGCTCTCAGTCGATAGAGCTGACGTCGAGGCGCTTCAACCGACCTATGCAGGAAGATGTGACTGCAAGCGACAAGTTCGTCAGTCAGGGCCATGGGAAAGCAACTCAGTGGAACATGCACATTAAGCAACTCACGAAGCCGGTCAGGACCGAGTCGAGGCAAGAGGCGGAAGGACCCAGGACCGCCTGGGGCGCTAACCTATGCAAGAGCATGACGGCGGAAATTGCGACGGCCTGAGGCAAGTAGCCGAGAGGAAGGGAACGAGGCGATGACCGGGAGATGAGGAAGCGGTGACCGGGACGTGAAGAGGGACGAAACGAGTAGACAGTACACGAGAGGTCGTCGAGCGGGAGGGCCGCCGTACTTATGGAGGGGAGCGGCGAGGCCCGTGCGCGTAGCCAGTCCAAACAGGGCGGACGTGGCGCGATGCCTGTTTGGGGGGACCGCCATTCCCGGAGGGGCAGGCAGCGAGTCCGCGATTACTAAGTTAGTAGGATTTTATATAGGAGAGCTTAGTGAAGCAAAAACACGCTAATAACTTAGTGGTTTTTTCACTAAAATAGGATCCATAATTAGCCACACCGTAGTTAGTAAGGCTAACGACGATACTATTGCTATTTAAGTTAACGGAATTATAGGCGACTATAAGCTAATTATTCTAATATTAATTCTATAACGGCCCGATATCTAATAGCGCCTCCTAGGGTATAAAAATATATATTAGCGAAGTTATAGTAATTACCCTATAATCACGATAAGGATTATAAGGGGTATTTTAGTCGGCTCCGATATAGTATTCCGGGACTTATTCCGACTTAGTTAGCTCGAATTTTATCGCCTAATAGAATAGGTAATATTAAACGGCACCGTTAGAGAAACCTCTTACTATATAAGAACGTGGAAGGTTATACTCTTCCTCTATATTATCAATTATAATGTATCCCTGCGTAATATATACTACCGCTTTAAGATATCGTTAAATACGGGATCGCGTATCTTTAACAAGGTCCTAGATACGATATATTAGCTTTATATCGAATACGTTAAGTAATCTTTATACCAATACGTATCGCGATATATCGAACTATCACGATATAATAATTAGTTTAATGGCTATATCAGAGTAATTAACGGAACCTATATCTTAGCGTAGGTGCTACCTAATATATAACGGCGGTTCTATAATCGGAAAGGATAACTTACCTAAAATATCCCCGCGGTAGTCGATTTTAACCTCTTATTTACGTATATCCTAGCTAGGGCTAAGGGTAGTATAAATAACGTATCCTTGCTTTAAGAGGCTTTCGCTAAATGGTCCTTTAACGTACCTAATAGGAGATTCTACCTCGCTAATAGTGGGTTTAGTAACGATAACCGAGGTATTGTAACCCTATTCGATAGCAAGAGGTATTACCTTTAAGAATTTTCTAAAATAGAGTGGAAATATCTATTATTAAAGAAGCGATTTAACCGCCTCCACGCCGGCCACCGTAGCACTATTAAGCGCGTTTTTAGTGTACTAAAGAGGTCTTTTCGTATCCTTAATAGGAAGGTACCTGAATATACCCTCGAAAAGCAAATTATAATCGTGTACGCGGTAACGGGGATCTAGAACTTTGTTAGGGCTATACGTAATAGTGTAGCGTTAATAATAATGGTGGATAGAGGATTTACTAAAGAAGAGGAATAGTAGCTATTATAGCTAGCTACCGAGCGAGCTAATTATAATATCGGTATTAAGAGCGGATTAGAAATAAGGTATTAGATAACTAAGATAACAGAATAGTAGTGGTAATAGTTATTATTATAGAAAAGATATCGATATATTAAGTAGCACGTTAAGTACTATATCTACCTAGCTAGATATTAAGAGGTAGGAATAGTAGATAAGATAGAGCTATACCCCGCACTAAATCTATGTAGGTAAGTAGTGAATATTTCTAGCTAATTAAAGTATATAGAAAATAAGACTTAATCAGAATCCAGGTCTACCGTAAGGCTACGCCTCCTACCCTTACCACTATCACTATTATTACTACCTTTAATAACCTCTGCTATTTTTATAACCTCTGCTTTTATAAAGCTGTACTTCTTTAAAAACGCCCTTTTTTCCTCCTTTCTTAACGAGTTAAAAAGCGTTACTAGGTTAGAATTTTAAGTAATAAATTCCTCTACTATAATAATCCTATTAACGCTACCTAATTCCTCGAAGAAATCACGCTGATAATCGGTAATAGCGTTACTAAAAGAAGGCGTGTTCTAATATACTACTAACGTAAGCAGACTAGTTATTAGTGGATCTGTAGGTGCATTTTCCCTCCTATGATAGCGCTATAGAGTGTTATCTAAGATATCGTTATAAGGGATAGGCGAGCTTATTACGCTATTATTATTAGAATCCTAATATTATTACTTAGTGCGTTTAGGAATAGGCGTTAGCGTTAATACCGATTTCTAATACTTACATTAAACCAGCTCTTATATGTCGGCGATATTCTAATCTATCGCGATAGTATTAGGTTAAATAAGCTTTAATAGGCTATCCACCTATTATACGCCTCCGCGCCTCCGAATACGCCTACTGATCTCGCCGTATTTTATCTCGAATATATCCTACTACTCGTTAGTCGCTTCGATAATACCGCTCTAATTATCGTAGTTATTAATACTGGACTTACCGATTAGCGTTAGGATAGCTCTTAGCTCTTTTTCTATACGATTAAGCTTTATTATTATCTCTTTAACTAATGGATTAGTTATAGGATATACTTCTTATATCTTAGGTAGGATCTTAGATAGCACTTATTATCTAGCTAACCTCTTATTACTTATAGCGAATAGGGTATTATCGCGATGCATAGTAACTAATAACTCGAAAAGTCGACGTTCGATATAATCCTGCTATAATACCCGCGATCGTTTATTAGTAGACGAAGGAGTATTAGCTTATAACGCCGAGGTCCTTTTTATAGTAGGATTTTAACTAGTTATATCGTCTTCAGATATATCGTTATCGCTAGAGACATTAGAATTAGTGGTATCCCTCCTTTATATAAGGGGTTACTATTCGATATTTTAGTCTTCTTAAGTAGCCTCCCCGTTATTAACATCCTTAGTATTAGGGTCAGGTATATTACTAAGTGACCCTTCTATAATATCCTCTACACTAATAGAACCTAGGGCCGCTATATCGATATACGTAGTAGTATTCACAATATTCTATACTAGTAAAAAGCGGTGTTTTTTATATACGAAAGACTTAATCCTGTATTACGGAATCGGCTTAATACTTCCCCGATATAACTCCCTTATTTCTGTATAAAAAGATATATCGAGGCTAAGCGACGGCGCTAAAATAGCGCCTTAGCAGCGTTATCACTTTCACAAAAATCGTGGTGAAATCTCACCAAGTTGATAAAATGGTCGAACGGGGCCTTAATAATCGTCCTCTAATGAACGTTACGTACGCACTAATTACTGAAGTACATTTTTCTGAAAGTGGTCCCCTTAAATAACTGCAGGTGCAGGTACCTCCAAGCTCCAGATAATTACCTTACTCCGTAAAACTTGGGTAAAACTTGGGAGCAACTCAACTGCGCCTAACGTCTGCAGACCGAGACGTGCTTCGACCTCCCTCCAGAACCCAGAAAGTTCTACTGATCTGGTTTGTCGTTTTCTGGTTCCCAACTCCATGGCTTCCAAGCGTAGTCATGCCACATCTACCGATGGGCAAGACGAGGCCTCTGTCGAGCAACCGGTGAAGAAACGATCCAAGAACCAGTCCAGCAGCTCCAAGTCCGGACGACAGCATCAAAATTCCCACATCGATCCTACTTGGGGCCAGAAATATGTCTTCTCCAGCTATGGCGATGCTACTACTACGATCCCCGCCGATTCAGATGTCGAGTTCGAAGATGACGCCGATGCCATGGCCTATCTGAAGTCAGTGAGGTGGGTACAAATTCCTTACCCACACTTGGTTCTCACGCGGAACTCTCTCTATTCCTTTCGTCTGCTGCAACGCGCTGAAACCAATTCTTCCTCGTTTCTGCAGTATCAAAAAAACATGCTGATATGGGGAGTGTTTTCCAGACAAGAAGCTACCGGTATTCCCCATCTTCTCGTCGCCCCCAAGATCCCGATTGGGCCTCAACTTCCCGAAGGCTTCCGACCCCCCAACGGACCCGATGACGATGCCAACGAGATAGCCGACAACAGCAAAGAGGAAGAATTAAGCGACACTGCACTCGATCGTGGTCTGTATGAAAGCGGTATTGGGGACTATTGCGGGCGCTATGAAGACGGCGCATACATCGGTCATCCTGATTCTTGGGTCGAAGAGGCAGAAGCACAAGGGGGTGAAGATGGCCAAGACTGGGACGGCTCGCCATCCCACCGAAACGCCGATACCGAAGCAGCCGTTCACGAGGCCTACTTCGCCTCCCAGCTGGACCACTACCATGCCCTGCGCGCAGTCCTCCGATCCAAACCACCCGAAAGCGTCGTCTCCGATCTCCCTCGCACCCACAGCCCCCACGTCGGCCGCCTGGGCCCTCGGAGTCCCGTCTTCAAGATCTGGAACCACCGTCTCCGCAACACCGACCCGCTCCCCGCCCAGATCGCCTCCATGGACAAGGAGTCTGTCCTCCGGGTCCTCCGGGTCCTGCTCTCGGGCAGCTTCCTCCGCCGCGGCGCCGAGCTGCACGAGCGCACAAGCCGCTGGGTCTGGGCTCTGCTGGCTCGTCTCCCCCCGCCCGGCGAGCTGAACCACGTCGAGATCGCCTGGGTGCGCGACCTGGGCCGCCGCGCCGTGCTCTTGAGCCAGAGCTTGGCAGATATGGCGAACCTCCGGGACGCACTCGACGGGGAGGGCGTAGACCTAGGCGTGCACGAGGCTGTGGATGACAGCTCCGACGACGACGAGGACGTGTTGCAAGACATGGAGGTCGAAGAGCCGGAACCCGAGGAGGACGAGGGCACGGTTGAAGAAGAAGACGGAGACGATCAGCAGGAAAACACCGGTGCGATTTCTGGCGAACCAGACGGAATAGAAAGGAGAGATGAAACCGCTGCTGAACCCGCCGTTGGTGCTGCAACGGCAACCAAAGACGATACCGCAACCGCCGAGGACGTCGAAGACGGCGAGATCGACGAGAAGGGAGAGGAAGATCGGCACTCGCAATCCATGGACTGTTCCGAGGATGGCGAGGTGGTCGAGGACGACACGTCCGCGCCGCACCAGGCCGCCCCGGAGACAGACGAGGGGTTGGAAGCCGCGAAAGCGCGGGTGCTGGCGCAGCTCGAAGACGTCGACGTCCAACCCCCGGCTCAGGACTCCAGAGGGACAGCTGCGGAAGAGGAAGAAGACGAAAAAGCACCCGACGCCCGCTTGCGTGCCAGGATGAACATGCGTGCTACCCTGAACATGATCCTAACCGTCGCCGGTGAGTTCTACGGACAGCGGGATCTTCTCGAGTTCAGGGATCCCTTTGCAGGTATGTAGCGCGGATTCTTTGCCCAGTTTTGCCATTACCAGGGAACGCAGGGAAAATGTGGGTGAACATGGCGTCTTGGGTGAACAAAAATTGGGCGATTCGCTGTCTTGCCTGTCTTTACATGTGCTCCTTTTCCGCTTGATGTAACAATATTTTGATCACTTAGCCTTGAGGTAGGCTAGCTGTATGCTATCAAAAAGGGATACCCATTGGCAGTATAAAACACAACAGAAGTATGATACAGATGCAAAGAAACTGTCCTCAAAGGCAGCACTTGCCGAGTACAGAACGCCTGAACCAAAACAAAATGAGGCATTGCGGCCGTGGTCGCCCTCGTAACGCCAATACCATGTATCCAAGAAGCCCCTCGTCCCCCCCCCCAGCGTATCGTCGCATTAAATACTCCATGTTCGTCCCCCATTTGTAAACTGCTCAAGAATCGCTTACGTCCATGCCATCCACAACAAGAAAATCAGCCTCCTCAAAGTCATCGATTGCCATGTTCTCCTGTTCCACGGCTGGGACAGAGGTGGTAACCCCAGGAGTAACGGCGGTTTTCCGCCGCGCAACCCCCTTAGGAACAGCCATAACCCTCGCATTGCCCGGTCCGACGGGCGCCAGGCTGCGGGGGCTGACATTGCCGTCCAGCCAGGCGTCGCATTCGCGCCATGTCCGTGCGGAGGTATCGCCGTCCGTGTCCTCCCCTGCCTCGTGAAATATGCGCTTCCGGGACGAAGACCCGGCATAGCTGGCGTTGCTTTCCACGCTCTCCTGCGAGCTGGTCAGGCCGGGGATGTCATCCAGCTCGGGCAGGTGTCTTGCGTTGTCGCGTTCTTCGTGGCGGTCATAGGAAGGTTGCGTGGCGAGGCCGCCGACTTTGTGTATTCCGCAGAACGGAAGGAGTTCCCTCTGCGACGACGCCGCCAGAGTGGCGGACCTGCTGGTGGTGGGTGGTTCTGCAGATGAGGAGACGGGGACGTGTGTGTTGTCAACGTCGGACCAGAGCTTGAAGCTGCTGTATGTTCCCGTCTTGTAACCCTCCGGAACACTCTTGCGGACGCGCATGCCGACGTTGAGGAGGTTGGTTTGAACGTTGGCCGGGAGGATGGGCTGGGAGGAGGCGGCGACAGGGGTGGTGGTGGGTGTGCGTGGGGAGAAGAAGGAGGTGATTTGGCGCTGGGAGGTCTCGCTTGCTGCGCCGGCGAACTGGCGCTTGATTCTTGGGGCGGACATTTTGGGTCGTGTAATGTGCGCTTAATTCGACGATACGCAGGTCTGAAAAGGTCAACTGCAATGACGTCCAGAATCTAGGGGGGTCGAGGAGACCAGACGGACTTCGTCTTGACGTTATTCGTTTTTACAGGTCGGTTCGGTAGAAGGTGTGACACAAAACGGATATATTGAGTGTGTGCAAAGGGAGCTATCTAGAGCCTCTGTATAGGTTATGGGAGGTCTGACTACCTAGACGGCGTAACCTGATTGGTTGGCCGAGCGGAGTCACGAGCGGAGTCACGTAACACCCGTAATACTCCCCCGTAGGCAGAGCTCTAAATATCCAAAACAGCTTAAACGGCTTAAACGGCCGAAAAGCTTGAAAAACGCGTAAAACGCACAAAGCTCGAAAATAACGTTAAAATCCTTTTATAAGTATTATTAGTTAGGCACTTTAAAGACTATAAACTAACTTATACTCTTTTTCTCTTTTTTATAGTAACTTCTATATAAGAATAAATACCGATACCTCCCGATTCTTTTTAATTAACTGTACTACTAATTATTCCTCCGAGTCTATACTATATCGAAATAATAACCGAACCACTAAAATAATAATCTCCTCGCGTTATTAATCCCCTCGTGTTAATAATCCCCTCGTATTATTAATCTAATTCGACAGGGTGCATAGTGGTATAATAATAAGATAAGGTCTAAAGCCCTCGCGATCTTATATATCTATATCTACCTTTTAAGTTAGTAATCGCGCATTATACCGCCTTTTTAGAGCAGCCTATTATTCTCGTGATAGTAATAGATTAGGTCCGCGATCTAATTAAGTTAGTTTTAGAGGTTAAAGATAGGGCTATATAGCTATGGTTAATTAGGGAAAAGTCGAATCTACCTCTATCTCTAAGGGCCTTGCTATTAAGGCTATCGTTATAGTCGTGGTTATTATTAGGTAATAGAATACTAATCAATTAGTTACCTATATAGATATCTAACGTCTCTAGGTCTTCAGAGATCGTCTTTTATAAACCTTCTTCGTTACTAACGGTATCGGACAAGCGCTTACGGCCACGCCTTAGTGATTTATCGGTCTTTTAGCTCCTTATTAGGGATAGACTAAGCCACCCTATCTCTGCTATATTTAGTCTCCTAGCTAAGCGAGTCCTTAACCGTTATAATAGTAGTGTATAAGTATATGAGGCCTTTTCTATCGGCTATAGTGGCGGAGCTAAACTATACTATAGAAACTATTATTAATATAGGAAGGAGATACCTAAGTAGTCTCCTCTAACCGCCCTTACAGGGGTTCGTTATACCGATAAGTATCATCTATACCTAGTTATCTAACGAAGTCGCGATACTTCTATCGTTAAAGGGCTTTTATAAGACCGTCTACAGCTATCTCCCTAGTACTAACGTGTTAGAGGTTAAATTAGTCTCTCTCGGTCTACTAGATAATCTATTTATATCTAGTATCTATATAGCGCGTTCTTATAGAATTAAGGGTATTTAATACCTAGCTTAAAACTCTAGTGCTATTAGTTATTAGTAGGAGAGGTCTCTTAATAGGTAATAAGACTATAGTAGTGACGAGATTAGCGATCTATTAAAGGTTAAGAGTAGCGGGTACGAGATTCACGAACTTAGCCTCTATAATACTTAGTGTAACAAAGGGTTACTTCTTAGATTTCTATATAACCGGTCCTCCTACGAGGAATATAATATACCCGCCTATAGACATTCTTCCTACTATATCTGCGTGGGCGGTATCTACAGCTATATATAGACTCCGAGATAGGCTATTTCCGACGTTATTACCTCCGTATATAATACTATACCCTATTATACCCTTAATATAGTGCTATAGGTGCTTTAACGCTACTTAGTATACTGCTATTAGACTAGAATTTGCCTCGTATAGCTTAGATACTATAACTATAATATCGGGACATATGCCGTAGGCAAGGTAGTTTAAGCTGCCCGTTTACTAAAGATACTCCTATCTAGTCTACTTATCGCAGGCCTCGGGATCTGCTAGAATACTAGATTTAAAGCTATTAGGTAGTGGCGTTAGGACTACGTTATAGTCTTCTATTTTGAATCTTTCTAAGATCTTATTAGTGTATTATTATTAGTTAATTATAATTCTTTTCGCTACCCTATTTCGTGTGATTCTAAATCCGAGGAATTACTTTATATTGCCTAGATCCTTAAGAGTATATACCTCCGCGAGTGCTTCTTAAACTCCCGCGACAGCTTACTTATATAGGGCTGCTATATAGATATCGTCGACGTAGATTAAGATAATAATCTTAGTATCCTTATTAATTAGGATATATCTATTATTATCCAGTAGTTCGAAACCGAGGTTCTTTATATACTTAGCGATATACCGAAACTACTATAATAGGGCTTCATTTATACCGTATAGAGCTTTCTATAATAGGTAGACCTTAGCTAGATAGTCGGTACTAAGCCCTTTTAGCTATTCCACGTAAACTTAGACTTTAGTAGGAGCCTCTATAGCTAAAAACGCTATATCGAAATCAAAGCTCTTATAGTCGAGATCTTCTATAGTAACCACTACGAGGAAGGTTCTAAGTAAGGCTATTTAAACAACTACGGTATATAGGTCTTATATAGCCTGATTACTATTTTGCTAGTTACTATAAACCACCTAATAAGCCTTATATCTAATAAGATTCCTGTTTTCGTTATACTTATCGTTAAATACCCACTTTTCTAGGAGAATTCTAATATCTTAAGGTCTATTAACGAGGGTCTATATCTTTCGGTTATTCAGAGCTTAAAGTTCCTGCTATATAGCAGGCTTATACGTTAATATAAAGTCTAGGTATTTAACGGCTTCTTTATAAGTCTTAGGAGGAAGTTATTACTAGTTCTTTATTATTATTAATTAGTTAACCTCCTCTATAGATAGTATACTAAAATAAGCGATCCTCTCTTAATTAAGAGAATCTTGTAATATTACCTATATAACTTCATTAACTACTAGCTCTAGGGTTATAGCGTTAGCTTATAACTCCCCCATAGAGGGACTATTCTATAATACTTCCTACTACTTTTAGTTATTCTGTATAGCCTGTTAAGGCTATTGGATTATTTTAACGATATCGATAACTACCTTATCTAGGTATATATCTGTGTTAACTAGTATAGCTTCGTAGTCTAGTATAGTATAAGATAAATCTTTTTAACTATTCTCTTCGAATTTAATATCTCTAACACGAAGCACGCGATCTAATTCCGGCACTTAAATACTATAGATATAGCTATAGATAGAGTCGTATTCTATAAGCTTACCTTTCTAGGCTCTTAGTGCCACCTTATTAGCTTTAGGAGACTTAAGGTGTCCTTTCTTATAAACGTAGGCTATATAGCCGTAGGTTCATAGATATTAGATATAAGGTTTCTATTAGTCTTTTAGGTAGTTAAGAGCTTTTATAAGCTTTTTGTAAGGGCTTAGTCCTGGCAGGACTCCCCCGTTAGAGGGTAGGAGATTTAGTATCTCCGCCGAGGTCTTAAGGGTAAACGTCTAGATCTATTTGGGTAGTTTACTATTAATAATAAGGGTACGTGTTATTTCCATAATAACTCCGCTAGCTCTTTCTCCCTTACTATTTTATACCAGAGTATAGACTACTATAAAGAGGATCATAATACTATGTTTCTTAAGCTTGTTATATAGCTTATCGTTATTAAATTCCCCCCCCGTTATCACTAAGAAAAGCTCTAATCTAGAGCCTAGTCTATTATTTCTATATAGCCTTAAAGGCCTTAATCTCGGTTACCACCGTCTTACCCTTCTTATCTCGTAGCCACCTTAAGTAGTAGTAGCCGGTATATTATTCTATCTAATAGATAACGTATCTATATCCTCCGTAGATAATAGGCTTAATTTTAATAAGGTCTATATTAAATTCTTTAGGTATTATTAGGATAGTAGGTTTAATCCTTAACGGTTATTCTTTTAACTTAGTAAGGTAGTAAGTCTCGTAATAGAATGCCTCTACTTAGGCGGTATCGAATTAGATACCTGTAGCTTTATAAGCCTTAATAATCTTATATTTACCGATACAGCTAAGTCTCTTATACTATATTATAAAATCGGCTTTTAGGTGCTTTATACTAATAGCTACGTAAACAAGGGTATTAGCTATATCACACCCACCTTCTACTTCTTTATTTACCTAGACTATTACGACGTCTCTCTTCTAGTTAATCTTTATAAGTTATCGACTCGATAGCTTATAGAAGAGAGTCTGTTATTTATTATTATAACTGATCCCTTAGTTACACAGATATCCCGATAATAAAAGGTTTACTAGGGTATATGGATAGTACTATACCTTATTAATAGTCTATTTATGGATATTGCCTTCCGAGTCCTTAGTTCTAAAGAAGATAGATCCTATACCTAAGGGTCGTGAACTATTACTATCTACTACCTTTATAAGAGATAGGTTATCCTTCGGGGTATAGTCCTTAAACCACTTAAGGTCATTAAAGGTACTAACTTAGTATCCCGAATCCTAGACGACTTTATTAGTGAATATAATGGATATAACTACACCTGCTAGAAGAGCTTTATATAGAGATTATTAGTTAAAGGCAGAGCCTCCAGACTTAACTTTAACGCCACCGGTATCTTCAGTATCCTCTTTAAGGGTTTTATTATTATCTAGTCTCTTAAATATAGGTATCTTACCCGTTTTCTTCTATTTATCGTGCTTCGCCTAAAAGATATAACGAGTCTCTAGTAGAGCGTTATTAGGAAAGGCGATAAAGTACTTACTCGTCTAGTATTAACCTTTATAGATTTTATATAATAGGAGATTACCTCTTTAACCTTTTTTCTTCTTATTATTAGATTAGTTATTACCGGACTAGTTACTAGTAGATTAGTTAGTTATCTTCGGAGGCTATAACTTTATTATAGTATTAATAGATAATACCTTAAAGTCCTTAGCTCTGGCCTTTAACTAAAGGTCGTCGATAAGGTTCCTCTAGCTAACGTTCTTCTTACTAAGGTAACATTCTATAAGGGCTAGGTATTTACCTTCGATAGCTATAACAACTATATACACGTCTTTCTTATCGTTAGCAGAGCTGATCTAGGTATCTAACTATTTTCTAATAGCGTATATTCTCTATAGATACTAAGAGGTTAATTTAAAGTCCTCCACCTTTATAGAATTCAATTCCTTAATACGGGATTTTATAGCCTCTTCTAAGACTCAAGGGACTATTTCCTTAACTACTTAGAGTAGTTAGTATAGGTCTATATTATCCTTATTCCACTTAGAGCCTTCTAGATAAAGCTTAATTGGCTTAATTACGGTTAGTAGGGCACTATAGACTATTACACGTTATTAGTTCGAGGCTATATCGCGGAAATAACCCTAGGGATAATTAAATACGGTTAGTAGTTTATAGCTTACTAGCTAGGCCTTTACCTTATATTCCTAATCCTTATAATCTAAATTATCTTTAAGGGTAGGGAACTTAATCTACGTAGGCTATATCTTAAAGCTATTTATTAAACTATTAACGAAATTCTATAGGGTAACTATCTATTATTATTATTATTAAGGGTAATTCTCTTCTAGTATAAGAGGAGGATTAGTAAACATTATACAACGCGCTACCATATTTCTCTCGGGAGCTATATCCTTCTCGGAGGTGTTAAAGAGAGGCCCTAACAACTACCTAAGAGATTATCTAACATTATCGGGGATCTATTAGCTTTTAAGAGTATATATTAGATATTCTAGTTAATCTAAGCTATTCATTATATCTTCTTCCGTTATAATTTCCTTCTATTTTCCTTTTAATTACTAAGAAGTCCATTATCGAGCTATCTCGGCTTTAATTTTATCTTAGAGATTAGATTTATTATCGTAGATATCCTCCTCGTATACTATCTCGAGGGGTTCTTAAGGAGGTGCCTTTAAGGGGCCTGGTTAAGATTCCTTCGCTATAAGGCTTACTGCCGTCAAAGGGATTAACTTAACTTATTGATTAGTGGCTAAGGCCGAAATAAACGGATTTTTTTTTTGATATCCGGCGATTAAGAGGACTATGCGAATTAATATAATTAATCCTCGCGATTAATAATTAATAAAAATTAACCCTGCGGATAATAAGGGCTTATAACCTGTGACATAAAACGGATATATTAAGTGTGTGTAAAGGGAGCTATCTAAAGCCTTTGCATAGGTTATGGGAGGTCTGACTACCTAGACGGCGTAACCTGAATAGTTAGCCGAGCGGAGTCACGAGCGGAGTCACGTGACACCCGTAACAGAAGGGAGTGAAGCAGTGGAGGTTTGAGGATAGGGTACTTTGTGGAGACGCTGCCGCAATGATCATTAATATGACAGTGCTTTGACAGGGAAAGCGAAAGAAAAGCCCGGAAGTCTGGGGTTATGGGGAGTGGGAAGTGGAAAGAAAGTAAGATGAGAGTTTGATTCGAATGGTTTGGGGAGGTGGGGGGACGTAACCAGTAATAAATGTGGCCCGGGGGTGGCTCGGTTCAAGAGGCTGTGGGAGGCTTAGTGCTAAGTACCTGAAGTTTGAGGGTTTCCCCGCGTGTTTGGGCGCGTCTATCTCGTGCCATTTCCGCGTTTCTTTTCCCTTTTTCAATTCACAATAAGAACAGGAAAGCCCCACACTCCCTGTGACAACGCCTTTGTCCCGATTGGCGGCCCCAGACATTCCACATCGCCTGGAAAGTCTCGTGACACAAACGACAAGGTCCTGGTTGTCAGTGGCTACCAACACAATCGTGTTCAAATCATTTATTAGGACTGGCATGTCTCACAAAACAGCTTATTTGACTTGATAAGCGAATGCAATCTCTAGGGTCGCCAAAAACATGGAGATGAATTCGGTACTGTGCTTTCCTGGGTTATAGGGATGAAACAATCTGCCTCACCATTCCGTAGATCTCGGGGTTGCATGTGGCTGCATGATCGGACAAAGAGCTACACGACGTCAAAATGTATGTATTCGGTGTCTCATGGCATTGGAGCATTCGCTATGCCTGTCCCCGAAGCCACTATGTAAAACATACCCAGAAGCGTTCAATCATCTCAAAAGAGCCAAACCTTGCTGTCGTACCAGGCTGGTATGGCAGATCAAACATATGCAATCCACTAGGCCGCAGCTACCGAGCCTTCAGCAACATGGCATGGGATCCCGACATTCAACTGCATCCATACAAACGTAGGACGAAAACAGCTCAAGATAAGCAAGCCGTGAGACGTCCATCTAACACGCCTATACAGAAAAGAAACCGGAGCAGTTACTGGGATGCACTGCGGAAATCAAGAACCCAGCAAATGGTTGACAATGTAGACATCACCATCACAGTCACGATCACGATGGGCCTCCGGAACTTGCTGATGACACGTTTGTGGAAACATTGAATTTCGCAAGAGCACAGTGTTATCCTCTCCGCCACTGCACTTGGGTATGTAGCGATCCTCAATCAGTGCTTCCACGTCCTCACGCCCAGGTTGATCACAGACCAGCCGAACGCTCGTGAAATGCCCATCTTCTGCTGTCCACCCAGCCATGCATGCAGAGACGCTTTCCTCCTCCTCCATGGACCGATCGCAAAAAGGCATGGGAAAACAGGAAATGACTCGACGAGACATAGATGGTAAAACGGGAGGGAAACGTGTGCGGCGGCGAGGGAGTAGAGGAGGAAAAAAAAAAGAAGAAGATATGTCGGTCGAGAGTGTCATGCAAGATATCCGGAGACCCCAAACGCCCCTGTTTTGGTCAAGGAATTTTGGATTGCCCCATCTTTTCCATCCGCAAAAGAGGCCGTTTGATTATGTCCGGGGAACAGCGAGCCCTAGCGGCCCGTGTCGAGGTGCTGTCTATTCGCCAGAGTCGCAAGTGCTTTTTGTTTTCGGTATTTTGCAGATCCGAGATGAGAGCCACCATCGTCAACCGTAACCGTCATAATAACCCAGGAAAAAGAAAAGGCCCGTCATGCGAGACGTTTACTTTCTCCGGAACGAGCAGCCCTCAGTGAGCCTGGCCTTGCCACCGGTGGGCTGGCACAGGACGGTGGTGCAGCCCTGGCAGATGACGACGGTCTGGGCGTGCGAGAAGACTGTGGTGATGGTGAAGCAGCCGGGGCACTTGACGTCCATGAAGAAGGAGCGGGGGGCCGGGACAAGGGTCTATGGCGGGGAGAAAAGAACATTGTTAGTTGCGGGGGGGTTCTTGAAAACATACCCACGGTACATGCTGGGCACATTTGGATGAACAACCAAATCGTGGCGATAAAAGTATCATACCTTGAGCTTGTGCTTCTTGGCCTCAGCGGCCGGGGAGGGGTTGAGAAGGTCAACGGCGAGAACCTGCGGGCAATCCATCAGCATTACAGTCCTTCCATCAAGAAACAAATAGTTAAAAATCCATCCATCCCATCCACCCTGTAGCTCTTTTCCGCCCAACAGTATCCATCCACCGCCTCTTTCTTTTCTTTTTTTTGTTTTTTTGCCAGAGCTTCCCTCTCGTCCGCGATAGGTAGATCGATCGATCGGTCGGGTTCCGTGTCCAAATAATCCTTTCCAAGCGTGGGCGGCAAACGAGCTCTTTCTGATAATTCCAAATTAAACAGCAGAGCTTACCATCTTGACAGTTGTTCGTGAAGATCAAAGGGTGAAGATTGCGAACGGTCGAGTGACGGTGGTCTTGACGAAATCTGAGAGCTTTGCGTGCAGATTTGGTGGCACTCGCTGAGGGTGAGGTGGAAAAATCTTGGGGGGTTCTCGAGGGCGTCACACACTTGAGGCAAAGTTTCGCCCTAACCGAATCGGTCAAATCTCTAGGGCTTGTCCGCCCGATCTCACGTGACTCAGCCACCTCGTGTTCGCTGGGGCCCATTGTTGGCGCGTGTCCACTACGGATAGAAACGTTGCTTAGCTAACACGGTCAAACTGTTTGACGCTCGGTGTGCTCATGTGGGGTAGCTCCATCATAGACGGGGGGAGGGTTCTGTTGAGGGGCAGCAATCGGGTCTTGATGGATGTGGGATGCCTAGTATTGTCGTGTAGGTACTACGACTTTGTTGAATTTCTGGTCGCCCTGTTGGTCGATTCCATTTTTACGAAGTCCTACCCCTTTTTCAGGCTCGACTTTGCTATTTGGACTGTCTCTGAAGGCTCCCTGACACACTCCCCATTGTCTACACCATTGTCCAACCTTCCACCATGGCGAATCCTCTTGATCAGAGAATAGCAGTACCGATAGACGACCCCAATGCGGACACAGAATGGTATGGCTCGGTTCTTTTTTTGGAGAATCAATGTTCTTGTGATAGCTTCTCACGCGGTTCTGCAGGAACGATATCTTGCGCAAACATGGAGTCATCCCAGAAAAGCCCCCGAGTCCCACGCCGATGATCGAAGAAGCAATCCTAGAAGGCCGACGACTAGCGCATGAGAACAGGTTAGAGGGCAAGGACCTAGACGAATTGGACGAGCTGGAGGACGAAGAGGACGGCGACTTCCTAGAAAAATACAGACAGAAGAGGATGCAAGAGCTCTCGGCCCTGAAGACGAAGGCAGTCCACGGCAGCGTTTACCCCATCTCGAAACCGGAATACTCGCGGGAAGTCACCGAAGCGTCTAAGAACGGACCCGTCTTCGTCAACCTCACTTCGTCCCTCGGCACGAACGTCGAGTCACGCGTGCTATCCGAGCTATGGAAAAAGGCCGCGATGGAGTACGGGGATGTCAAATTCTGCGAAATGCGCGCAGAAAAGGCCATCGAGAACTATCCCGAGCGGAATTGCCCGACTATTTTGGTCTACAAGGATGGCGACATTGTTAAGCAGATCGTGACCCTGGCGACCGTGGGAGGTGTCCGGATGAAGATGCACAACATTGACAATCTTCTTGTCGAGGCCGGCGCGGTCCGGGACACGGATATGAGGGTGCTGAAGAGGAGGAGACAGGCAGAAGATAACGAGGAAGAGACGGCGCCCGGCAGGGGAATAAGGGGAGGCACTGCGTCGAGGTCCAGGGATGATGACGACGACGATGACTGGGATTAAGAGTTTCGGCTCTTTATGCCGGTACTGACGAAAGCGCGTGGGCGATTAATACTCGGCTCGTTGAGCATCGTGGCACAAATGTTTCGACTTGGTTCGCCTTCCTGCGCACTTGGTAGACAACCTGTATCAGACGGCCCGAGTATCAACTCCTCCGACAACGTGGAATGCTTGGCAGAAAACGAGACGATTTGAATCGCCCAGGATGGTCAGTCACGTACCGGGGATTCGGTTCCTTCCGAATGACGAGGGACGGAGCAGCAAATGGTCTTCTTTGTTTGTCACCATCCACATGCCAAACAACCTAGAAGTCATTAATTTAGGGGTCCCTTAATTAGTTACACGTAACACGGAGGCTTCAGTTGTGGGGCTAGTGGGGCTATGCAATTGAGATGCGCTTATATCATCAGAGGCGCGGTTCGTATCCGTATCGCAATCGCGTCTCATCACGAACATCCCCAGTTGCACACCATTCTTCGCACTTTCAAGCCGCACTCCAGTAGATTCCTGTCCGACAGTAAGACGAATTCCTCTCTTATATCTTTTTATCTCTTTTGTGTTTATGTTTTCTTTTTCGTTTTGCTTTGAAACATGTCGGATGAGCCATCACTCCCACCACTCCCCGCTGTGTCTTGGGACGAGACCACACAGAGCTTCAGTAATAGTCCTCGCAAACGCACCCGCGCGAGACTCTCATCTAACGCCTGGCCTCTCTTGGCCAATTCGAGCGACCCGGCCATTTTTTCCAGCGATGACGACCCAGGGCTGGATAACTATGTCGAGGGACGTCGTAAGAGGCGTTATGTCGGGTCGTGGTTTCAGAAATTGCCCGCGTCCCCCCCGTCCTTTGTGGAGACGCGCCCTCTGCCCAAGCCGAAGCGCACTCTGACGCGGCAACTCGATAGTGGTGTCTGGATGGGCAGTGACGGCACGGATAGCGACGACTTTCTGGATGACCTGGCCATCGCTACGCAGCCGAAACTGCCACAATGGCAACGTCCGCCGAGACGACAACCGGTCATCTTGCCCGTCGAGGGATTCATCCGTCGGAGGATACAGGACTGCCTTCATCAAGGCAAGGAGGATGTGGACTTATCGTGAGTCACAGACAGGACAAAATACAATATTTTCCTTTCCCGTGCCATTTTTGCTTACCATATATCACAGCTCCCTCAATATCGAGTCCCTATCTGATGAGACCATTTCCCTCTTGGGAGAGCTCACTTATATCCCCATGGTAGCCGAGGGTGTGCCTTTTGAGAACAGGGATCCTTGTCTGAGGCTCTTTTTATCCGGAAACCCGCTCTGCCGCATTCCGGGAGCCATCTTTGACCTTCAAAACCTCACTGTCCTGAGTCTCCGCAGCTGCGGTTTGAAGCAGCTCCCGCCAGCTATTGGCAAGCTGCAAAGGTTGGAAACACTCAACCTCGCGCAGAACGAACTTCGGCAGCTCCCAGCAGAGCTTTTGGATCTAATCGCCGCTCCGGGGACGCTCACGGATCTCTTATTGCAGGGCAACACCTTTCACCAGGCCAGCTGTCTCCCGGAGCAACTTGACGCAGACAGCTACCACGCACAACAACAATCCAGTTCGAACCCTGGGGCTGCCGTCTTGAGCCTAGGTGCGTGTGATGGATCCGAGTCACATGAACAACGCCTCGTGCAGAATCTGCCGCCAACTTTCGAGGGCATGGCAGCCCGATACATGGCACGGTCTGCGATCGAGTATTCCGACAGCGCGGGCGTCATATGCTCGAAGTTTCGGCTGGACGGCGGCAGCGGCATGGCGGGACCGGTCGAGGTTGATGCGAGCCAGACCCACTCGGGAGGACCAAGTCCTCCGTCTTCCTCGGCCGGGGCCACCCGTGTTCCCAGTCTCTTCGAATTAGCAGCGCGGGCCTGCTACCGGAGTGCCGACTTGGGGGCGCTGACGGACTACGTCCCCGACACGCTGTCTCGCGTCCGGGGTGTGCTCGATCGTGCTGCGGAGCAGCGCCGTGTTGCGGGGTACTCGTGCTGGAGGTGCAAGAAGCTGCTGGTGACGCCCACGACCCAGTGGCTCGAGTGGTGGCAAGTGGCGCGCGTTCGGCGGCAGCCTGACGGTGACGCAGACGGGTCGGGCAGCACAATTCAGGTTTCGCCATGGAGCGACATCGTCGAGGAGCAGGCCGTCCCCTTCCTGCGCATGGGGTGCTCTTGGAAATGCGTTCCTGGGCATATCGAACCTGGCAGTTGGGCGGTCCGTGGGGAAGAAGCAGGGGAAGAAGCAGGGGAAGAAGCAAGCCCGAGAAATTAAGGTGTGCATTGTCTGCGGCGTTATGCAATGTGTGCATTGCTTGCATGTAGGTATCTATCTCTCGACTCTGTTCGAAGCTGCTTAATCTTAACTCAGGGTGGAACGGCCCAGGAGTCCAGGTTCATGGAGTTCATTCCCCCTGCACTCAAACCGATGGCCTTGCAAATCGTACCCTTATTGTACCATTCCACCCCTGGCAGCATCTCGGAAGCCACCCATCGTGCCGTCTGCGAGTGCAAGGTCCCCAGTCCAAACGGGTCGTGGGTCTTGTCCTTCCGCAACCGTTCATTTTCAAGACCCAGACCCTCCATGGAACGAGTCACGCGTTTCACCCCGTTATCCTCAGTACCATCTACATCCTCCTCGGGGGCGTCGAAGCGGGGACAGCTCGTGGTTCCCTGCGCCAATGCCTGGAAAACGACGAGCTGGTCCTCCAGATACTGGTCACACACGCATCGCTTGTCCACCTCCTCCCCGAGCTGAGCCACGAGCTTACGTACCAGCAGCGACGAAAACTTCTGAGCCGCGGCCTTCCCGCCCTTTTTGGGTATCGAAGTGAGCACATCACGCCCCCAGCGCAGGTCCACGTCTTCGTCTCCGTCGCGAACCGGCCGCGACCGCGCCACTAGGAGGACGTAAACCCTAGCACCATCGCCCGAGTCCTCGAGGACCTTGAACTCGACATCCGCGCCGGGGAACCGGGCACCGAGTTGGTCGGTCAGGTGGAGCGTGAATTCGTCGTGCGTGTACGCCGGCGTGATGACAGAGACGTCAACGCGCGTAATCACTGGGTCATCATCAGCGGCTGTGAATACTTTTGCGGCGAGGGAGGTGGCGTCGTGGCGGGGTTGTAGGGACTGTCCCCTCTGCAAGGGCACGATGCGGAAACGCACGGCGCCTTGGCTCTTGGGGCCGAGGGACCAGCCGCGACGGAGCAATTGGCCCTCGATTTGTAGGCCGAAGCGGGACCGGAGAGCCGGTAACAGGACTTGGTCTGCGTATTCCCATGATGGGGCGAAGCTGACGTTGCTACCGCCGGAGATGGTCAGGGTGATTGGTTCCTGCTCTGCCTTGGGCCCCGCCCCGTCCTCTCTTTCTTCCTTCGCTTCCCTGTCGGTGTCGTTATCGAAGGAAACCGAGCCACGGAAGATGAGATACGGTAGGACAGCTTGGAAGATGAGCAGGGCGCTTGCGCTAGGGGAGTCGGCGGCGATGGAGATGTAGCGACTCGCAGCAAGGATTGGGGACGGCGATGTGGACGGGTGGAATGTTAGGGTCTTGCTACCGACGGAAAGGCCGGATGTAGTCGCGGAGGTGGCGGAGGAGAGGTACTCGATTGCTGTTGCATGCTGCGATTTGAGGCCTCCGCCCCTGGGCCGGTTTCCCCGGATGTTGGTGATCCTCACCGGCTGGCCAGTTACAGCGGACAGCGCGATTGCTACCCGGACGAGCTGGCCACCGCCTTCGCCCGTCCGGCCGTCAATATCGATGGGTTTGTTCTGTTTCACTTTCACACGCATTGTTGAATTGCTAGCACGGTCGATTTTGCGCGTGTTTGGTTGGAATCGTCAAATGTCGAGTCGAATGGCCTGCACGACCTGGGATAGATTTTCTTCTTGAAGCTCTGATGTGCTTCTTGGTAGTAGAAGACACCGCCGTTGGCCTTAGTAGACAGACGGTGTGACAGCGATGTAATTGCGTTTTTGTTTGCGCCTTTCTGGCTCTGTGAGGAATGAGGAGTCATATGGTTAGGTACCTTAATATTCAGGGGGGTTAGGGGTAAGAGCTACCAGGTAAGCCAGGCAGGCAGTTATTCACTGCACGAGCTGAGTTGTGTCACCCCCGAGCGGATTGGCCCTAGTCCCTTCCTTGTCCGAATAATACCAGGCAGAAACGGACCGAATTAAGGGCACAAGTACCTTTACGACCGTATCTCAACAGCAACAAACGCACCATACCTTACATAAGGTACCTAAGGTACCTAGGTAGTCGGTAGATTGGAGGCGCTTGCCAGAGCATCTATTTGAATCAACTTATCTTTGTCAGCTTCAGTTTGCCTTTGGTTATAGAGGCAAATGAGCCGGCGTACAGGTAGATTGCGACCTCGTAATGAGATCCTTCGGACGAGGTCTAATGTCCCTTCATATAACACCTTTGATGTCTGGAATGCTTTGATGCAATCTGGGGTCGTCTTTCCTTCCATTGTGTTATAGTAAAATGGCTCCCTGCCTCGTGTCCATGCTTCTCAACCGCTATGTCCGCACGTAGTCCAACCTCAAGCGATATTGATAGCACTATCCCAAATAGAAAGAAACCACGTCTCCAGGGACTAAACTGTGAGCTATGGACCTGTTTAGCAATATATATATATATATATATATATCGACCGCCTACCTTGCTAAGTCTGGTCTTAGACGCACGGGGGATATTGATATGTATATAAGAACCGTGACCACCTAGACAGAAAATATTTACGGTTCAGAAGATTTTCTCTTCCAGGAAACCAAACTAGAGACGGAGGATTCCATGGTTGATTTGATAACCGAGTTTAGGCCTCGCTAAAGGAATGTTACCTGACTTCGCAGTGCGTCGCTACCAGACTGGCATCACGATTCACTTGAATTTCACCCGTGGACTCTGTGCGTCCTTAGTACTGGTCCTTTTGAGTTCAAGACGTTCTTAGACTGTCAACCCGACAAACATGGTTTCACAGGTAGGACGTTGAACTTCAACCCTTGTCCATACTCAGCATATATCCTTTTCCAGGCTTCTAGCAGCTAGGCAACAGGTTCTGTTTCACCGGTTTGAAGGTTGAACCGACTTAGAATAGGTCCTTCTTGACCGTGTCTTGGCTACCTTAGGTAGCTCCCTGACGGTCCTGCAGGTTACAGAGTTACACACACAATTATCTTAATCAATTTTGACCCTATTTTGACCGTTCCGGTTACGTTGTATCTGACAGAGGACCGGTACTCCATAAGCCGCAGCAGTTGGTTGCCTTGCTCGTGAATCCGAATATTCCGGATAGGACGACGAGTCCGTGCAACGTGGAAAGCGAACAGGCTACAATTAGGCAACCTTCTGCTTATAGGTAATACAATGCCACCTGGGATCCGAAGGAATGGGACGGGACGGGTCCCGCGATTGCTGGGCGACCAGAATAGGAAAGTCGGCACGGAACTTCGCCCCTTATTTCCCCTTAATTCCGAGAGTCGGGGAACTGAAGGCCGAGGTCGAAGGGGGATGAGATTGAGGGAGAACCGAGAAAGAAGGAAGCCGTTCGCAAAATGAAGACCTTGTCAGCCCAGAACATTTTCCAGGGGCTAAGTAACGCTACTAAGGTGTGATTACTTATTAAAGTTAAAGCACGCTTTTTTGCCTTTGCGTTCCGCCTCGTCTGAAGGTTACACACTTGGATCACAGCAACTGCTTAACCAAGACATCCGAACCAACCAATGTACCACGGTATCTAACTAAGGGGGCGTTACCACCTCATACCTACCCATGTCCATGTCCATGGCTTCACCCAATGTTTCTAGGCGGCCCGTCATCGAATTGCCCCCCTCCGGGACATCGCTGGGGGTCAACACCTCCCCCTGAGCCGCAAAGTAGGTCATCTCATCAACATCCTCCTCGTATTCCGGAGGGACCGAGAACTGGCGGGTCTCAGCATCATACAACAACCACTTCCCCTGTCGCGCGATACGGCGTCCGAGCCAGAGGCAACGAACGCGCCGCGCATCCATCATGGACGGCAGCTCGAAATAGCGCTCCTCGTCATCAGTCTTCTCGTTCGTGAACCAGTCCAGGGGCAGGTAGTTATCAACCCAGAGTAGGCCCCGCATCGCGTAATCCTCGGGCAAAGGACGGGGCGCTTCCTTCTCTGGGCGGGGGAAGTCGTCTTGGTCGAAACGAAGGGCGGCGTCCGAGGCATCCAGCAACGTATTCAGTTGGGCGGATAGTAGTCGCCAGGGGAACTGCTTCTCCATGTAGGCCATCAGGTTACTATGCCGGACAACACGATCGAGAAACACCATAACAACGTGAAGGTAGGCCAGGATGCTAGGGTCCCTGAAGCGACCCCAGACAACACGGTGCGTCCGGCAGTTTAATTCCAGTGCTTTCTCGAGCCTCTCGTCGCTTTCTTTGACGGGGTGCTGGTCCTGGCTGCTGTCCTCCGGTCTCAGAGCCTTGAATGTCCTCATAAACAGGTTAGTGGGTTCGCCGTAGCCCAGAAGAGCGCATAGGTTGGCAACGGCAATGTAGTAGCCAGGTTCAAGCCACATGCGAGACGTCCTTGCAATATGAATATCCAGCCCGTCAACGAAACCTTCCAGAGCGGACGGAAATTCCGACTCCTTTTTACCACTGAAGAGTACGCCATGAGCGAAGATGAAGTGCACATCCAGCTGAGGTAATCGGGTGGGTTGGCGCGAGAGAATAGGATCCAAAAGAGTCATGATAGACTCGCGAGCCGACGAAAAGGGGACGGGGACGCAAAGCGACTTGGCGTAGTAGAACAGTTGCTGCAATCCGTTCGGCCGTGCCAGGATGGCCAGGTGATGGTAGAGGCGGCCCGTGGTAGGGGCTTTGTCCGAGGCCCTGCTGTACCACCGTCGACTCACACCAGTCCAAACCTCGCGGTCCACCATATTATCGTCTTCGATAGCCATACGATAACGGCCAAGGTCTCCGAGACACTCAATCCAGGTGTCCTCAAACGCGGGGACGGTTTCCAACAAGAGGGCCATCATGCTGTAGGAGAGGTAGATGAAGGTGAGCATATGCTCGAGCGAGGCCGGAAGACGATGACGGAGCAGCTCCAGGAAGGAGTGGATGCCGTGACGCCACATTCTCGCGGGCATGGCGTACTTCGCAGCGAGTCGTTTGAGCGGAGGGCTAGCGGACGGGTGCTGACTGGCGAGGAAGAAGTCATGATGCTCGTTCAGAAGGGTCCGGTGCAAGGCGATGAGCGCTTGCCATTGCTCGTTGTTCAACTTGGCCGACTGGACGGTGTTGTTTGCCTTGGCAGTCGGGTCATCCCCAGAGCTCGAGCTCGCCTTGTTGGTACTACTGACGTTGGCATCGACTTTATCGACTTCGATGCATTTGCTCTCGACCATGACGAGGCCGGCGTAGATGCCTTTGACTTCGGCAACGAGCTGTTCTAGGTTGATATGCCGCGTCTCGAGCTGCTTGAGCATTCTGGTTGTGTCATCGTGGAGTGAGGCGGCAGCACTTGTCACGGATGAGGGATGAGGCAGGACCCCTCTCGAGGGTTCTGCGTGCCGGGACTTGGAGGGCTTGGGGTTCGAACGAGAAGCGGCGCGAGAGCCCCGATTAGCGCCTCTGCCTTTCTGTCGCGATCTATCTTCCGGGGTGGCGGGCTCGGAAGGCATGCGATTACCATGACGGGCGGAGGGCCGCTTCAGGCTGTGGCGGCTTGCGGGTCGAGATTGCGGTCTGGAGGGCTGGGGTACAACAGAGGAGACATCTGCCTGGCCCGACAGAGTCCCCGCAGTGGGAGTGGTTGGGCTTGCGGCAGAGTCGGCGACCGGCGTAGGGGACGTCGGTGGTGGAAACTGGGCCGGAGTTCTGGTGGGTGTGGCTGGAGAACTGGGAATATCCCTAAAGGAAGGTTGCGCGTCAGCCCTGGATTAAATCCGGTAGATATTCGACTTGTGGTGGTGGTTCGGGATGGTGGTGGAATGAGGATGTGGCCGATGCGACATTGTGCGATGTGTGAGGAAGAGAGCAGCGGGGTGGGTTGCAATAAAGATTTTTTTATAAATAAAAAAAAAAAAAGAAAGAAAGAAAGGGACACGCACGTTTGGCCCTTTGCATTTTGCTGTTTAGCGGACTGTCGAAGGTAGTCCGTCCAGCTTCGTTCGAGGTCCATGGAGATGACAAGATAACCAAAGCGATGCTAACGAACCGGGATATCCGAATAACTCAACAAGAATATGAGTGTCCAGATGCTTGCCATCCGAAGACGAAGGGGACCTTAGGTTACGACGCTAGCTCAAAGCAACCATAATGGCATGAGATTTTTTTTTATGAAAGCGTCCAAGTGCTGATGAGCCATGAGGTTTATATTTGTCGAAGTTTGGATTCGGGATTGGGTATTTTTCTTCTTCTTTTCGCGTCCCCTCTTGTTTATATTAAGGAGCATAAAAGGGTAAAACTCTCCGAGAACAGCCTTCAGCCGCATGGCACCTGCCTTGCCTCCTCGTTCTTTCCCCCCGCCGGGCCCCACACACACAGGTTGCCTCATGCGGGCCAAAATAATTTGCGGAATGGTTCGCCAAAACTCCGCTTCGTATTTTTCAGGGACTCGGTCGCCCCGCCCTTCTTCGGCTTTAGCCCTGACCCCTTTAATTGGGGTTCTATTTGGTGTCACCCATAAAATAAAAGAATATTCTAACTTCTTCCTCATCATGCAATCGAAGCGCAAAAGCCGCATCACACACCAGGCCGTCTTCCGCCAGCTCATTGATTGCGAAAGAATTCACACGGCCCACGGAAAGAACCCCATCTCCAGGGTAGTATTGACCATCCCTACCGAGCGGTTGAAGTCGGTGTCGCCTGAACTGCTCTTCCTTCGTTTCTACGCTGTTCTCGCCTCGTTTGTCTGTGCTATTTCTGCGTCAGGTCACGATGTTATTCGACAAGTCGCCCAGTTCGGTTCACTGACGGTATCCTTCTCCGATTTTTGCCTAGGGAGTACGTGTAATGAATTATTAATCAATAGGTGCCTAGCGGGGCGAGCCATGGACTTGCTCTTGACGACAAACGGCCGCTCACTCATGGTTGTTTCTCAGGCGCAGGCGCGGAGTAACCGGTTCTCTTATTGTTGGTTGGACAGTCCAGAACGTCGTGGCGCTTGACGATGCCTATGGATCCCAAACTCAAATGGTGAGACCTAACTCTAGCGGTCCGGCCAGTATCGCCCAAGGACCAGTTCTTGTTTGCATCCCAAGGACGAAAAGCCTAACGAAATGCCAATTTCGCCTCATGAATGTACAGGTCAAGATCCAGTTTGATTTACGATCCAGGCAACCACTCTATCTGATCTCTCTTCGAACCAAAACCACCGGGCATTCGTGTTGCGTCTGTGAGCTGACGACGCCCATTTTTGTGACGACATGAATTTGATTTCTCATTTCATTCGGCACTTGAGGCTCATATCGCCTCAAATGTCTCCTTGTTACGTGACGACTGGGTGAATCGTCATCCCCATTGTTGAGCCCCTTTAATACTACCTCGACCTCGATGCACGCCTACATACGTGGAATGCTGCCAAAGACAAGTCATCTAACCGAAGATTGACCCTGCAAGCAGCCTCATTTTCTATACGTGACCAACAAGGCAGGCTGAGAAGTTCACACGCACCTGAATCTTCGAAACAGTCGGTGTCTCAACATCGAAGCCCAGCTAAGCGTCCAGAGCAGGCCGCTAAATACGTGTGACAACCCTCGTCGAAGCAGTGGCCAACGCGTTGCCGCGTGAACCACTTGGGAAGTGAATAATAATATTCGGAAGCCCTGAGACCCCTGACGTCGCCGACCAGCGACCGCCAACTTTACACTTCGTCACCGCTTTCCAACACGCCTTTTTCAGCTGCAGATGTAGTGGGCCCCCAAACTCCTACGCTCTGGTCTACATCCTCTTCCTTTCTGCTGTGTTTTCCCTTTCTCTCTTGAGGGAAAGAAAAAAAAAATGAATTGTGTGGACTTCGATGTCGGGCGTCGGTCTCGGACCTTGCAGGGTCTTCGCCTCCTCGGGCATGGCATAGCCTGTAAGCTAATAGATGGCACGTCAAGGAAAAGGACGGTGGATTTCATTGCGCATGAGCAATTATCATGCAGATGCAAATCGAGAACGACAGGACGGGGAGTTGAGCCGGCAGCTATGTAGCGGGTCCCTTTCTTAAACTAACTACCTTCCTTGCCCATGCAGCAATGCCCAAGAACGCCCAAAGCTTTGGCAGACGATCGAGTTCGTACTACACGTAATACCAGACACTCGGTTGCTTGAGACATCGAAGACTTGTCACCTTCAGTTAAAGAGGGCTGGTGGCTGGCACGCTCTCGCTCTGCCCACAAAGCTATCGACTTCTGTCGAATACATGACTTGGATATGTATCTGCTCAGTGCTCAGCCCACGAGTTATACGATAAACTGATATTGTCAAGCCATAAGGCAAGGTGAGGTAGATAATCCCATGTCAACCAACTACTTTATCGTGGCGGCGGCGGGCCTGTGTGTCTATTCCGACTCTATACCCGCTTACCGACCGCATTCCGAGACTGGATGGCGTCATCCGATGGAGGGTGCATGCATCATGCCGCATGCAGGTATCCGTGTCAAACGCCTTCTGCAACTCGGTGTCGCCTTGCGGACGGCAACGGACCGAGCGGGCAGCCTGCCTCGAGGTGGCACAGCATGAGAGACTCCCGAGTTCCGAAGTGAGAGTCACCGAGGCGCTAAACAATTGCCCCAATACGAGGCACTGAAGGACCGTAAGAAGGTTTCGTGGAGGCCCAAATTCCAACTTCAGGTTTCCAATCCCTAGTCAGACCCTAGCCGGCTAGCCCCGTACGGGCCTATTATAGAATGTCCAGATCGACCACAGCTTATCGGTTTGCTGTCCCCCAATTTCAATAATCACACCGGCAGGGGGCCAGAGTGCATCCTACAGATATATTTAAAGTCGGGCAATATAGGCCAACGAGTAATACTGTACTTTTATATTCTTCCATTTCGTCCTCACGCGTGCATCAAGAGCCTAGAGTAGGGGGTAGTATCCTTCGCCGAAAGGAATAGTTTGCAGATACTAGGCCGACAGAAACGTAGCCGCGAAGTCTTGCCTCGAGCAGTCCAGATCGGAAATAGCCTAATTTCTTGTCCAGGGTATTTGCTACCATGTGGCTACCACACGGAAACCGCATGGCAAGATCAAGGCAACAGAACTATGGATAGGCATCAGGCAGATCGTTCCCGGTGAAACAGACTTGCAGCCTTGCTATTGATTTCCCGGAAGATAGACTGCGATTGATTTTTAGTCTAAAACACCAAAACTAGCTCGAGACAACACCTTTGATGGCCCAGCACAAGATGGCAGTCGGGCAAATATCTTGTTTTGCCCTGTAAGGCAACCGCGCTTAGCAAGAAGGCGTCCCAGGTCCGAGTCTCTGTGCGATAACGTGAAGATGTTGACATGTTGTAACATGTAAGTTGTAGGGGGCGGGCCCACACGATCGGAGTCGGGACGCCCGGAGTGTACCGTGTGGGGAACCCACGGGATCCGATCTGGGCTATCTACGGAGTGATGAGGCTCATATTGAAGCCGGATCTCGTTGCCTAGGTAAGGTACCTTAGTCACTATACCGAGTACCTACCTCAGGTAATGTCCAAGAGCTCGGCAATAATAAGAGATAGGATTGATACGATCTACCTACACCGCAACATTTACATGTCCCTCTGTCCACCGTGGAACCTGCCTAATTACTTTCACTCGACCCCGAAGCATCACATCCCATGATTCCATTCGGTCATGATGGAGCCTAAGCTGTAGATCGCGGGGATCTGAATACGACCTGTATCCGTAAGACGGGACAATCCAAGAAGCCAACAAGTTTACTACTTGCGTACGGAATTCAAAAAAAAAAAAGAAAAAAAATCGGTCACCTGAAAGGGAATGATTGGATCCCTGTATTACCCTTCGATGGCATTTCACGCGGTCTATCAAGTCGCGTGGCTGGGCTGCGCCACTGAGGTAAAGTACGATACGCCATGGAACAGGAAAAAGAACGAAGAACAAGCTACGACAGCCCCCAAAGCGAAGGCGGGGAAGGCGAGACAAACTGTATGTACAGTGCACAGCCATAGCCAAGGACCACTGGACCAGAGCGGCCAGCGGGCCTCAAAGTATCCGTACCTTTATATGTCATCTTCAATCCTTCACGAATCACCACTATCAACGAGGGGCTCCTCTCGGGCTTGCCCACGTCGAACTTACCGAGCGCAAATGCACACTGCACAGTCGTTACTGATACCGGACATTTTGAATACGAGAGAAAAGGACGGACAGACAGACAGAGAGTAGACTCGGTGCGAAGCTTGAATGAAGCCTCCGTCGCTAGACATCACGATTCACAGCCACACCGTACACGGCTGGTCATCAACTCATCTTTCCTCATCCTCTATTCTTACTCCATACATATTTCCACGTCCTAGTCGTCGGTCTGCCTTTTTCTTGTCCTTTTTCTTTCCTTTTAAAGTTTTATATTTATTTTTCTGGGAATCCTTTTTCTGGGAATCCAAACCAGACTGAAGCACTAAACAAGACCACGACACCAACATCTGTACCGGATATGAATGCCGCCGAGTTTCCTCGCTCAGCGCTCGAGGCCGAAGCGCACATTTGTGAAATCCGGAAGGCCAAAGGCCTAGAAGACGGTCCGGGGAGGTCCAGTAACAATGCCGTAGATCTCGAGGCGGCCCTCGATGTGTAAGTTAGAAGTAGTCAGACAGTCGGTCTGACTCTGTAGGCTTGGTTCTTGAATCCTTCGCAGGAACACATTTGGCTGACCTTGCACCACAGTCTCTCTGCCGACCTCTACCAAACATCAACTCATTTTCTTCTAGAACTCATCCAGAATGCCGACGACAACCAGTACGAAGCGGTGGTGCCCACGCTACGCATCTCCTACTCCCCTGGTAGCATCCGTATCGACTGTAACGAGCGCGGATTCTCCCGCCGCAACGTCGAGGCTATCTGTCGCATCTGCCAGAGCACCAAGAGCGGCCGCAGCAAGAGTTCCGGCTTTGTTGGTGAGAAGGGCATTGGCTTCAAGGCTGTCTTCAAAGTAGCTTCCACCGTCCACATTGTCTCCGGGCATTACCAGTTCAAATTCGAGCGGGATGGCTATTTGGGCATGATCGCCCCGATCTGGGCCCCATTCCCAGAGGCGACGACTCCCGGATGGACATCCATGATCTTGCAGTTGGACAAGACCTGCGATCAAGCTGCCATTGTGAACGAGCTGCGGTTGTATGATGCGCGGGTTCTCATCTTCCTACGGAGACTACGACGGCTTGAAATTGAAAAGAAAGATGCTTGGAAAACCTGGAAAAAGCCCGGCCTCTGGGGTAAAAACCAGGACCCCGAGAAATTCCTCAAGACCACCGAGCCATTGCGCACCGGTTTCAGCAAGGTACTCACTCGCCAGGAACAATCTCCTTCGACGTCAGGTAACCCCTCCTCCATGATGATGAATCTCCACGAAAACGACAAGAAGAAGCAGTATTTGGTCTGGCGGCACATGGCCAGCAAGCTACCCGCGGACCCTCGACGACCCGGCATATCCAGCTCCGAGGTCGTCTTAGCCTTTCCCCTGGAACCGGACTGCCAGACCCCTTCTATCGCTCCGCAGAGCGTCTATGCCTTCCTTCCAATCCGTAAGTATGGCTTTGACTTCCTCCTGCAAGCTGATTTCCTTCTCTCCACCAACCGAGAGGAAATACATGGCGACTCGCCCTGGAACAATGCCCTAGTGGTCGCCGCATCGGACGCCTTCGTCGAGGCGGCATTGTACATGAGCGGCCTCCCCAAGGAGAACCCCCTTCGGTACACTTGGATCTTGTTCCTCCCGCAGACGGCGCCCTCGAGTCAGCTGATGACGAACCTGCGGAACCGTATGATCCAGAGGCTGCGTACCACTCCGGTGATCTACACGCGTCAGAGTGGCGGGGAGAGGAGGAATCCCAAGCTGCTGACCCATGTCCCGGATCTCTTCTGCGACCGCTATGGGAATCCTTTCATGCAGATGCCGCAGGATGCCCGGACATTGGTGTCAGAGAAGTACGATTTCTTGAATACTGCCACCGAGGAAACCCGGCTGGGCGCGCTCCAACTGCTGGGCACCGGATCCATCGGCGAAGAGAGGTTCATGGGCATCATGTCCGATAAGCTGAAGCAGAACCCGAAAGCGTTTTTAGACCAGAAGTCCCCCGAGTGGCACGCCGACTTCTGCCGCGCGCTGTATTCCATCGTCCTTTCTAAACCTACCTCACAGAAGTGCCGAAAAGCTGGTGGAGAGTCGTCTGAGACAACCATCGCCCAACGTCTGGCCACCCTGCCCATCATTCCGCTCCGAGATGGTACCTGGGTTCGGCATTACAAATCCACAGGCCCGTATTTTGCCGACAGCGGTTCCGGGACGCCCGAAATCCCAGAAGGCATCAATATGCGCGTCGTTGAACCCAAAGCTGCCGCCGTCCCGGACCGCCGACGGCTCTTCGAATACCTTGGCGTGGCTACAATGCTCCACACCGACGTTCAGAACGCCATCGTGGCAACGCATCGGTCGGCCGTGTTCAAACCTGACGGGCTCAGGCCGGAAGTCCTGGTGTCGCATCTCGCCTTCCTTTTCCGTTCCGGTTGGAAGAATAACCCCAAGTCCCGAACGGACTTCTGGTTTGCCTCCGAAAAGGGTCCCTGCCGTCTAGGAAGCGCCATGTATTTGCCCTCCGACCTCCGCAGCGCCGCGTATCAAGTCCTCCCTGCCTTCAGCCGGAAGGCGGCCTACGGATCCCTCCACCGGGGGTACATGGACGGGGGGGCAGTGGAAATGGAGAGCCAGGACGAATGGATAGAATGGCTTCAGGATGCCGCAAATGTCGCGCTATATCCTCGCATCAGCGGTCAATACTCCGCAGGCTATTTTCTCCACCCAGACTTCAAACTTCTGAAGCCAAGCCCGCCCACCCCGTCGTCATTGTGCTGGCTCAGGGTACTCCGCGACGGGTGGGAGTACTATAAAACGTACCTCGACATCTCCCTCGTGCCAGACGGCGCTGATAGTTTGGAACGCACCGCGGTATTTGGATTGCTCTATAATCTGAGGGACACCGTCGTTCCTTGCCGGGGATATTCCTCGTCCGCCCCTCTCGACTCGGCGTATATGCCCGTTAAGAGCCTCATGGGCCAGGCACCCGGGCTCGTTTCCTTCATTGACATCCCAGACCCGGAGAATCCGGCGTGGAGGCCGGTCATCAATGTACTAAGAGTTCCGGGCGAGCCTTGCGTGCGGTTCTATGCCGACTGTCTGCGCGGGTGTAAGGCTTCTCCAGACGTCTCACTGGACACAATACGGACGTTTATGCAGAATATCCAGGAGGAGGGACCCGCAATCTCCGATGAACTCTGGTGAGTAAAGGACCTCCCCCGTTGATTGATGTTTTCGTTGCTGCTTGCTCCCCGGGCCCCAACTTTCCGTCGCAGCATTATCATCCTATGAGCCCCCAGTTGACATCTGAGTTACCAGCACTCTATTCAACCGAGACAGCCTGATCTGTATTCCGCCCAGGCAGCAAGACGGCCAACGTATCTGGGTCAAGCCTTCGGAGTGCGTGTGGGAAGGTGACGCATGGATGGCCAAAGTCCACGTTCTGAAGAAATACTACCCGGAGTTCGAGGCCCTCTTTCACACCTTGCTCCGCATCCCAAATGCCGACATCAACTACTTTGTGGAAGAAGCGGTTGCGGTGCCTTCGACGACGGCGGCGACCAAGTCAACACGACGTATCGAGAGCATCCTCCATGCCATCACATCGCACGTGGTTCAAAACCTCATCAACGTCCCCAGTCGGGACGATGGCGGCTTAGAATCCTGCTACAAGGAACGACTTTGCAAGGCGCAGATGTTTCCCATCGTCTCTGACCAGAGGAACCAACCTTACAAGAGGCTTTCCACGGTGGAGGACAAGGAGTCATGGCTCATAGCGGACAGGACTATCTTTCGGACGCAGTTTGCGGGGGTCCTACCCGTTCTCGCTCTCAATGCGGATGTCGTCCTCAAAATCCAGCCGTTGCTTCAGGCTCTTGGTTTGGAGGGTCGGCTTTTGAGTCGAGCTGCAACGAACGTCACCGAAGCCCATGGCGAAGTGACCTTACTGGAAGATTCATCGGCCCAGTACCGGGAGCGCAGCAAGTTTCTGTTCAGGTATACCCCGACCCCCCCCCCCCCCCCCTTTTTTTTTTTTTTCTTCTTTTCTTTTCTTCTTTTCTTTTCTTCTTTTCTTTTCTTCTTTTAACAAGCTGACATACCACTGTCCGACACAGACTTATGCCCCCAGGCCAACCAAATCAAGACCAGCTCTGCGCCAAATTCCGCAGCGTCGACGTCTTCTCGGCAACCACGATCCTGCAATACTGGCGCGCACCGTTGGGGCTACAGCAGATCCAGAGCGCCCAAACGATGGGCACAGGGTTCCTAGAGTCGGACTACTTCGGCGACCTGCGCATCTACATGCCCACGGGTTACGAGACAGAGCCGCACCCTTTCGAGCTCGTAGAGCAGCTTTGCGAATTCTTCAGCATCCCCACTGAGCACCGCGACCTAGTTCTTATTGCCCTGACAGCCAGAATCGAGAGAGTAGAGGAAGTGTTCCTGCGTCGGGGCTTCGTAACGTTGCCCGATGAGGGCCTGAGGCTTGGAGACAACGGTGGTGGTGATGTTGGTGGTCCGTCTGATGCCCACTCGGATGACGGTGTTGGCTACGAGACCGCGGAAGAGGGAGAAGGGCAAGGGAAAGGCAAGGGGACGTCGCGGTTTAGCCGGCTTCTCAACCGGAAGAGGTTCCACCCGTCCTTCTTCAAGCAGGGGAACGGCTCATCTGAGTCGCTCCCATCGTATAGTGCGGCCGTGGCCCGGACGGCGCAGGGCGGTGTTATGGGCGGCAGGCTCGCGCCAACGAGGCAGCTTCCCGGCGCATTCACGCTTCCATCACTTAAGAGGACGATCGGGGAGATGGAGTTCCACCAAAAAGAGGGTGCGATCCTCGGGCAACACACACGGCCGCTGACGCTGTTTGACCGCATCGTGGGCCTTGCACATCGGGACGCCGACGTGGGAGAGATGATTGTGAGTTTTTTTTTTACCTCTTATATCCACACACAACCCCCTGATGACGAACTGACCGTTTCCACAGGTCTCCGACGCTCTGGGGGCCATCCTGGGCCCACAATATAACTCCGAAACAATGTGGACTCCGCGTTCCAAGAGGCGACCGACTACATCGGCATTCACGTTCGTCGACTCTCAAGGCCGCTTCAGCTCCTTCCTTATGCGGCTCGAGGGGAGAACGGGCAAGGCGCAAGGGTACAATAAGCTGATGTACCACTTGGATGTGAAAGCAATGGAGCGGCCGCAGACGAGTGGTTTCCAGCTCACGCAGGCAGAACTGGACAGGGTAGGTTGCTCCTTTTGCTGGGTGCATACTTTTCACCTTTGTCCCAACAGTGTTCCGCATATATGTGACGTGTGCCATTCCTGCTGACTTCTTTCTTTTCTTTCTTTCTTTTTTTCTTTTTCTTCAAAGGCCCGACAGTTCTCGATCCACTCGGAGGAAGCATTTTCGGACGAAGAACCAAACAAGCATGTCTCTGTCCTGGTGCATATCTCGGATGTACGGCGGCAACCTAAAATCCTTTTCCTGGTTGATCCGTGGGACCTGTTCAAGGACGGACTGCTGGTTCTTGAGACGGCCTCGACGTACAAGGCGAGCCTCCGGCTTGGGCGGCCCGGAGTGGGAGGGTCAAGCAGCCGGGGCACGGTGGAAGAGGGCGGATTTGATGCGGTTCAGATCAGGCCGCGGAGCTCTCCAAGACCAGAGACGCAGGACGAAGCGCCACCGGACTACTCGAATGACAAAGGGAAGGGTATCGAGGGCCCGTCTTCGAGCAGGGGCGAATAGGCCAAGGATTCTTTCTGTGATGGCGGAGGTGACGAACGGTGAACTGAGCTGAGGTGAGATGGGACACGATTGTCGACGTGGGTGAAGTTCTGTACCAAGACCATGTCATCTAGGTAAGAACCCCACTTGTCTTTAATAGGCTTAGTTAACTGATGATTCCCGAGCCAAGATCTCTGCTAGCCAAGCCTGGTTAGTACAAAACGTATGTGGAGTAGGGATACAGGGGTCAGGGGTCAGGAGTGTCCGGGAACTTTTCCTCTCCAATACGCGTATTCGAACTACGTGTACATCCAATACGCGTATTTCAGCGACTACCAGGTACGTTGTACTTCGTACAGCAGTGTCTTGGATATGTGCCCCATATACCGAAACGATGGATGAGCTCACCGCCATTACTTTCCTCCAGGATTTATTATGGCGCTGTCCTGCGCCGTATACGCGGACACGTCATTTCTCCGGGCTTGAGAAAAGAGGTCAAAGCTGAGCAGTCCTTCAGAACTTGACTCTTTACTCTACTGGCTTCCGATGAGAGGAGGGCATGTCTCACTTTACTCATGGTGCCTCAAGGTTCTCAGCGTCATATAAACGGCAAGCGTTGAACGGTGTCGATGGTTGAGCTCAACTCTCTTTGTGGTTCATCTACCCATAGGTAGTCGATATAGTCAATCATAAGGGCAACCGCATAAGAAGGCTTTTCGGGAGTAACCACAGCCCATCAGCGGCTAGCCGACACGTCAACCGATCTCCCAAACACAGTCTTTGGGAATTCGGGTCTCTCGAAAGCCATGGCAGGCTCCTCGTCAAGTCTTCTCTCCCTTGCTCCAATCTTCCATTGTTCGTTCCCCCCCTTCTCTCTGACATGGAACCGGTCAGGGGCGTTGGTAAAACTATGCCATTCAAATGTACAGACAGCCTCCACGAAATCTTTACTATGAGTGAGGGCGCCGTCCTGGGCTACGACTCGTCCGACATTGCTCCGAGGATGCAATGGGCGCGAGCCAAGGCCGATTCCAACATCTGTCTCGATCATTCGGGCAATATTTCTGGTCTTGTCGGAACCGCCTTTGTTGCCAGGGATCTAATTAGCGTTGTCGATGCGCTCGATGAGGATGGTATGCTGCGGTATTGGGGTTTGTGCTAAACAGTCCCCGAGACCTGTCCAGTTTACAGGAGAGTCTAAGATGTCCAAGTGAAAAGGGAGAAGACACCACATCAGTCGAGGGGTTGACAAGACTCTGGGGGGCGGTACGATAGGGATTCTCGTATGGCACAACATTGGGCGCAACTGTGGCCTCCATGTTTCCTGAACAGATCGACAAGATGATTATCGACGGAGTCCAGAACCCTCACGAATACTACCATGCTCATGGGTATGTGTCGCCTGGGTTTTTTTTTCTTTTTTTTTTCTTCTTTTTTTCTTCTTTTTTTTCTTTTTGCTTTCTTTTCTTTTGCCCCTTCTTACCCGTTCACCCATCTTTCGACATCCCCGCTAACCGGACATCTCCGACGTAGCGACTTTGAAGACAATGGCTCGACACCGACAAAGCCTTCGCTAACATCTTCGAAACCTGCATAGAAGCAGGCTACCCAGCTTGCGCCCTGGCAGGCGGCAATGCGACAGCCTCATCCCTCGAATCCGCCGTCTGGGATCTCCTGGACGCGGTTCGGGAGCACCCCATCGTAGCCGGCCGCTTCCTCGTCACCTCTTCTTTCGGCTCATTTTTGTCTCCTCTGTTCTGTCAAAAGAGTAAAAGAACTGACAACATGTCCCTTGTCCCTTGTCCCTTCTCCAGCACTGCGCAATCAACGTCCCCTCGGCCTGTGCCGCGGAACGAATGGCCAACTACTGGTTGCACGGCGACCTTCCGGCCCCGGGTACGGTCTGTTCCAGCGACGCCCCGCCCTACACCGACATCACCTGGCTCGACGTGTTTGAAAAGATGTCGTCGTCGTCGCCGAGCGTGAACGGTCGCAGGGACATCTTGCTCCATAACCGCGAAGCGTACGACCTTAGAGAGGTTGAAAAAGTGCTGGGACGCCGGTGGTTCTAAATCGAAGACACGCGTCCCATCGTCCCATCGTCCCATCCCCTTCTCCCTTTCTTCTTCTTCTTCTTCTTCTTCTTTTGTTTTATTCTTTCTCCCCCCCTTCTCGGTTCTGGCTACCCTGTCCTATTTATACCATACCTCATCTTGTATCAATCTGTGCCTATATGTGTCCTGTTGCAGTTCTATGCCATATTCATAAATTTCATAAGACCATGTCAGACTAAATGTTAACTGAAAATATTATAGGTTTCATGACAAAATACGCAAGAGAAATGAACCAGATCGCTATACACAAATGTCTCTCATCAGCCCCAACTTAACGCCTCAAACCGCTTCCAGGGCATCTGATGGCGCGGTGTCGATTAATCTCAGCCCCTCCCCCACCTTGATCCACACGCAGCCCGACAAGGGCGGCAAGCCGACTTGCATCCGCGCCCAGGCAATGCCGTTGCGCACTTCAGGAACGGCCATCATCATGGGGGACCGGTAGAGAAGCTCGGAGATGTCGGCGACGAGGTCCCGGCCGGCCTTGCCAACCCACCAGCCGTTGGAAGGGTCGGTGGAAGAGCGGTCGACAAGGACGGCCCAGTACATGAGGATGAAGAGGGCAACGGGCTCGCGGGCGCGGACCGCATCGGCATAAGGCTGGCCGGCGACAGCGATGACGCTCAGGAAGTTGGTGGTTATGACGTCGCGATGGTGCTCTTCGGCGAAGGCGTACTTGGTCTGCCCCACCGCGAGCTGGTAGTTGAAGTTTTCGACGGCGAGAGGACCGAGTCCTGCCGGGAGATCCCCGCTGTCCGTCTCCTCGGGAGGCAGGCGGACGGCCTGGATGACGGAGGACATGCCGGCGATGGCGGCGCGTGTGTCCAGGTCGAGGGTATCGAGGAGCTCGAGGCGGTAGTTTAAGCCGTCCTTGAAACTCTGGAGCTGGGCGGGGCTGTCCAAGAGCCACTCGATGTTCACCGTGGCGATGTTGGTGGCGCCGAGCACCATGGCAAAGGCCATGTCAGCGTGGTCGAGCGGGGTGAGTCGTTGAGCAGGGATGGTGAAATTAAAGAAGGCGGCGATCATGGCGAAATAGTAGAGCAGGTAAAGATTGTCTCGGTTGATGTCGGAAAGGCGGGTGCGAAAGTCGGCGCTCGCTCGGTTGCTATACTCGAGGGCGGTGCGGAGGTAGGACGACGAGACTGCGGGATCGGAGGACGAGTTGATGGCCATGTCGGCGGCAGCCATGGCCAGAATGCCATCCATGATGAAACCATTTTGCAGGGCTATCCGTGGCAGGAAGTTTTGTAGGAATGGTTGCTCTGAGGGAAGGCATTGGACGGCAGTCCAGGTCCGTGTTGACCATCGGTGCATGAGTTCGAGTTCAAGCATCCGGTCTGAGCTTCGAGAGGTAGACAGAGACCCAGATGACAGAGACGATGAGATTGATCGCGGGGGTGATTGGAGGGTGACGGAGGTCAGGGCTGAGGCTGAGGCGGAGGCAGAGGCGGAGGCAGAGGCGGAGGCGGAGCGGGAAGGTGAAGGGAAGGGGGAACGACGAGGTGTCGCAAGATCAGGCACTCGTAGTCGCTGGGAGTCACTTCTCGACGTGTGCCTGGACCGCAACGCTTCTGACGATGGGTATGATGAGGACGACGGTGGGGTTGCTGACGAGGATGAGGAGTTGGAGGAGGATAAAGAGGTGGCATCTTGTGAGTCGTTGAGGATTCGGATCGACTCTGGTTTCCTCTTCGGACGAGAGGTGGGAGACTTGGGAAGCGGTGGATACAGGCATTCGGTACTGCGGATCACGCAATTGACACAGGGAGGGCCTTGTTCGTCGCACTACATGTGTTTACACGTGTATGTCAGTATTAATCGTTAAAAGTAGAGTCCAACGTGACGATGGGGAAGACCATCGTCATGCCATACAGGGGTCGGTCGTCAGGGGTCAGTGGCGGGGAATATGTGAATAGGTAAGTGACTCGGTATATAACGTATTGGAACGCACCTTGACATGCCTCTGCTTGCATGCGAAGCAGCCCTTCCTCGATTTGGTGTGTGATTTTCTTTGCTGCATCTTCAATCGTGTCTGGGCGGTCTACAATTTGGCCGGCGAAGGCCCAGCTCTGTCAATTCTTTTCTGTTCTCTCTCGTACTTGAACGGTTATTGATGGTTTGATTTCAACGCTGTCCGTGATGTCGTTATATTTTTTTGCTGTTGCCGTTGTTGCTGTGGTTGTAACCGGGGGGGGGGGCATGGAAAAGAAGAGACTTCATTTCAATCTGACGGGATACCGGTAGCGGGTTCTCGGTTTCGGATTCAGGGGGAGTACAACGACGGTGATTGCCTCCCTCCTCCGTGGTACAAGTACCTGTGTACGGGAGAATACCTATGTACTTAGTAGGAATAGTAGGTATATGTACAACTGCGTGAGCTGACCCACGCTAAACCACGTTCATAGCGCTTGTCCAGCATAGGGCTGATGTCCCGTCCCCCAAAACCACGGGAATACCCGCGTAGGGCCAGACATTTTCGGTACAGATAGAAAAGGCTTCTACCAGCCGCCTTATGTAATCGTACCTGTCTACCTAGTACCTAGGTACTTAGGTCTTCCACTTCACATTTGCCGATGGGACGAAACCGACGCGAGGAGATAGGAGAACATCTTAGGTGGGATGTTCTAGGATCAACAAACAGATGTGCCCCATATACTATCATCTGTCTTTGGGCAGACAGCCTCGAGATGGGTGTGGCACTTGTTCTCAGCTACCACCTTCATCAACAAATACAAACCATCCGAAGAACTGCCACCACTCCCAGGGAGCATTCGAGGCCAAGTTGAACAAAGCAAAACACAAAACACATATCATAACGACGGCGAACGACTGTCCCCAACTTCAGTGTCGAGTCTCCCAAGCCCCCTGAGCGCATCGTCTATCGCGAACCGGGTCATGTTCATACGTATAATACATACAACATTCTCTTTCGTTTCTCGCTTTTCGTTCTTTGCCTCCCTTACCAGTATGACGGAATTACCTTGGAGCCTTCCACCACAAGTCCGTCTGCTTCTTTCGGACCTAGTGGTATAGCATGTTAGCCAATGGGCCCGTATAGAACAAGGAAGAAAGGAACAAGAGGGGAGCAATGGGGGGTGAAGGAAAAGAAAAAGGGGGTGGGGCGGGACTTACCAAAGGCCGCAACAACGCGACACCAACAACCAGCGACGCAACCGTCCCGATCAGGGTCAATTTATCGAACCCCTTCCCCAGCATATCGAACGTCATGCTCGGCGCCACCCGCGTCCCAAACACGTCCACACCGTACGCGAACACCAGGCTCGTGCTCTCCACCACCGCCGGCGCCGTCACAATCTCCCTCACCCCGAGCACCTCCCGCAGATGCGTCACCACCTGCCGCGGATCCACCTCGATCACCGGCCCGTACTTGATCAGCCCCTCCGCCTCCACCTCCTGCGGGGTCGGGTCTCGCCCGACCGTCCTGCGCGGATCGAGCATCTGCCGCGGGATCCCCACGATGCCGTGCTCCTCCGGCAGGTACCCCAGCAGCAGCCGGCTGCTGATCCCCTGCCGCGTCTGCGTCACCGCCAGCGCCGTCATCGGGGCCGAGAGCATCCACGCCTGCGTCACCAGCGACGGGAGGGGCACCTCCGTCGGCTCGTCCACCGGCTCCAGGGAAGAGAAGTTGGCCGCGTGCCCGAGCGGGCCGCGGTCGTTAGGGTCCTCGCTCTCGTACAGGTCCGTGACCACGATCTGGTAGCCCCTGAGCCCCCGTCCCGGCACTGCTGCTTGGCCGTTGGCATCCTGGGTCGCGTGGTGCCCGAAGAAGGTACACGCGAACCAGTTCTCCGCCATAACGCAGTCTACTCCCTTGGAGCCGTCCACATCTTCGTGTTTCGTAGAGGACAGAATCTGCCCAGAGATGGTGTCGAGGAGGTAAATCGTCAGGGTCGAATCGTCTGGCTTGAGGCCGGCAACCACCGCCGTGTTCGGGTTGAGGTACTTGTACCTCACTCTCCGGTCGCTCAGTACTCGTCCGATTTGCGCGATGGGGTCGTGGGCGGCCCGCATTGCCACTTCGACAATCGACTCGCCGGCCGGGGGAGAGAATAGCCACGAAACCTTTTCTGTGGCCACGCCGTCCTCGGTCGTCCAGGTTAGGCCCTTGAGTTCGCCCTCGCTCCCGCGTACTACCAGTGTCTGCGCCGGTCTCCCAGAAGCGGGAAGGTCGCCCACCGTGCCATCCCGTCCGATGGGGAGGAGAAATTGTCCGGAAGCGCTGTCAACAACTGCCGTAGACTGAACCACAGGCGATGTACCTGGAGACACCACGTCCACTAGTTTGCCATTCTCGATCTTGGCAATCACATAATCGCCGGAAGAACCGCGGACCGTGACCAGGCCCTTGTCATTCTGGACAAAGATGCCTTTGACATCCCATAGCTGGCCCCGAGGCATTTCAAAAGGCTTGATCGACCAAATGATCCTTCCCCGATCACCGGTGTTGAGAGCGTAGAGCCTGCCTCTCTTGGTGGCGAGAATGACCACTTTGTGGAAACCGAAGCTGTCCCGCGCAAGCCCCAGTGGCGTGGCTGCCGGGACATCTGAATCGACAATGCTACTGGAGAAGCGTCCAGGGATCGAAGCCAAATAGTCGGGGAGCCTCTCCAGGTCCTTGATATGTCGCTTCACCCGGTGAATGTACGCAGACAGAACGCTGCTATGAGCCTCCTGCTCTAGGGTCTTTGCGAATTCCTCATCGTTCGGGATCTCGGCGATGGCAGCCGCAACACCCCCGGTGAGACCTTCGGGACGACTCCACCCCGTCTCGCCGTTTCGGACCAAAACCCATGCATCTGCATCCGTCACGACGGCGGATCGAACGGCGTAGCTATCATCAGCCTTCTTCACAACCTCGGAAACGCCATGGACCGCCTGAACACCTTGAGCCGCGGGCTTGTTGGGCCAACGACCGAGAACGGCGTGGGATTCAGACGAGAAGACCAGCACCTCGTCCTGGGTGACGCGGGTGAAGTATACATTGGCACCCTCGGAGCTTGTGGAAAAGGTACCCAGCCCGGGAAGCAAAGGTAACTCGTACGCCTTGGTAATTTCGTTATTCTTGAGATTGATGTGGTAGACCTCGCCCTTGTTCCCTTGCTTCGTTCGGCTGTGGACCAGGAAACGAGGCTCCGATTGGAGTTGGTGCGGTGCGTGGAGAGCCACTTCGACCGTGTCGGCAGGAAGGGGAAACTCCTGCTTCGTCTTTGTGCCTAGCACGTTCACCTTGACCTTGGCCGTGCTCTTGTCGGTCCATGCCATGATGGGCGACGCCGAGTTACCGCCCACCGTGATGACGTCTTCCTTGCCGGATACTTCGCCCTTGGCCGCCAACGGGATATCATCGATTCTTCTGCCAGTCGCTGGATCGTGCACGGACACCCGTAGGCCCTGGGAGGGCACGGGGCCGATGAGGCTGACGAGGAAGACATTCTCGATATTGTTCGATACCTGGAGCGGCACGTCCCTCCCGTGATCCTTGAACTCCCAAACCACATTTCCCTGTTGGCCGTGGAGTCTCCGTAGCGTCGCCGAGCCGTCATCCTCTTCGAAGAGCACCAGCACATCTTTGCGATCCTGCTCGGTCAGCTCCATCAGCTCGAGGTCCTTGACCTGGCCGGGAAAATCCATCCACCAGGTGTTCCGACCAGAGAGCGCGTTCCATGCGTGCACAGAGTTTCCGTAGGCCGATACGACCCAGTCCTCTCCGTCGGCGGCCCGAAGATGGCCCCCCGCCTGTGTATTATTGCCTGTGAGGATCTGGCGCCACACGACGGCTCCGTTGCCGGGGTTGACGGCGCCCACGACGCCCACATCGCTCAATGTATATAAGAGGCTCGCGCGGTCGTCCTTGCGTGGCCTGTGAAAGAGAGTCGTCTCGATCTGAGGTACGCCAATCAGTTCGTAGTGATAGTCGAGGTGGCCGACCTCGTCCTTGTAGACGGCTTGGACGAGGGACGCTGTGGCGGCCAGGAGCAGCGCCGGCGAGCGCCAAAGCGAATGCCGCATTCTGGACGGCTAGCCAAGTGGCTGCGCCTCTTCTCTCAAGGGTGCGACGTGTATATATCCGACGAAAGAAATAGAGCGAGCAGTTGGGGTCCCGAGTTTGTTGTGGGTAATGTGATGTGTGCGTGGTTGTTTGGTGAACAAGTCCGTAATTACTCTGTAATTACTCTGTAGGTACCTGCCGTAGCTCTCAGGTGGTGGGTAAGCTATCACGGAGTGTTGAGGTAATGATGACTAATCAGACCGAGAGGCCTTTGATTGAGCATCGCGTTTGTGCTCACGCAGAAGGGGAAATGCACGGGCCAATTCAATCAAGCTGCTTCATTCGCCTCGGTGACAATTCCGTTACTTTGCTACCTACAAGGCCGATCAGGACTGACATCTCGTGCTTTTGCGCCCCAGACCATTAAAGCAACTGGTGTCCCGTCCCCATAGAACCTCAGAAAGGCATCATTTCAGTTGCCCTCGTCGAACCGTCAAGATGGTACGTTTGCTACGACACCTTGCTTCCCATGATGGTCGCCGAGGAAAAGAAAATACTAGAATACTGACAATGCCTTTCTCTTTCCCTCGCAGGCGCGAAACTCGGAGAAAGCCCAGTCGATGCTCTTCCGCTTCCGCGAAGCGCAAGCGGCGGACCTGGGCATCATCGACGCGGGCCGCACCCGCCGCCCCAAGGCGATCACCGAAATCGACTCGATCCCCGTGGCCGAGAAATGGCGAGGCCAGGTCCTCAAAGAGATCTCGCGCAAGGTGTCCAAGATCCAGGACTCGGCCCTAAGCGACTACCAGATCCGCGACCTCAACGACGAGATCAACCGCCTCATGCGGGAGAAACACATGTGGGAGGTGCAGATACGGAACCTCGGCGGCCCCAACTACATGCGCGGCGGCGCCCGCGTGTACGACGAAGCAGGTCGCGAGATCCCCGGCGGAGGCAAAGGGTACCGCTATTTCGGTCGCGCGAAGGAACTACCCGGTGTGAAGGAGCTCTTCGAGGCGGCCCAAGCGCAGGCGGGCGAGAAGAAGGGACCGGACAAGTCCGAGTTTCGGCGACCGAACGTCGACGCCGCATATTATGGCTACGCCCCCGGAGAAGAGGACGAAGAACTCCTGGCGTACGAAGCGCAGAAGGAGAAGGAGGCATTCGAGAACATGCTCAGGAACGGGCCGGGCAAAAAAGAACCCCCACCAGGCTGGGAGCCGTTGCCGGGAGACGCAGGAGATGGTAATACTTGGGTGATTCCAACCATGGAGGAGGTGCAGCAGGAGCTCATCGAGCGGAGGAGAAAGCGGTTGTTGGAGCAGATCTAAAGGCCTCGTTACGACTCCATTGTCCGATTTCCCATCCCTCGCTCTCTGTTTCTCGAAGAAACGAAACGACCATTAACGACCAAGCTCCTCCCGCCGTGACTTTCAGTGTCGAAACATCGAGAGGACGCAGACACCATGACCCTGCGCACCTCAAACATCCAGATAACAAATCACTCTACCACGCAAAATCCTCATACTGGGTTTGAGGCGACTTCTTACAGCAACCAAGACCATGTACCCTCAAACTAGCTGAGGCAGGAGGATTGAGCTCACTCAGCTGGAAGATGAGGCAGGTCGAGATGTAGACCTTCCCAAGCATCACCAAGTGCAGGTCCTCGCAGACTGGGTCTTCTGATGTCCACTGAGGTTACCTCTTTTACTTTTCGGAAAATCTGCAAACACTTTATGTATTCGAGGTCGGAGAAAAGTGTTTGGGTTCTGAAAAGCCGAGCGGAATTCCAGGTTTTAAGGATGCCATGAAGTGGCAGGATGCTTCACTATAGCCGAAACTCCTTACAATATGTACTCTAACTACAGGTACCTACCTACCTACCTAGGTAGACAGCACGATCATTCTTCGTGCCACATCTTGTACTTCACTTCATCGCATTTAGTTCACACAGAGATAGTTCTCTACCCGTCGTAGAAATTCAAAAAAAAAAATCATCTTGTATTGCCCTGCCAGTACCTCACACCTAGTATATACAATGACAGACACCGAGGCCGAAGATCCTCCACATTCGTCGTCGAAAGTCTCGACCAAGACTTTTCCATCCCACCACCATAAGAAAGAACAAAGTCAAAGGATCTTGGAAGGACAAAGAAGAACAATTGTAATCAACGAGACGGAATGGCAGAACCCCCGATACTCGTTTTTTCTTTTTCTTTTGAATCCTCTTCTGCGTTGCACCGCTTTCTCGGCGCCAGAATTCGATCATGCCATGCCGAAGAGATAATAAAAACTGCAAAGTCGAATCAGGGGATGTTAAGTCGTCGACGACGAGGGATATCAGTCCTCCCAAGAGAGAGATCCTGGGGCCCGTTACATGACAGGGATGCCCTCGTACTCGGCATAACCCAGGGCGAGGTTCATGTTTTCTGCAAGGTTCATTAGTTGACTGTGACACCAAAATAACAAGCGGGTGTGAAAAGAAGACGGACGGGAAAAGAAGAAAAGAAGGAACGAAAAAAAGGGGGTGGAGGAAAACGTACGTAGACACTGAGTCGCCGCGCCCTTGAGCAGGTTGTCAATAGTAGAGCAGACCACCACGCGGCGGCCGGAGCTGTGGACCGCAAACCCGCCAATCTCGACACCGTGCTTGTTCATAATGTTCTTCACCAACGGCGCCTCACCGACGACCTTGACAAGCTTCTCGCCCGCGTACCGGTCCTGGTAGATCTGCCGGATGTCGCGCGAGGTCATGGTCTTGTTGAGCGGGATCTGGATCGTCGCGTGGATGCCGCGGAACCAGGAGGCAACGTGCGGCGTAAAGGCCACGTCGCTGCCGAGGCCGTTGCCGATCTCGCGCTCGTGGACGTGATCCGTCAGGCTGTAGGGCATGAGGTTGTCCGCGAGCAGGGTCACGTCGTTCTTGGGCGAGGGCTTGGTGCCGGCCCCGGAGTAGCCCGAGACGCCGAACACGGAAGGGGTTCCGCCCAGGTGCTCCACCAGCGGGGCGATGCCGAGCTGAGCGGCAGTGGCGTAGCAGCCAGGGTTGGAAATCTGGGTGGCCTTGTAGATTTCCGATCGCTTCGTGAGCTCGGGGAGACCATAGGTCCAGGTGTCGTCAAAGCGGTAGTCGGCCGACAGGTCGACAACGACGCTCCTGCGGTCGGCCCCGTTCTTCCGCGCCTCGTGGATGGCCTCAATATAAGGCTTGCAAACACCGTTGGGGAGAGCCATGACCCAGCAATCGATGGCGCCCTGCTTCTCGAGCTCGCCCACTTGGTCGGGGCTGAGGTTCTCATACGTGACGCTCCGCTTCGTATAGCCTTCCAGCTTCTTGCCCGCCAACTCGCGCGACGAGACGTGACGGAGATCCATGTTAGGGTGGGTGTTGAGAAGGTCAATGAGCGCCTGGCCGGTATAGCCACGGGCACCGATCAGGCCGACCCGAGAGGGGACGTCGTTCGAGGCGTTCTTCTTGCCCAGTGGAGGGTTGGGGTTGGTCGTGGTAGAATAGGCCCGGTTGGCAGACCCGACGATCGAAGGGGCCACTGCGGTCCCCCTTCCCCATTGCGGCCGACGGGCCATTGTAGAGAAGCTGCGGACCTGCGAGGCGTGCGCGTGCAAGTTCCGGCTCGACGTCTGGGCGGCCCGGCGGAGTCGGGCCTCGAGGTTGGAGTCGCCCAGCATGGCCTGGCCGGAGGCCCGGAACTCCTTGGTCAAGCCACCCAATTCTTCCACGCTGTCGATGCCGTACCAGAACAGGACGCTCCCGTCGTTCACAATGCTGCCATCACACTTTCCGAAGAACCATGAAAGGTTCTCATCTTCCTGGCTCACAGTCCAAACCAGCTGGGGATGATCCTTCTTGATAGCGTTGAAGACGTTCTCCGTAACATTGCTCAGCCACCCATTCTTGGTGACGCCCAGAGTCGCGAGGGTAGCATGGGATCGGTCCGGGCCAGGCGGGAGGACGATGGCCAGGCAGTTGTAGGGCTCGTCGTAGTAGGCCTTGAACGGGGTGCCCTTGAGGAAATCGATGTAGCGGTCCACTGTCGCCTCCGCGTCGAGCCCCTCTCGGTTGATCAGCAAGGTCTCCTTGAGTTTTCCGAAGTCGCTAAACTGCGACACCTCGGTGGCCACTTCGATCTTGTCGCCCCGCCGGATGAGGGTGCCCGCACCGGAGTCGGTGAAGAGCTCCTTCTGCAGATCGCTGGGATGGATAATCGCAACGCTGGAAGACCGGGGCAGGGTGTCGAGGAGCTCCTTAATCTCCTTGATCTTCAGGCGGGTGCCGTACCGGCACCACGACTGCGACATGAGCTGGTCGTACTCCTCGTCGAGGTTGATGTGGGAGATCTTCTCGCCCGTCTCGCCATTGAACAGGCCACCCTTCTCGGACAGGTAGACGACCTTCAAGGGCTCCAAGGCGCGGGCGAGCTCGGCAGCCGCGACGTCGGCGTTGACGTTGAGGATCTGACCCTCGGGCGTCTCGGCCATGGACGTCAGGATGGGAACGTAGCCTTGCTGGATGGACTGCTCGATGGGCTCCTTGTTGACCTTGGTGATCTGGCCAACCAGATTCCACTTTTCCTTATCGAGGTAGTCGGCAGTGAGAGTCCAGGTGAGAGGGCGGGTATGGACGCCCAGGCTCTCCAGTTTGTTGACGAGCTTCATGTTCTCCTCCAGGAACAGCCGGCGGGCGACAGTCAGGGTCTTGGGGTCGGTGACACGGATGCCCTCCTCGAACTCAGGCTCGACGCCGGCTTCCTCGAGCAGGCGATTCAGCTGGGGCCCAGCGCCATGGACGATGACGGGATAAAGGCCGACCTCGTAGAGGAAGGCAATATTCTCGCAGAGCTCGTCGAGGTAATCGGTGAGGATGGCGCCGCCGACCTTGATGACAGCGAACTTTTGAGATGAGACGGAGGTGAAGTAGGAGAGGTACTGTTGGCCCTCGCGTCGGCTACCGATCTGGCTTAGCGTTCGGATGATAATGGCTCGGGTACGATCGCTCGAGGCCTCCTTGGAACGAGCGGAGGTCGTCGAGAGGGCGCGGACGGCAGCCAGTGGCAACGATCCGGCGCGAGGCGCCAGGCGGGAGCCGGTCAGGGCTTGTCGATGCCGGGCTCGGGGTACGACCCTGCGAGCACCAGCCCGAACGACGGCAGAGCCAACCGCAAGCATGGTAGCTGGAACTGAAGAGACTGAGAGATTAGTCCCAAGCACGCAACTATCGTGAGAGCAGCGACGTGGTCGAGGGTACTGAAAGATTCGAAAGCAAGGGATCCGAGGGAAGAAAAGGCTGTCAAGGCCAGGTGAGTGTTATGTGTCATGTAATTACCTGCTGGAGCTATGAATCACAAAAGATCCACGACCTGGGGATGGGATGGTTGTGGGACGTCCGAGAACCGGGGCAGCAACGACTATCTCCTCCCCCAGCGTGCTGGCTGGCAACGCCCAGGAATTAATTGAGTACCGGAAAAATATCCAACTGATGGCTAGTAGGGAGGACGATTATTGATAATTGAGAGGGAATGTGAGGCGTGAGTCTACTGTTTTCTTTTTTCAACGACTTTTTGTTTCTGTCTCTTTTTTTCTTCTTCTTTTTTCTTACTTTCTTTTCTTTTCGTTTCTTTTTTCCTTTTTTTTTGAGGCCAGCGATTGCCAGGGACGACGCTAGGTACCACTACTTTTGTGAACGTTGGTCTCGGGCCTAAATGTACCTGCTCTGACTGACTCGTGGGAGGGGGAGCCCTGTGTAATTAATACCTACAACGTACCTACTACGAATTGACCAGTGGGCGACGAGAAATGCTTGTTGTTCCGGGGGAGATCGGCCCGCTCTGGAAAAATTCGACAACTTTAGTCACCTGGACCGCTGAACCTAATAAGGTGTGTGAAACTTGCCCGATGCCGGAAAGGTCTCAACGCCAGAGAAACCGTGGCAAAAATACAGAGCTTAGTCACCAGACTCAACTATACCTTACTGGGTTTGTCCTCTTATAACCCCTCCGGGTCTTCCCCTCGCATCTTGTTCTTTGTTGTAATTACTTCGTATTTGTAGGTTCGAATTCCATACATCTGGGGAGTCTAAAGATGGTTCTTCCATGTGTTCTCTTTCTTCTTCAATACTCGGATTTCTTCTCGTAAATTTTAGCATCTATATCGGGATGCACTCCCTAGCCGATTCAGACAATGCTCGGGTCTTCTCCACGCCTTGCTCAAAATCGTCAAACCACGGACTTGACCCAGAAATTGTCTCACGGCATCGATCTTGGGAAGATTTTGAGAAGCAATCGAATATTGTTCGACAAGATCCCTGACAAGATACTAGTGTATAAAGTTTCTCAACAAAACAAGCTGTAGCAGAACCGAACAGCACTATCAGTGCAAACCCATGCCACGGTAGGTGTTAATTAGTGGGAAAGAACGCCCGCCATCCATCACACATACAAAGCAGAGAACCATCCGCTGCTGACCGTCCTATCAGAGGTCCACGAGGAGGTCCTCCACCGCGAAAGCCCTGTCGCGATTGGAACCAAACCAAAAGGGCCGTCGCTTAACAGAGAAGGGGAAAAAAACAACTGTGTGCTTCATAGTCGGACCAACTCCAGCAGGACCACTTAGGAGAACCCCCATTCCATAACTGTGATCCTGACCCGCCAAAAGCTTCTTCCCACCCGGCAAGTCCGACATTTCCGCCACCTTTGCCAAAGAACTGAAGCACGCGCACAAAGGCGGTCATGTCGCATGTCGTATAGCTATTGTTTGGCAAATGATAGAAGGGGCAACCAGGAGCACGCAAGGTACAAACGCGATTTCGTTTACGTCATAGGATGCCTAGACGCCCGACTGGGTCGTGAACGGGGAAGAAAACAAGACGCCCAGACGGATGGCTCCTTTAGCGAGTCGCGACGACTAATAACAACTAGAGTTAGCACGAAACCTAGAAGAGAAAACGGGAAACGGAATAAAATCAGGGCGTCGCATACCGGCAGGGATGATAATGATACATAGGAGGATGATGATGCCAATAATGAGGCATACACGCATCTTCATGTCCTTCCACCACATCTGCTTACGGACGCGGTTGGCACCGCGACGGAAGCCCTGAGCCGACACAGCCAGGTTATCCGTCTTGTCTTGCAGGGCATCCAGGCGCTCGCCTCTTTGCGACACCTTGTTGATGTTCTCCCGCATGACACCAACCGTATCGTCGATTTGCTATGGACGGGGAGATGTGTTAGCATGGTGTTCAGGCCAGACCAGCCGGTTGTTGAAAGTCCAATCGCTCGTGCCCGTTTTTATCCCATCAAGGCTGCCCCCGCCGGACTTGTAATTTGGTGAGATTCTGATGGCGAAGACATCATCGTGGCGTTGCCCGGTCTGGTCGTGGTCGAGAAGTGGATAAAGCGGCGTCGAGATGCGTTTTCGAAAATGGAAAACCCGACCCAGAGACGTCGGAGATGAATAACTGCAATGAGAACTGCTGTACATACAGCACAGCGATGCCGAGCGAAGGCGCAGAGGATGGCAGGGCGATATTTGGCCGTCCGGAAGGAAGTGTCGTCTCCCGTCATACGTTGGCCGGACGGACTTGAGACGAGCCCATATCGACAGGAGAAAGGGTAAAAACGAAAATGGCGTCAACTTACAGCTTGGAGAGCTTGTGTGCGCGTGTTGCCGCCGGCTTGATGGCTATCCCCAGCGCCAGACTGGCCGCTGGGGATGTAAGGGTCGTAGGGAGCGTCCTCGGGCATGATGTAGGTAGGTTGCTGGGGTGATTTTGGTGGTTAAGGGACTTGAATCTCGGCCTTGCGCGAGGCGACTGGGTCGGAAGAAAGCGGTCGTTTAGTGTGTCTATGCTTCTTCGTCGTTGCGTGTGGAAAAAAATAGCGGATGACGGTTTTGAAAAGATTCGTGGATGCTGTGCTGGCGATGGAGGAGCAAAAGGAGGTTGTAGGTCATGTAACGGTGAATCAGGATCTGGGAGGAAGGAGACGGAAGATGGAGAGGGCCAAATCAGTTGGTTGAGTTTGGTTGGCCAGGGTAGTGAGATAACTGGGTCCACTCGTAAATGCGACGTCCGGAGATGGAGATGAAGAGCGACGAAACAAAGATCAGACTTGGACCTGCCACGCAATCCGGAGGTACGTAGCCCGTCGACCTAGTGAAGTACCTCCCCATCTTACGAAAGCATTCCACCGCAACGTGCTACGGCCAAAGGGAGGATGGAGATTGAATAGGTATAATGGATGTATTATTTCTGTTATATTCTGTATAACGTAGCTACCGGCACCAGAAGCCTACCTTATGAAACTCTGCAGTTGCCCCTATCCGCACTGAGTACGGAATACGGAGGATACTAATTGTGGTAGGTACCTAGAAGATATCAACGAAGTACTTCGTAGTGTACAGACCAACATGTTCGCGACAACTTGAGGCAGTGCACGTACACTGTGCACAATGAATGTCGGCGTCTTTGTTGACAGGACAGCTGGAGACCGGACAGGCGCTGGAGTGGCTGGGGTGTTTGAAACACAAAAGTCAGGTCGACTTCTTGTGTGGCTGGGTACGAAATGCTAACTACCTTAGTCCTCAGTCCTGTGTACCTACGCCGAATGTATTCGTGTGTCCATGTCCGTTTGGACGGATAATTACGACGAGTCTGGCTACCTTATACGGCAGCCTCACGGTCGATTAGCTCTTGTTTGTAGCTTCTACCCTTGTATGTGTAGGTAAGGTAGGCAAGGGCATCATCCTTGATCCTGTGGGAATCTGTGGTGTCAGCTCCAACTACCGCCCCGTAATCTCGTGTGCGAAAAGATCTCCAGGACAGACACTGCCAACCAATCTCAACAAAATAAGGTAAGGTAAGGTAAGGTACCTACCTATCGAGTACGGATTTGTTGTATCACCTAACGGTACCTTAGGCGTGACATTTCATACGCCCAACACTCGCGAACTGAGAGCTCGAATGACAGGTACGTGTGTACTCAGTCAACGGTATCCGAACCTCTGTACTTCGTACCTTGCATGATCTACTTGACCTCATCACTTTCCATCTCTCGCACGAAAAGGGAAGGAGAACCCAGGCCTGCCTGCCCTGCGGTACAAATGAATGATTGATGCCTTTGCCAGTCTCCAAAGTACTGTACCTCACCTCGGTTCTCTTACCCCCAGCTTGACACCGGCTTCTAACTCAATCCCATCCTATGCCCGCCCCCGCCCGGCCCTATTCGGCCGACCCGGCTTGATAATGGCGTCCAGGTCGTGCTCGTTTTCATCACCGAGTTTACTGATTACTATAGTCCATCCGTATAGTACAGTAAGGCAGCATAGTGTTCGCAATTAGCCACTCCCCTGGTCCATCATTCGTTCGCTCGCCCTAGAAGCTCGACTTGATTCTTGACCCTGAATCGCTTCCTCATGTTGTCCTCGGGTCTCTGTCGCCGCCGACTGCCCCAAAAAAGTCACATAATCCTTCTCTTTTTACTCTCTCCCTCCCCCTTTCCCTCTATTCGTTCTCCTACCGACGTTCCCCGCCTCTCCACTCTCGAATCTATGACAACCGGGGGACAAAAATGCACTCCACACAGATCATGATCTCTTTGTGGGGTCAGCCAAGATGTTTTCTCTCTCGGCTGCTCGCCGTCCTGCTCCTTGTCGCCAACAATGGCTTCACCGTCGCCTACGACCTGGACCCATCCTCGCCTGGTACGTACAGTGTCTTATCATATATTGTTCAACGAGTGTGCTGACTGTTCCTGCTCCGTGTACGCCAGACTCGGTCAGATCCGTTTCCCGTTCCATCGCCGAGGACCTCATGTCCCTGTATCACGGTCACAGACCGGGTCAAACCCCGGGCTTGCTTCCGGACCCCCCGTACTACTGTAGGTTCTTCCCCGCCCGCTCCAATTTCTCGCGTTTCCTCTTCCCTCAAGCTCACACACTTGCAGGGTGGGAAGCTGGCGCGCTCATGGGCGCCATGATTGATTATTGGTATTACACGGGTGATGGTCAGTGGAACGACCGTGTTATCCAAGGCCTGATGCACCAAGTCGGCGATAATGCGGACTACATGCCCAAAAACCAGACCTTGACCGAGGGCAACGACGATCAGGGATTCTGGGGCCTCGCCGTCATGTCCGCCGCCGAACAACGCTTTCCCGACCCCCCCGAAGGCCAGCCGCATTACCTCGCCCTGGCCCAGGCCGTCTTTAACACACAGGCCGCCCGGTGGGATACAGAACACTGCGGCGGTGGCCTGCGCTGGCAGATTTTCACATGGAACAAGGGGTTCGATTACAAGAACACCATCTCTCAGGGCTGCTTCTTCGCGCTCGCCGCCCGCCTCGCTCTCTACACCGGCAACTCCTCCTACACCGACTGGGCCGAGCGGGCATGGGACTGGACCGTCGCCATCCAATTCATCGACTCGGCGACCTATCGCGTCTTTGACGGCGCCCACACCACCACCAACTGCACAAACATCATCCCTTACCAATGGTCGTACAACGCCGGCGTCTTCATCAACGGCGCCTCCGCCATGTACAACCTCACGGGCTCCCAGGTTTGGCGCGAGCGCCTGGATGGTCTAGTCGCCGCCGCCGACGTCTTCTTCGTCGGTCCGAACAAAGACATCATGCAGGAGGTCGCCTGCGAAACCGTCCAGCTCTGCGACATTGATCAACAATCGTTCAAAGCCTATCTTTCCCGCTGGCTCGCCGCTACGACCAAGTGGGCTCCCCATCTCGCCGATCACATCATGCCCAAGCTCCGCGCCTCCTCCATCGCCGCTGCGTCAACCTGCGTCGGCGGTGACAACGGTCGCATGTGCGGTCTCAGATGGACCGAGGAGGGTAAGTGGGACGGCATCCAGGGCGTCGGCCCCCAGATGATGGCCATGCAGGTCACCCTCGCGAACCTTGTCGCCTCCCGTCCTGACGCCGTGACCATGCGCACTGGCGGCACGAGCCAGGGCGACCCGGCGGCTGGCAGCGCAGACATAGGCCGCACCGAGCCCGAAGGCATGGAGTTGGCAGCCATTACGACGAAGGACCGCGTGGGGGCCGCCATTCTCACTACGCTCATTGTAATGGGCCTTGTCGCCATCCTGATCTGGCTGTTCCTGGACGAGACCTCCGAGAAGCCCGTCAAACAGCGGTTCTTCGAGTTCCGCAAGCAGGTTACCAGCACCAGAGGGCTTGCGGCGGCGTTTAGCTTGGGAGGTAGAGTTTTCGAAGCCGACGAGAAAGGCAAAGGCCCCGAGTTACCGTCATCGGGGGCGGCCAGCGACGAAGATGCGGCAGTTCGAGCGCCTCCGCGCAGCGCGAGTGGTGTTGTGGCCCCTCTACCGGTAGCAAGGGAGATGCAGAGTGAGAGCCATCAGGTTCCGGTCCCCATTCGCGAGAGACGGGCGAGCGTCATACAGGTCGAGGCTAGCGGGAGTGGAAGCAGGAGCACCAGCAACGACGATCCCGCCACATCCCAGGCAACAACCAAAGTTCAGCGGTTTGCGAAAAGGCTTAATATGAGGGATCGCGGCAGGACGGGGCCATAGTCTGGTCTCCCGTTGTATTCCCCTTAAAGTATATAGAGGAGAATCATGGAACGATAGGGAGTCGAAATGATCGGGTTACGCTAGGGACAGGGTGGACATTGGGCCATGTCGTCTTCGTCTTACATCGGGTGCAGGTATTGTCTCTCTGGTCTCCAGTTTTGCTAGGTTCGGGCGCATGTGGCTTCATGAAGGAACACGTTGATTCTAAAATCGGGCCAGGTCATTCTTGGGTTGAGTCAGGTCGGGTCTGTTTTAGGATGCATTCATTGCCTGGTGTTTCTCGGTACTGGAGGCAAGAAAGGGGGAAACTTTGGATATAAAGGAGTTCCAATTGATTTTTTCTTGTGAGCCATCTCTTCAGAGATGCTGTTCTGCACCAAGGAAACATTGTTTCATGATTGATATCCCGTTTGAAGTGCTCCTTTCTTGCCAGGCAATCCGCGCTGGAGGGAGCCCCGTCCCCCCTTTTCTTCTCTTCTCTCCCTTTGGTTCCTCCATCGCTGTATCTTCGTCGGCCGACCACGGTGACGGCGTTTGATAGGCACATTTCCAAACCAAATAATGACAGACATCACCGGAATGGACTTCTAAACTCGCTGAAACGGTAGGGTACCTGTATGGGCTTCTGAGAGGTGTCCTTGTTCAGGTTTGGCATTAATGAAAGATTTTCCGCCCTGACTTCCCCTGATTTCCCGACTATTGTCATATCATTGTTAATAGGTAATGAATTCCCGCGTTGATGATGGGTGAATGGCAGCTTGCACTCCATTGAAGACGATGGGATGAATGTTCAAGGCAAGTCATAGATACTATTTTCAGTGCCCTGCGCTCTGTTGTCTCTGGGTATCTCTCCCCCCTATTTTACTCGCTTCTTTTCAGTTTTGGGTTGGACACCTCAAGGTAAATACTTCATCAGCACAGGTATTTAAGCCAGGTTCTGCCATCATCGAAGGTCAATGCCAATGGCCTTTCCTTTCAGAACAAAATTAGGCCAATCGACCCTCAGCTTTCCTTTCAGAACAAAATTAGGCCAATCGACCCTCAGCTTTCCTTTCAATCACTTGCCTTCATCCCCGATAACCCCTAAAACGACCCGAGAAAATCTCTACAACCGTGGAGAGATCAAGACCTCGAGGATGACTACCACATTCATGCGGAAGACTGCCGCTGTTCGGCCTGGGGGAAAGGTATATTTTGCTGATAGGAAGATCGAGACAAGTGTAGGGCTTTTTTGGGCTGCTCAGAACATCGGCGCAGTAAGAACCTCTTTTTCCACCCTCTCTTCGCTCCGTCTGCTGTATCAGGTGCTGACTTTGTTCGTGGCTGGAAATTCAAAGCGTGTCGATGGGGTTGCTATTACCAGTGCTCTTCAGAATATCGAAGCAGTAAGCATCCATCTCCCTCTCCTCTTCGCTCCGTTTGCGGCTCCATCGCAAATGCTGACTTTGTCTGTGATTGCAAAAACTGAAGACACTGGATGGTTCTTCTGTTGCCGGCGTCGTCACCTGTGATGAAGTCCGTAGAATCAAGATGATGCTGCGCACTCCGTATCAAACGCGGCTTGTGCTTCCGAAGATCGACTCCATCCAGAATGATGGCGAATACTTCGATTGAAGGGCCAAGAAGACAGGGGCTGCAGAGTAGACAGTTAATTTGTATGGCCGCGAGACAGGGACAACGATTTTTAAGAAGAGATGGCACCATGGAGTTGAGGATCTGGCTTGCTCTCCTCTGGGTGGAGGTGGCGGGACGACGAAAGGCGAATGGTCTTAACCCCCTTACATTCTGCAGTGTAATTTTGTTAGTTATCGGAAACCATCTCAATAATACATAACATATTAGCATCCCCAGTAAAAACAATCCAGTCAATGACCAACCGTCAACCAGAACCATAGTCGCTACTGCGTTGCACCACAGCTAACCATACAAGCCCGCCAAAAGGGGGAAAGGAACCGCCAAACGCCAGCCAGCCAGCTCATTGTCGCGGTAAGAAAATTCGTGCAGTCCTGTGCTTTCCTGCATGTTTGAGTCTGGTTAGATAATACACCTCTTGGTTATCCTCGCGTAGCTAGGCTCAGTGTAGACATGTAGGGGCCCTCGAGTGAGTCTCAACGCTGATTCCCGCCTCCCTTGGTGGTGTAGCGGCTCCTAAAGGCCTGCGTAATGCTGAATCTGCTGCCCATAGCACCATCCTGCATCTTGCTTGCTATAGCCTCCTCGAGAGCGGACTGCGTTATCGAAGCATCTGCATCTCCCCGAAATCGTCAGTGAATGCGCCGCAGAAACAGACGACATATAGATAGGCAAGAGCCAGTAATAAGTTGGGAAACCTAGAGCATGGAAAAAAAGGGG